GAAGTCGAAACTGAAACTCAAACTCTAACTTAATTCTCAAACTCAAACTCAATGTTGAAACTCAAACTCAATGTTGAGACTCAAACTCAATGTTGAAACTCAAACTCAAGCTGACATTTGCATTCTTTTCTGCCAAGGTAGTTAATATCTATACCATGATAAGATTAGAAAACTAACCTCTGAGCGTCAAAATCAAAATTTCAACACGACATAAATTTATTCACGGGCCGTGCTGGTTGCGTGACCGTGACTGTGCCATGTGTTTTTGGACATCCTTCTTGTAGTTCCTTTATTGGTATTCTTATTCATTGCTTTCGTCGACGCACAGTGGGCCGGGTCAGAGATTTTTGCCTCGTCGGTTTTTTTTTCGTTTTTGAGTGGTCGTGATCGAGAGCGAGGTCACCACACAAGCGCACCTGCGTGCGAAAGTGGAACGAGTCACATGTTTCGTTCGCGAGGTCTGAGTGGTGTCGTTTTTGAATATTTCGATAGCAAGAAAAAGTGTGACTGAAAGGGGAAAGAGGAAGAATGTCGTGCTGCACAAATTGCAAAAATGCTACTCCAGAAGTTGCAGCAAGTAGGAAGTCCTCTAGCCATAAGCAAAATTGTTGTCCTTCTGTCTCTTTTTCTCTCTCTTTCTCAACGAGTGGAGCTCTAGTTGCCTCGCATTGCAAACGAACAGGCAGAACTGTTTACGTCGTCTGTGTGGAGGAAACAAACCAAATGAAGCTAAATGAAAAACAACAGGAGCATTCGTGTAGAACTAAGACGAGCTTTCGTGTGGTATTCCCCAGACAAGCTCGCAGACTCCTCAAATTGCATTCATATCTTGGCTCCACATCCACAACATAATGATTTTGGCTGAAATGAACTGTACTAGGGGCTTTGTGAGAAGCGCGCATTAGGTTTTATGACAACTGCATTTGATGCGGTGCCTTTGCGTTCTAGTGTGAAAGCACCAAACAACTCACTTTGAATTTATTTATTGTCCGCAAGTCAAAAGGACGAATACGAAATGACGAACATGCTACCCCTAGAGGATGCGTCGAACGTGCCAAAAATAGAATATGCTAGCGTCGAAATCGACCTGGAGTGCAGTATTTGTTACGGGAATCCCGTTTCACGAGGCCCGGAGGACGAAATGCCAAATCCCGTCTTGACAAGCTGCTGCCGTCAAACTTTTTGCGAGGAGTGCATCAGTTATTGGCGATCGAAACCAAATCCGCATGGAGAGAGCGCGAACACGTGTCCAACGTGCAGGGCCAGAGACTGGACCTGGCATCCCAATCTTGATGTGAAGATGCATTGCAGCCTCTGTTTATCCACGTTCCTTCGAGCTGAAGCGGAGCACCATCTGAGAACTTGTCCGGCGGTTCGCGGCAAATGTGTTCATTTTGGACGGGGCTGCGACTGGGTGGGAACGCGTGATGAGTTTCTGTCGCATCAAGCGGGTTGCGCCTTTTCCGACGAGGGTGGCAAAGCGGCTGCGCGAAAGATCATCGAGGAGGACGCCGATCACACGAAGAAGATCAAGAAGTTGGAATCACTGTTGACGGGGTCCGATGTCGCAGCGGGGATAGTGGGCAACAAAAATCACTATCACTATTTTTCCCCGTTTCCGACAGTTTCGCCGGTTACTTTGTTTGGAGAAGCGAAAGCGCTTGACGTGTGTCTCTTGCCGGACGAAGCGGAGCGACTGGTGGAATTAGCCAGGAAGCAACGGCGCGACGAACCGAGTCCACCAGAAGTCCAGCGCGAACATAATCCGGCAGTGCTGCGCCAGCGTGTTATCGCCAATAGGCGAAAGCGCCGGGGTATTGCCGACTGCGCGCCGGTCGTTCCGGGTCTTTCGGGGAACCAGGCAAAAATGCGCGTCAGACGGCCTGCGCGGTCAGCTCTGAAGTGGGGCGCACCACCGGCGGAAGAGGAGCCTAGTTTTCCGTCGCATGTCCCTGTTTTTGATCGGGCAATGGTTTTGTTTTTGCGAACCTTACGGGACGGCCCAGGAAGAGTGATGTGGTTCCAGCGCTGGGAACTGCGACTGGTATGCGAGATAGTTGAGGCTTGTAGTATTCCCCTGAAACACGAGCCAGTGCTTCTCGAACCTGCGTATTCGTCGCTCTTTTCGCAGGCCCTCTCGAATTTCGTCGTGAACGCGGCGGACTTTCCGGTCCGGCCCCCCAAGGTCCCATCGGTGGACACGAAATTGGTGAAGATGGTCTCGGCGTGCGAAGTTTACTGTTCGTGGTACCTGTTTGAACAGAATCTCGTGGCGCAGCTTTCGGCAAAATTAATCAACCGCAGCGTCGCGACACACTCTCCGGATCTTGAGGTAGAGACACTACCCAAGGTGATTCAGGAAGCAGCCGGACACATTCGCGGAAAGGACAACGAAGTGCTACACGAACACCAAATGAAGACTCTTGACGACACATTTTTCACTGCAGCGCGGCTATTTCCAGTCCCCGCCTCTAACGAGAGCATCGTCTCCTTGATGCCCGATTCACTGCTGTTAGCAAACAATTTTTCCTGCAAGGAGACGAAGATTTCCTGTACCGACTCCTCCAGAGGAGTGAAACAACTGGCCGACGACCTTTCAACGCGCAGCCAAGAGTCGGACAATCGGGACGCTCTCCTAGAGATTGGTACAGAGCCGATGAAGGCTGCCCTGATGAAGTACGCACTAGCACTTGGCGCGCGACGCGTGTTTCTGAAAATTTTTCCAGCCCAGTCCAGCACGAACGCCGTGACGGAGAGAACAATTTTTTTGCCCGATGCGCTCTTTCTGGTGCGGCTGCGGCACTACCTGTCGCCGGCTGCTTGCGGTTTCTGGCTAGATACCGGTGATGATGATGCAACGATCTGCTGCAAGATGCAGACCGCCTTGGAAGACTCCCTCCCACAAATGGACTTTCGAGGAAAATGTGTGTATTTTACCGTGAATACGAACACTGACATCGAGCCGGTGTACCTCAACAACGTGAAAACCGCATTGGATATGTTAAGCCAAGCGAAAACAGCCAAGAGGGTGCGCGTTTCCTTGAGTGGTGTTTGATGAAAAGCGATTTCGTTTATTGTATGTAGTTTACGATGTAGAAGTTTCGAGCTTTTTTGGCAGAGCCTTTAAACTCTCTAGGCAGTGCTTTCTTTACCTTTTCGCTTCGCCTATTTGTGTTGGTTTTGGAGTCGTAGACGAGTGCGTTTTTTCTCACTCGCTTGCAGTGCTATGCTTTCTTGCGTAAATGAAAGCGAGCGGAAAACGGAATGAACATACGCAATCGCAAGTTGAAGCTTTATACCAGCGAATGAATATCGTGCGACTTCGACCTTGAGAACTGATTTCAACATGTACGAAGAACTTATTTTGATTTTTCAATTTTTTGATCTCTCCTGCAGATGTTCTTACCTTTAGGAGTACTTAATAGTATGCGAGAGGATTTTTCCCGCTCACCTTAAAGAGCGCACACGTCATTCAATTTTTTGATCTGCAGATCTCGGAGGTGACAGGTTGAGACACCGGTCACCATCTACTTACGCTCAGGAACATAGACCACAGTACGGTAAAAAGTTACTCGCTCGCCACAAGAAGAAGCGAGCACGCAATTGATTTTCCAATTTGAACTATTTTTGCTCACGATGTCGAACCAAATTTACTTAGAGGCGGAGGCGGAATCAGGAAAGATTTGGGCCTGCCTCGCGTATAAATCATACATTTTTTTGTTCTTGAGAACTAAGAACTTTCTTTTCAACCTTTCCCAACGAATTCTCGTCCAGGTGTATGATCACATGGATGTGAAAATTAGATTTCACTGACGCTAATATCAAATTACAAACTAACTACATTGTTGAAGAAGAGTCAGTATCTTTGTATGTTGACCGTTGCCAGGTGCAGGTCGTTTTGTTGACGAATTAGCATCGGGCGAGGATTATTTTGATGGTGTAGTGCTTGTTGACGAAGTCGAAGGTCCACAAGAGGGCTTCAAAACAACGGAGCTTGCAGCTGTTTTTCGAAGTTTTTTGTCGCTCTCTGAGAAAAATCGAAAAGGAGTGAGTGACCAATCAAGTATCTAAGTATTCATTGTTGATGGAGATGTTGTTTCTTTGCAGGAGGAGTGATGGACACCGACAATCACGACTACAGTGATCATTATCGAGATGCCTGGAAATTCCCACGATTTCACGTTTTCTGGTGCTGAGGTTTTTTTTGGATGCCCTACGACTTCCTCGCTAGTACACACGGGCGTTTGTAAGTAATGATATTCAAGTAACTACACAGTAACGCAATCTTCTATCATCGGTACGTACGCCCACGCCATCGTACACACACTTTCGCGGACCGTACTCCATCGTACACACACTTATGAAATGTCAGAAGTGCCGTCATGACTCTAGTCTATTAGCAAATTGCAAATCGTTCTGATGCTGCGCAAAAATATTACAGTTCCCCAGTTGAAAAATCCACGAGCCACCTCAACATCGTATTCAATATTGTACGGCCCTTGCTGGGTTTAGGGTTTTCTTTGGGTTTAGGGTTTTGCACGCAAGAAATCGCTAGAACCAAACAGATTGATACTTACGAAATTATGCCAGCTCCTGCGGAAAATCCTCCAGATTCGCCCGGAAAGGCGGTCGAGACGCCCGCACTGACTTTTGTGAGCGAAGTTCACAACGGCATTAAGTGCGGAATTTGCCTCGATCATGTGATCGACGCCGCTGCGACGACGTGCTGCGGGCGGAGTTTTTGCCAGGCGTGTTTGGCGGATCTCGTTCAGCGGGCAACTCGGGATGATCCTGAAGCCACGGCCAAGTGTCCCTGGTGTCGTACGGGGGGCTTGAAATGGCACCCGAATCGAGAACTCCGCATACTCCTGGGGCAGGCGGTGGCGAAATGTGGTGGCTGCTCCGCTACTTTCAAACACGACGACCGCAAGGAGCATTTTGCGCACTGCCCGGCCGTCGTCGTAGAGTGTGAACACAAGGGACGAGGCTGTAGTTGGCAAGGAAGACGCGAAGCAGCGCGAGCACACCTGCTAGAGACGTGCGAATTCACGGACCGCGCTGCGGCACAGAAGGCCGCGGAAATCGTGAAGACGGATTCGAGCCACGCGCAGAAGGTCGCCAAACTCGAAGCGTTGTTGCGGTGCAGGTCCTCGGCGGGTCCGAATTTTCCGACGATTGCGCCGGTTAGCCTCTTTTTTGAGGCAAAGGCACTGCAGATCCTTCTTCTTCCAGAAGAAGCAGATCAGCTTGTGGCCCTGGCTGTGCGGAGCGAACACGAGGAAAAGTCTACAACGGGGCGGGGCCTCGTCTGTAGTCGCAAGCGGGACGGGAGTGAAAACATCAAACGCCCACGGGGTGCTATTGCTACTGAAGAACCGAGAACAGGCTCTCTGGTCTCTGCCGGTGGTCGTGCCGCGTTCGACGCCACAGTATTTCCACGCAGTCGTGACGCCTTCGATCCCGAGATGTCCTTGCTCGACAAGGTTATGATTTTACTGCTGAAGCCCTTCCGAAGCATGTGCCCTCCTGCGTTCCTTGAGAAATGGGAGTTGGAGCCGGTCCGCAAGATTGCCGAAGCCTGTGGTTTGCTGCCGAAAGTCGCACAGATGAAGGATCTGTGCCGATCGCTGTATGCGCACGCATTGCGGTACTTTGTTGTCTCTCCCAGTAAATTTCCCGTCGCGGCAAAGAACGTTCCGGTCGTCTGCGAGACACTGATCGCTCTGCAGGCGTCTTTCGAGAGCACCACGCAGCACCGAAATTTGCTACTGCAAGCTCTCGCAAGCCAATTTCCTCTTGTTGCACCGCAGGCAGATTTTTACAAGAAGAGCATCGTGGAATGTTTCTATGAGTTTCCCCAGGAAAACGAACCAGACGCCGAGCGCATGCGCACCCGGTCTGCAGCTCTGGAAAAGATGAGAATGATTCACCAGGCACTAGCCAATCCGGCTGCTCTGTTTCGGGATAAAAAGGACCCGGCGGACACCGATGAGGACGTTGAAATCGACAGCAGACGAGCATCGACGCGCGAGGGCCGACGCGCCGGACCGACGACAGAACAGACGCCGATGCGATGCAGACCGGACGGCGCCCCCGACTCACTCTCACTCTCACCCGCGCACGAGACGCCGGATCGACAGGACGGGCGCGAACAGCAGAACTTTGTGGCACGGGTAAGCTACACGATCGTGCAGTATATGCTCGCGAACGCTGCGCGGAAGGCGTTCTTAGTGTGCCCGCGTCGCGACGAGTTACCCGAACGCCACGGAGACGAATTGATATTCTCCGACATCCAATTTCTTCGACGCCTGTACGAAAGTTTACCGGAAGTACTGCGAGATAAAATTACAATTACCCCAGCGCGGCAGCAGGATGGATTCGTAACCCTTGACTATGAATGCAACAAATTAAAGAGCTTCCTTACGACGAATGGCTTTTTGCCTTTGTCGTGTCGCGCGCTTTCCGTTCAGTTTTCCGGCAGGCGCCTGGCCTCGCTCAATGCTCAAGCATCGGACTGTGATCCAGGATTCATCGAAAGCACGCAACCACACACCTTCGATTCGCCCAAAATCTCTGCAGAGGATTTGCGTGCTAAGAAGCGGAAACTCAACAATGCTTGATTGTCGACATTTGACGCAGACAAGTAACTGGGCTTGGTTACTCAATTTTGCTGAGCTTTTGGATAGTCTTTCGATCTCTATTCAGTTGATGAGCTATTTAACTACGATCTCCGGATTGGGTATTCATCTAATTTGCAAGACCATGACAACTAAACTTAAATCATCACTCGCGGCTGGCAACGATGGACGTTGACCACGCATACGCAATCGCAATAGAAACGCTGAGCTTTCATTTTTGACGGAGCCTATTGAAACACATCGGTGGGCGTCCATCAGCGTATATGCGCTGAAGCTACGATTTGAAATGCAGCTATTTACTTGAGCAAGAAAAACAAAAAGTAGAAAAGGAGGAAAGTACCTCCTAGCTTGACTCTGAGACACACTCATAGGAAGCGAGTTCATTTTCAACGAAAGAGAAAAAAGATGTACTCTGAGTGTCAAACAAGCAAGAATGAGGAGCAATCTGTGTGTGAAGGAGGAAAATCCTGAGAGTGTGAGAGTTATGAGGATGCTTTTTAGATAAACGTTACTTTTCTAGGAGTGCCATTTTCGTTGGTTCGACTTGTTTTTGAGGATGACACAGCATCGATCTGGCCAATTTTATAGGTGAACTGTTTTTCGTGGCCGTATGTTTCATTGAATTCTATTCTCCACCACCACGCACCTCTCAGTGCTTGACTCTAGGTTTGTACTTACCCATGTATCTCGTGTTGGTCCCACATTAATAAACGTTGTGGTTTTTGATTTTGACACCGTGTCCGCTCGAAGTCTATTCGCCTCCCCATCTTTTACGTATTGCGGCCTATGAAGTCGTAATTTTCTCTGAGAAGTCTGCCAAGAGTCATTTTTTCTCCAAAATGTTTGTCGTCTTGCACGTGATCCACCCACTCCTTGGCGAGCCAATCAAGGTGGACGTGAACACGAAGAAGCGCACGAGCCACTTGCGGCAAATCCTGGCCACCGAACACGGGATCGCGCGGACCAGCAAGCTTTTCGTCCGCAGCGTGGAGCTGGAGGAAAAGCCCCTGCAGGAGCAGGGCGTCCGGGACGGAACGCAGGTGATGGTGAAGCTCCCCGAGCAGTTGACCATGACCAATCAGTCCAGCCCCCGAGGAGGTAATTATGGGTCCGGTTCTCCGCGGCAAATGCACCGTCGGAACCGGCAGGAAACCTCCTCGAGTCCGATGACCACTAGAAATCACGACTTTTCCGCCATGTTTGCCTCGCCGCTTCACGGCGGCACAACAGCGGCTCAGGGAAACCCTAGTTCCACCAGCACAGAGCAGCTGTTCGCGCTACCGCCGCACTTGCAGATGTTGCAGAGCCACTTGGAGCGGAACCCGGAGGTGCTGCAGCAGATGCTAAGTTCGCCCGCGATGATGACTTTGCTGAACGACCCAGATTTGCTGTTTTCCGCCTTCAACCCCTCGACTCGCGAGGCGGTCCAGAACGTGCAGCAGATGGCCGCGCGGCAGGAGCAGGCGAACTTGAAGAAGAAGAAGAAGAAAAACGGGCAGCAACAGCTGGTCAACCCCTTCGCCAAGTACGGCTACGGGGACAATAAAACCGCGAAGAAGCTAGACTTCGGCGACGGTGTGGACTGGACAGTAGAGGGGAATCATGAGAAAAAAGTCTACGACCCGCTGTTGCAGCTCAACCCCGAGATGCACGAGCAAGTGCGGCTGGACTTCCGCGACCCGGGCGCCGTGCGTGACAATCTGCTGCAGATCGAGCAGGGTTTCGGCAGTTTGCTGGACGGTGGGGACAAGTTGAAAAAGGTCACCAACCTGTACGACGGAAAGTTTTTGCTAAGAGAACTGGAGATAGAGGACGAGGGGGAAGAGCTGCAGCAGAATTATGCGGCGAAGCCAAACGGGTACGGGGCAAACCCGATCTCAATTGACGAGTATAACAAAAGCAATACAACGAACGGAAATAATCGCGACGACGCTCCCGCCTACGACCCGAACGCCATCGCCTCGCTGCTGCAGGACAAGACACTGCAGGCGCTGCTGAGCCAGTTCATGGAGGTGGCGGAGCGGAAGAACGCCCAACTCGCGGACCCGCAATTGGTGGCGACGCTGTTCGACCCGCGCACGATGGAGGCCTGCGAGGCGGTCGAGAAGGCCGTCGGGGATCTGCAGGAGGAGGGGATCGGGAAGAGGAAAAGAAGTGCGGCAGTGAACTTTGACCAGACCAGCATTGCCTCCAGCGCCGGGACAGGGACCACGACGAGTCAGGGCACTTCTACTGCGAACGGACACGGTAAGAAAAAAGGCAAAAGTCTACTTCGTGTTGGCGATGAGGAGCTGCAACAACAGCAGCAGCACAAAGCGGCCTTGATGAACAACTACATGCGGAATCTGGATTCCATCGCGGAGTTGGACAAGCGGGGCGAGTTTTCCTCGAAGTTCGGAATTTTTCTGGAAGCGAACCAGAACAACCCGGAGAATTTTTACAAGTCGCAGCTGCAAAAAATGCGCAACGCGGGTTTTTTAGACACGCAGACGAACATCGCGGCCTTGGATCGCAACGACGGCAAGGTGCAGCGGGCAATCGAAGCGCTGTTGCTCGAACAAACGAGGTGCTATGGCTAAAAAAGGTTGTGTAGTTGGAAACTTTTGGAATGGCATGCATAGTAGCACAAGATCTATATTATGACCACTTTGATATTCACTTCATGCCGGTTTGCATGATTCACATAGACTTCGCGCCAGGTTTTTTTCACTCTTTTTTGCGTCAGACATTCATTGGAGCGAAGCATGAACCCCGGCATTCATATTTCACAGAATGAACAAAGCTCAAGCTGCTTACTAAATTCTTTGACGGAGGAGTAGTTCGTGACGTCGATTGAAAACTCTGAATTTATCATGCATGTATTGAACGAAGTCGAAGGTCTCGAGGAAGACCGAGTCCGCGGGACAGGCGTGGTGCTTGAGTTATAAGGCAAACACGTAGATCTTCTAGATTACTTAAAAGTTCGCATTTGCACATGGAAAATAGAAAAGATGTTCACGAGTAAGAAATAGACATGGAGGAAGCTCGCGAACTCGATGCTGAGTTGCCTCCTGCGGTGTCACAAAAAGAGCACAGAGAAGCGACAGTAGAGTGTGACAGAGAGAGTGGAACCGCATCAAAGTCGCGTTCGTTCAGAGGCATTGATAAAGAGCAAGTAAAGACGCCAGCACGAAATGGAGACTTCATTTGGAAGGGACACGTAGGTGGCTCGACCTCGAGTGTATCAAATCAATTCCTCATCTTTCTCGATACATGTTCTTTGAGGAGTAGGGCTTTGAAATTTGAATTTCGAAGGCTCGGTCTGTACCGTCGAAGAAGATACAAATAGAAAAAACTGCAGCGCGCTATTTTGAGCGATGGCAGGGACGCGAGAAGAACGTCGAGTCACTTAGTACTTGGACCTAGAAGTTGTAGAATATTTGTAATTTTGCACCGAAGAGACTTAGAGGAAGGAAGAGGATAATCTAAGGGGACTGCCTCGAATTGATTTACATCATCACTTCTGATTTTGCAGACTTTACTATCTCGGTTTCTGTGCAGCAGGCGGGAATAAAGGGTGCAGCGGCATCCCTTGCAGGGAAAAACTTGACGCCGCAACGCCGGATTACAACGAGAACAATCGTGAGCTGATTTTCGTCGCAGGGATGGATGCTATTACAGACCCAGCTGCTCTGGTGAAGGACGCGCGCCGCCCCCTTGCAGAACCTTCGAGGCCCCAACAGTCGGACAGAAAGTATGAAATTTTCGACACTGTTGCGGAGAGGGAGTGCCGCCCTGATTTGGACAAGCTAGATCGCATCCCGGGTAAGAGTGACGCACCGTGCAGGGGAAAGCAATCCTGCGGAGCCTGGGACGAGATGGCTTACTACACGTCTGCGTTTGGTGATAAATCTGCAGCCCCTCTCAGAGAAAGACAGGAGGCTTGTACTACCATTGCGGGCGAAAACGCGGATGCCTACGATCCCAACGCATCCGCAACTGCTTACTTCTGGTCGCGTGGGAGGCGCGGCGGAGGCAGTTGCCGAACAACGTTCGCTGAGGCGGATCAGAAGTCGCCGAAGTCCAAGGAAAAAAGAGTGACAGGCGACCAGGCTCAGGGACTGGGTGCATTCCTGGAGGAATCTACGTGTGATCGAGAACAGGACGGACGGACGGACGGACGGACGTTGCAGCTGAACCTGGTGTATGGCCGCCCACTAAGCCATGCGGCCCGATAAACGCGATTGGAGTTTCGCGCTCGCAGAAAATCCCAATTTACCGGCATAACGACCTTCTGTACCGTAGAGTTTTTAGTAAGTACTCTGTTCTCATGAACGTGCGCAGCGCACGGGGGGTAGGATGACACGAGATAGTTCTGATTCGAAATGATGAAAATGATCGCGATGTTCTTCAAGCCGTTGCTTGCAAAGAAAATGAAGAGAACTGGACCTTTGATGTGATTCCTTGGCTTGTGAAAAAACGGAAAAAATAAAAGGTGTACTAGTGGCTTGCCATTTCCGAATGACGAATTCGCACGGGAGGCCTGCGCTGGAGTCCGACCTGGAAATCGTTCGCAAGGCCTGTTGCGGGAATACGTTGAGTCACGGCCAGCTGAAGGGGAGACGGCTCTGCGCGAGACGTTCACTCCACGTGGGGCAACCACGACTGCACCGGGATCCGCGGTTGGGAGACAAGACTTATCGCGCACGACGGATGCCACGGTCGACAAGAAGAAGCTTCCGGCCAAGGTGCAGATGTTGCTTGCTGCGGGGAAAGACAGCGGGAAGGGAGAAGAAGACGGGGAGAAGCAAGTACTGGCGGAAGAGATGCGGTCATGGAGGACAAGGACGACCCGCGACCACAGCGGCAAGCATGAGAGGGGCTGCGAGGGAAAAGGCAAATGTGGCTGCAGTGACAAGGAGTGTGCACGACGTGGAAGTTGGCACGGATTCGGCTTTTGGAACACGAAGAGTCTGGCGAAGCGCGACGGTGCTGAAAAACGCGATCAGGAACACGAGTTTAATGCTGAAGAACAAGAGTGCGGAGACAGCAAAAGAACAAGAAGACTTTTAGACGGCACGACGCCCCGAGCCCATCACTGTCGACATTGCGAGAAGGACGTGTGGGAGTCTGACGAGTTGAGGACCTCATGGCTGCCCACTGAGAACACAGGGATGAAATCGGTGTTCCTCGTGGATTTTTTGCGCTGCTCTCTGCAGAAAGGGCTTCGCAGCCCAGGCTACCATGCCGATGGAGTCTGCAGTGATGCTGCTCGTGACGATGCCTGTGATAGCGCTGCTGACCAGATTCCGATTGCTGGCATAACTCCTTGTGAAAAATTCCGGTTTGAAGGTAGCAGATCGAGATGCTTGGCTTCCAGCCACAGGTGCTGGCGCAGAGGTCGCAAGATTCTGTCACTGGACAGAGCCGGCTCCTTCGGCGAGGAAGACCCGAAGCTGTCGCTGCGATCCTGGAAGAGCGAGGGCACGCAGTCGGAGTACAAGTCTGCTGAAGATGTTGCAAGAGAAAATTTGTCCGGGTTGAAGATACAACATGGGGTTGCCGCTTCGTCTCGGTCTCTAGTGCAAAAGTTCAATACCAGAGGACGCAATCTCATCCGCAAGGCTACACACATCCGGTTCCGCGAGTCAAAGCAGTTGCACGTGCGGAACTGGCGCTTGAATGTGGGTGTTCTTCTTGTACTGCACGCAGTTCGGTGTTGCCAGACGGTTCTCTCGACCACTCCCAATCAAGAACACGCGAAGCCGGAAAACAGTGGAGCTGCAAAAGAGCCCGCCCGGAACGAAGACGCATTGCTTGAGGATGATAGCACGAGTGCTGCTGGCCGGAGTGCGTCAGAGGCCAGCCAGGGAGCCGCCGAAGGATCTACGACGTTACATCTAGGAGAACAACCGGAAGCAACAAGAGGAGCCGTGCTGTCGTTCTCGCAAGAAGGACGTAATTTCGTGCAGGCGCAAGTGTGCGACGCTGTTCAAGCAGACACGAAGACTCTGCAGATACTAAAAGATCTTCTTGATCAACATCAAAGCGGAGGATCTTCGTCAGAAGGAGAAAGTTCAGTTGAAAGTAGCTCTGCCGACGAGAAGAGCAAGACTGGGCCATTGGTCGAGTACCTCCAGAAAAAACTCGTGGAGGCACCGGGGGGTACAAAGAGCGGTAAAGGCTGCATAAAAGCGGGCACTGTCGCACGTTCGCTCGAGCGCCTACTGTGCCAGGAAGAAAGCAACAAGGGCCAGGTGGGGAACGCACAGCGTAGTACAATCACAAGCAAGTTCTGCCTCAACGAGCTGGACGCGAAAAAAAAAGAAAATCAAAATCCACGAACTGAAGACGAACTTGCCACAAGCCGGCAAAGAAAATGGTTTGAAGCGCTGCTAAAATTTCGTGGCGGACAGCGCGAAGCAGAAGCACAATTGAGGAACTCCTGGCATGAAATATTTGGAGGACGAAGCGGCGAGACTCACCACATCGACGAACACTCGGGCTCGGAGTCCGAGTCGGACGAAAACTCAGACTCGAAGCCAAACTGGAAGAGGGTCGTAACGGAGTTCAACAAGGCAGAAGTACAGCACATTGAAAGTCGCTGTAACATCATTCCTGAAGTGCAAGAACCACAGTGCAAGCACATTTACCGAAGGGCCTTCGACCAAAGATTTCTCTTCAAAAATCGAGGAGGAGGACGTCGACAGTGGAATCGCGTGGAAATACAAGCACGAGCAGCACCCGATGCCCGCGTGTCCAATCATGGTGGGAACATTGACAAAAACGCTGCAGCTGCGAAGCCTTTTTTGGTAGTCTCCGTGCGTAGCAGGTCATTCGGACCCGGACGAATCGCGCAGCATCACTGGGTCAGGATTCTAGCCTTCAAAGACATTCAAGATCCGAATCCCAAGGCGTTGTACACATCTTTCGGAGGGTACGGAATGAGCTGCGAGCTTGCGGAGCTAGATCCTTCTTCAATTCCGGCGCTCCAACGCGCCAATGAAGATGAACAGGAGATGTTGCCACCTTTTTGCCGCGTTGCACACCTGGAGGTGACCACCGGGAAAGATGGAAAATGTTTTGGGAGGGACTTGAGACAGTGCGGTGATCGAGCAGAAGGGAAGTATCTTAAGCTTACAGAAGAAGTTCTCGAAGATTTTACTTCAGAGGATGAGGGGGAAGCTTTCCTTCTGTCGGCTCGAAAAGCTATGAGCCGGTTTGTTGAAAATATCAACTGGTCCTTTCGTCTATACGATGAGGAGGAGAAGGAGGATGAGGAGGAGTTCGAGGAGAATGAACAAGTTGAAGTTCAAGACCAGGACCACTCGGAGTCTGCTACTCGGTCTTACAAAACAGCGAGGAACGAGTTTTTTCAACAACTGGAAACGTCTTGGGGCCTGGAGCATGTTCTCGAAGACAATCAGGAGGAACTTTTGCAAAAGATCTTCGACGCCTTTCTCCTGGACAGGAACAACCCGAGAATGTTCGACGTCGACGGACGCATACTTTTTAGGAGAGGATCGAGCAAGCTCCAAACGATAAGCGAGTCGGTGGTTCCTGGTCTGACCCTCGACGACGCCTTAGTGGTTCTGCACTTCGCATACAGAACTTTCTTCCGAACTGGATACTCAGCGGCTGGCGAGTCAGGAAGTAATCCGTCCCAGATCGAGCAATATATGGACTCTGCTGCGTCGCCCAAGAACTGCCAGTCGTACGCCCTCTTTCTGTTCAACTTCTTTTTCGACGATTCTGTTTGCAGAGCGCAGGCACAGGCAGCTCGTTTTCCTTACGAGAGTCTAGAGGGGAAGTTCTTTGTTTTCGACACGCGACAGAAAGGAATGCGGCACAAATTTGAACGTTTCTGGTCGGACATATCGTACTGGCAAGGGAACCTATTTTACAACGATGAGCCGCGTTGCCATCTCTACCAGGTGGCCAGTCCCGATCGCGGTGAAGGCTCGGCGGTGGTTGAATTTCCAGCAACCATTCCTCTGCGCATCCACCAACAGAAGGACGCCGAAGAAGCTGAAAGTGCGCGACTACTCGGAGAAAGTTCCACCTCCCCTGAAATTCGGGGCAGAAGAAATGCACGGAGAAGAAATGAGCAGTCGCAAGAAATGCACGGAAAAACAAAAAGCGAAGCTGAAACGGCCTTCGACCCCCAGGGCGCACTAGAGTTTGTGCCGACTTCTGAGCTGGCGGAGACGTCGCGAGCACCACCAGCACCGACCAGCCCTGTGCAGGACGTGCGCGAACAGCTGGCGAGCAGTACTCTGGAGCTCTCTGCTGCGCACGCCGACAGCCAGGATTCGGTTACCAGATCTTCCGCAGAAGCGTTTCAGTCGCCGCAGCATCCTACTTCATCCACGACAGCCAGCAAAAGATCGACGGCAACATCGCCCACTGCTTCGGAAATCTCGTCGCAAGGCGACTTGAATGATCACGGTGCTCTCGAATCGTCTTCAGTCGATGCTGGTGTCGTGGAGGATTCCAATTCATTCCGCCCGAACCTACGGCAGGAAACGTCAGACGGAGTTGGTCGTGCGAAGGAACACCACTACACAGCTGACACTGGGTACTTGGATTTTCCCAGAGGAGCAGCAGCTTTCCTGCAGGAGTGCACACAAGGCTTCGACCGGGGCGGTTTGGTTTTCATCCTTGCGCTCTTCGGGTTCGCGGTATTCTGCTGTGTGTTGTCGAGCTTGCGTAGATGCGTTTGCGCTCTAGTGGAACGCTGTACGGGGGGCCGGATCGACATTTACCTCGGAGAGAACTGGTTCGCGCCGGGCAAGGAGGGTCAGCAACTTTTACCCACGCAGAATGAACCCGCGGCCGCGCGCACGAGCAGAGAGTACTACGGAGCCGCTGGAAACACAGCAAATACAAGTACCAGTAGGTGTACCCGTAGTTACGCCGCGAAATGCGTCAAGCGGGGCGCCACAGAGTCAAGTTCGCAGGACGATATGCCGAACGCACAAACGAGCAGAGCCGCATCTGACCACGAGGAGGACGGCTTTCCGTAAAGCCGGTCTGCAAGAACTATCACGAACCTAGCTGATCTTGACGGATTCGGTATCGATGCGCAGCAGAAGCAACCAGAAAGCAAGTGCTAATCTTTTCCTTTTCTCGTGAAAGCAGAAGTGTTCCACACCTCTGCAGATATTCTTACCTTCTTGGATCACTTAGTAGTATGTGCGAGGATTTTTCCCGCTCACCTTAACTAAGAAGCGCACACGCAATTCCTTTTCTCGTGAAGGATTGCGCGCCTTCACAGGCTGCTGGCACTAAACGGCTTTAGTGCTGTTCGTTACGAGTACAGGTCGAGGCACTTCATCGATTTGAAAATAAGTGCATACGTACGACCGTTTGCATTTTTCGCAGACGGCAGCGATGCGACTCGTCGGAAGACCTCATCATTTAGGAGCTCCGGTTTTCGTTGTCGTCGCCGAAACAAAGCTCGATTGACAAAAGAGCGACTTTTTAAGAAGAGTTGTTGGTATTTGATCAGAGAAGTGGATGACTCGCAAAGGAATTCGTTGGATTCGCTGAGAAGATCCGCAAAGCAGAAACGCGTTTTTTCGATTTTGCTTGGCTCGATGATTTGTTTGAACCCACCGAGGATACCTTGATTTGCTCGGAATTCAAAAAGTAGCTGCGGGACTTGATCGTCAGATCGTGAAGTAGAGGTACTTTGGTTTATAAATATACGTCTTTTCGTGAGTAGGACAAAAGTGCTCATCCCCACATACCTTACTCAATCTGATTCGTCGCGAAAACACTTTTGTTCACGATCTGAAGCTGGAAGTGGAAACACTTGCTACTTCTCCTAGACAGAGAAAATGAGTTGGGCTCGGAGCCAGCCCACGGGGCGGCTGCCTCCCGCAACGCGAACCACCGGTGCGAACAAGGGGGGTTCCGCCAAAGCGTCTGGTTTCAGCCGCACTCCAAGCCCGTCCTACAATCCGGGAAACCTCCGCGGACCGAAGGCAGCTACTGGCGCGGCCGCGCGGGGCGGCGTTTCGCGAGGCGCCACGTCAAGTCACACGGCCCTGGCTAACAAGCCCATCCCGCGTAGCGGAAACTTGAAGCAGTACTGGGAGCAGGATCTGTCGACCACTTTGATCCCGATGCGCGATCGCCTCGCGCCGATCGCGCGGAAGGCCGAACTCGACCAGAACGACCTGATGCACGCCGTCTGCGCGAAGAAGAAGAAGACCGACGCAGCGGAGGCGGAACGGGATAACGCCGAGGAAGAGTATCTCGCCTTCATATCGGAACAGGCCGCCTTTTGGAACGACTTGACCGAAGTGATCGCCAATCTTGAGGAGGAGAATGAAGCTAATGGGCCACAGGTGATCAACAGATGTTTATTCAGATCGTAACACAAGTACAGTGATTTCGCTCTGAGGAGGACGGACGCGAGGTTTTTTTTCGGTCAGCTGTTTCTTGTGAGGTATCCGTCTGAATGAATGACTCTGAAAATGAAAATGAACCAAATCAGAAAAGCTGCAAGTATCGAATTCATACCTCAGACTCGCCAGCTCCACGCCGCCAGTGTGGCTACCGAGGACGAGATACTGGATCTGCGGAAGGATAAGGAAGTGGCGAAGGAACGGGCGGACCACGCGAACAAGCGTTCCAAGCAGATGATTGCCGACATGGACGGATTCGGCAAGGAGATGAAGAAGCAAGAGGACGTCCTGAAGGAGGAGCGGAAACGCGCCACCGCGATGGCCGACAGCCTGCAGGAGGACCGCGCCCACCTGACCGACCTGCGACACATGTGCCATTGCATCAGGAACAACGTCCAGGTCTTCTACGTGGGCAATTCCTGTCTCTCGTCCTCCTCCGCCTCGAGCGGCTGCGTCGCACCCTCGTCGTCGCCGATGAAAAGTACAGTTTTTCTTTGCGCCTACTTGTTGGAACTTGATTCGCCTGGTATGCATGTTCATTTGTTATGGTAGTGTTCTTCTGACTCTGCCTAAAACTACATTATGACCCCAATCTCTCTCGTCATTCACATCAGTTTCGGGCACGACTCCTCCGGCCGCGAGCCATGCTGGTACTACCGCGAACGGCACGCCGCGGGACCCGGCGCGCGCCGGGTCCGGCAAGGTGGTGAGTCCGGACGCGCTGGTGCAGCTTTCCTACATGAACCGCGGCTGCGAAAGCAGCAAGGACAACTGGGTAAAGCCAGACGAGCACTGGTACAAGGACGAACTGTACCTGGAGCACTACACCACGGCGGAGTTGTATCGCACGAAAATTATAAAACTGTCTCCGTCTCAACTTGTAAAGCGGGTGTTGTTCCTTGAGACACTTTTGTGTCATGCTGAATGGACGTCGAAAGGTGTCTTTCGTAAGGCGTCTTGTTTTTGTGCCTGACGCAACATCACAAGTTTTGCGTGTCACGACGCTGGCCGAGTTCGTGTTTTATGCTGACCGAATTTGTGTTGCTGAGTCTGCAAATCAATATTTGAGACTGAAACTACATTTTTTTCGTACGATAAGTTGGTGGACTGCGGGCCCTGGGACGCGCACTACCAGTACATTAAGCAGCTGGAGGAGGAGTCCGCAACGGAGGACGTCGAGGACGAGGATGAGGACATGGATGCGTCTTCAGGCGGGGCGGACGAGGACCCTCGCAGCCCCGAGCCCAAGCTCACCGACGAGGAGCACCAGGAGCGGTTGGCACTGGGCCGGATCGCGGAGTTCGTGCTGCAGACGGAGCTACCCTACATCCGGGCCCGCATGGAGCACTGCCACGGCTCGGCCGTGGTGCTGTTCTTCAAAAACAACCATAATTTTCCCGCCGCTTCGTCATCATCCAGTGCAGGAGTAGGAGATGTTTTCGCCAGCGGTGGGAACAACAACACGAACAACAGCAGTCAAGACAAGAGAGATGTTGAACCTGCGAACAGGGGCTTTTTGTTCGACACGGTGGCAAAGAATTTCGAGAAGTGCTTCCGCAACAATGCCACGCGCGAAAAGGACTACATCGTGCGGCAGCAGCCGTTCACGACGGGGGCCGGGCAGCCGGTGCTGACCAACAGCAAGCAGAAAGCGGCGCTCCGGCAGCAGATGCGGCAGGAGGCTGACCAGTACGTGTTCGAGGGGTATCGGGCAAGCAAGGTGAGCGCCAACCACATCTGTCTGCTCGGCAGCCGGAAGCGCAGCGCGCCCGCCGCCACCGGTGAGGACGTGGCGGAAGCCGCGATGAACCCCAGCGAGCAGAGCAGCTGCAGCCTGATTCAAGTAGACAGCGAGGAGGACCAGAAGGCGATTTGTGAAATCTTGCAGTCTTCACTGGCGACGAAAAAGAGCACCAGTTCTGCGAACGCCATGGCGTCGTGGGGGAACAACTCCAGTAGGGCCAGTGTGGATGGGCCGTTGAGCGGAGATGGCGCTGGTTCGCCGAGTGGCCAGGTCTTGCGGTTCCTGCGCCAGTTCTTCAGTGCGCCGGGAAAAGCAGTTTACGTCGCGATCATTGCAGAAAATCCGACGGTCCCCGTCCTCAGCCAGGCGCTGCGGCTGCGCGCCCTAGATTCGCGCGGCGGCCCCGCCCTCACAGAGCACGACCGGAGGGGAGACGCCTGCAAGGGGACAACGGAACACGAAAGAAAAAATGTTGTGAATACTTGACTTGAAGGATTTTTTTGAGTTGAACAGGACTAGAGTCGGCTGATCAATAATACTTGTCTCGACCAGTAATGGCAAGACCACTGTCTGGCGCAAACCCTGTTTGTGTATTCCAGGGTCTCATCGCCTGACTAAAAGACTGAGAAGTTTCATCGGCCAGCCTTTGTGCTCGGAGAAAACTCATTAAAGATAAGGAAAAGCTCCGAAATTCAAGCAGGCCCAGTTCCTGGGATGCTTGTCAGAGTTTGTTGTTGCTGCCTGAAATGAGAAGATCGGTTGTTTGCCTGAAATGCTTGTCAGAGACCTGAAATGAGAAGATCGGTTGCTGCCTGAAATGCGAAGAGATCTGCGCTCGACCACTCTGACGAGAAAAAAAAATGGGGCTTGGATTCGTTCATTGTTTTCGGTCACAAATAAACTACTTGAAACTCAATAGCGAAGGATCGTTCCGGTTCGGTTGTTGGAATCCAAGATGAAAATGCATATTGCAACAGTGCCTTCGGTGTCGTGCGCACTATTACACACAGCAATAGTTAGAGTTGGCCAATGCGTATCTCTTGCACATCTGTACCACATCGGCTCGTCTTCGTTTGCATCAGCTCGACGTCTAAATGTAATTAAGTAGCCAGATTCTTTGCCGGACTTTGACGCGCGTGTGAGTAGGGCAACAAGCAACATTCCTGCAGGCCCCAAGCGGTATACGTAGACATCTTCTGAGACGAAATGCAAATTAAATTATATGATGAATTTAAGTCGGAAAGTGGCCTGATTTGATCGCTCAACCGAATCTGGAGTACAGTTTTTGAAGCTTTGTTGCGGCTGAAATTCTTGTTTGCGGAAAATATAGTTTAGGATATACAAGTGTGGAGCAGCGTCATGGCAGACCTGCCGGAGGGAACAGACGCCAACATGGCCGCAGTGGAAGAAGAAGAGACAAGCTCGGAGTCCGAGACTTCCACATCGTTACACGCAACAGAGCCGACGCCGGAAGCGACGGAAGCAGCATATGCAGAAAGTGTTTATGTCGACGACGGAAGAGATGGCATCGGCAGTGCTGCGTCCGCGAAGGCCGTGCGGCTTGCCAGGGACAACTTCACTGCAATGATGCAAAGTGGGGTTGACTCGGGGGAGTACGTAGCAGCAATTAAGGCAATCGAGCTCGACGCGTGTTTTGAAGACCTGCGGAAGTTGCTCTTGGATTACGAAGAAGAGGCGCACCGCCTCGCATCTGAGGAGTATAATCGAGCTCGAGCCAGCGCCGACCCCCGGCTTTTGCCGCTCACCACAGTCGGAATCGAGCGGCTGGGCAGCGAACTCAACGCGGAACAGGTGGCGCCTTGGCTCTGGAAATTGCGCGAGCTGCTGACGAAGATTGTCAGTAAAAGCATGCCCCTTCAACGGATCTACTGGGACCCGGAGACAGGAGTTCTGTGCGACTGGCAGCGGCGCGCCCGTTTTTTTGCGGACTACCGTGAGGATGCGCGCGGCCGTGAGCGGTGGCCGGTAGACTTTCCCTACCACCGGCTCGGAAACCTGTATTATCTGTTAGCCAGCGGTGCTATGGGCCCGGTGCTCGATTTCCTCGCGCGCCCGGCGCCCGGGGATTCGGCCGCAGCGGGCTGTAGCGATGCCACGTCCGGCGAGCGCCGCTTTTTGATCGTGAAGCGAGTAGCCGCCGTCTTTACATACCACAGCCTCCGTGTGGACGACGCCGCCTATTTTTCAGAGGAGTATGCCAGTGGAAGCCCGCAGCTCGATATTGATGTGGCAAGCATTTTGACACTCCCATTTCCAGCGATTGGCGTTGCGCTGGCTCGGGGAGACTATAACGCGGTTGAGCTTCTGGAAAAGCTGGGGGCAAGCGTTGCGCCGAAGAGACTCGTTCGTGACGTCGATCCCATGAATGAAGACGATTTCGTCTATGGATCCGGGCGTGACGTGCGAAATGCGTCCGTATACGGCGTACTGGTGCGGCTACTAAATAGACAGACGAGGCGCGACTGGTTGGCCGCCCATGGGCCCGGTCGGGGTAGCACTTTGCTGAAAGCCATGGAGTATATCAGTTCCAAGGACGACGAGATGCGCAGAAAACAAAGAGAAAGCGCCAAGCGACCGGACGCGCAGACACAGGAGCGGAGTTTGGACAGGGCTGTTATCCAATTAGACGAAAGCGGTTTGATGGAGCTACCACTCAGGGGCCACGACGAAATTTGGCACAACATGGCGACGGACACCTACTCCCTTGACGGTTTTCTTGCCTATATGGATACATTCAAGCTGGACATCAACAAGCCCGACCCCTCCCACTTCGGGCGCGGGCACATCATCGGGCACTTCGTGGGCCGCCCCTTAAATTTTCTCCAGCTGATGCGACGGGGCGCGCGCTGCCCTGCTGAGCTGAACGGCACAGAAAGCCTGCGCGACATTGCGGCGGACAGCCAGAACATCCACCATAGCACTGTCATGACTGGGCGGCTTACGCAATGCTGGGCGCAAGCGCAGCGATTTATCGACAGCCACAGGAAAGACCACGCGAAGGATTGCAGTGTGGCGCCGGTAGAGGTGCAGGAAGTTTTGCAAGACAGAATAGCGAAGTTGACAAACGCAGACTTTGACCAGCTGAAAGACGCCGAGCCGAAGGCCCGAGTGCTGCCGGACCTTGCCGCAATGCAGCGGTGTCTGCGGTCGCAGCTACAGCGTTTGGTAGGGCGCAGAGAGATGCTTGGCGACGAACAAAAGAAAGACCCGTTCAGAAGCGGCGAGTTTGGTCTTCAGCTAGTTTACAACTTTTTGCGACTACGACTGTCGTCAGATGATCCGGTGAAGCCGATCTTGTGCGCCCTGCTCCAGTCCGGAAATGAATACGGGCTGGGTGCGCAGTCCTGTGACCCGCAGCGAATGATCCTCGCGATTCTCTTGGGGAGGACGGACGGTCTGGAGAGCTCCGACGCAGAGGATGGAGAAGGCGCAAGAGCGAGGGGCAGCGGCGCCAGAGAGTACGAGGAAGCGCTGGCCTCGCGATATTTGCAGACTCTGCAGAAGCTGCGGGCGTCCAATAGTCACCAGATCATGCTGGACGCCCAACACCGTCTGGGCCTACTTGAAAGACCGAAAGATCTGCAAGAAATCTTCGACGCGATAGTGTATGAGTGCGCCGACGTTGAGTACCACAGAAACAACCTCTCCGGCATGTTCGTTACGCAATTGCTCGACGACCTCCAGAGGCACTTCCGCGACTCGAACAAGTACACGGTCGTGGATTTCGTGCGGCTCCATCACCTCCCCTGGCCGCTGTTCCGGGCCCTCCGAGACATACAGGGCATCGCGGACATATTTACGGAGCTGTTTCTGGGAGAAGAAATGGCTGCGGCATTCGCGCCGTTTGTTCTGTGTGGCGGCGAAGGCAAAACATCGGAGCCAGAGCAGGCCGCGTCAAGTAGTGCGAAGCGAGTCAAACGCGAGCAGTGAGACTTCTGCTTTTTTCGAGACAAAAGACGCACGCTATCGCCTGAAAGTCAGTAGTTTAGTATAGCTGTTTCAACATCATCCCTATTCCAGAAAGCAGAACAAGGCACAGCTGTCGAAAAGAACAGATTGAAAACCGAGTCGGATTGTGGAACTCCTCGAGCTGTTGCACAAGGTATTGAGGAAGAGGAAGTCAAAACGTGTTGCACTCTTCGTATCGTGAGGCACCTTTCACAGAGCTAAGGCGCGCTAGAGAAGGTTTTTGTGTTCGACTTGCTATTCTTTAGTCTGCATTGTCATTTCACCCTGCTGATTTATGCATGGATATGTTTGTTGTAATTCGCTTTTCTCGCAACTGCAGACTCATTTAAAGAGACGACGACGAAGTGATCTACTGCCAGCGTCATACCAGAAAACAGATGTCTAAATCAAGGTTGTGATCGACGTTGGAGTGTGTCAAAATGGCAAAGAAGCAACTCTAGTCATGACGAAAAAAGCTTTCACGAATCATGTCCATCTCGACTTTGAAGAATAGCATCAATCGATCTTCCAACATCTCATCTCTACGTGTAGACTTGAGGCTAAAAATAAGGATCGAACATTTTTTCACCATTTGACTATTCGTATCGCATCTCGATATCGATCGCAAAAGGCGTGCTTCACCCTGACAAAAAATTATTTTGCTGCAGGACCCTGGTTTAGTGAAGTGTTTCACTCATTGATAATATAACCATACAGGCGAGAAAAACATCAAAGTGCTTGACTCTAGTTAGTTCCTGGATCTAATTATATGTATATCTGAAGTAGTCGCTCGCGGCATTAAGAAATCTCGTAGCAGAAGCAGAGGAATCAAAGTTCCCTTTCGTCTCTTTACAAAAACCCAAACCACCAAAATGGCTGACGGAAACGTGAAACTGAAGTCCAGCCAGGGCGACGTCTTCGTCGTCGAGCGGGAGGTTGTATCAAATGCAAAAATGTCTGGGTCTGGAAGCTTGTGATGCTCAAAGTGAATGGTAGACGGACTGCAATACGCAGCTATGCATGACAAATTTTTTGGCTCTCATGTCTTACGTATTCCGCATGACAAACTGCGTTTTTGCATGACAGATAAGAGGGCCTTTTCGTGCCTATGCAACACAGATTCTCGAGTCATGCCAGACACGCATGACAAACCTGCATTCTTCCAGACCCAGACATTTTTACACTTGATAGGTTGCGGTTATGTCCAACCTGCTGAAGAACATGATTGACGACTGCGCCCCGGATGAGGAAATCCCGCTCCCGAACGTCAAGTCCACGATCTTGCAGAAGGTATCACTGGTTGCGGCTAATGCGTGCTTTTTTTGCATGATAGTACAGTATGTAAATTGCATGATGCGCCGCATCGTTGCCAGTGCACACATTTTACTGCAAAGACTACATCGTGAAGCGAAATACATAAAGTAAAAGTCGAAAATATGCGCTTTTCTATACAGGTGATCGACTACTGCAAGCACCACCGGGACTATGGAGAGAAAAAAGTTTGTCACAGTCACTAACTTGCAGGCTTTGCATTACAAATTTTCTCAGCATCACAAACTTTCCTTGTATTGCAGAAACACTAGGGAAATACCTAATGAAGTTTGGCTGTGATGCATTTTTACGCATGACAAACAATTTAGTATTGCAAAAATGCGCATGAGTGATCGTGACGAACTTTTTTTCTTTGATAGGGACGAGTCTCCGGAGGAGATCCAGAAGCCGTTGAAGTCGCACATTTTGACGGAGTGCGGCGTGTTATCAATTGCAAAAATGTCTGGGTCTGGGAGATGGCGAGATTTGTCATGCTTGTCTGGCATCACTCTGAACTCTGTGTTGCATGGCCGTGAAGAGCTCTTCCTCCCTGTCATGCAAAAACGCAGTTTCTCATGCGGAGTACGCAACTCAGAGCCATGGAAAAAACTTGTCATGCTTGGCAGCGCATTATAGTCAGTTCACTATTCCCTTTCTTGCATCACAAGTTTCCAGACCCAGACATTTTTGCAGTTGATACGTGTCGGAGTGGGACAACAACTTTGTGACGATCGAGCAGGAGGTGCTGTTCGAGCTCATTTTGGCGGCCAACTACATGGACATCAAGTGTCTGCTGGACCTCACCTGCGCCAAGGTCGCGTCTATGATCAAGGGAAAGACCCCGGAAGAGATTCGTCAGCAGTTCAACATCGCCAACGATTTCACGCCGGAGGAGGAAGCCCAGGTCCGGGAAGAAAACAAATGGTGTGAGGACGCGTAAGCAGTATTTCGTCGTCTCGTCGCGGCATCACGACTAGCGGATTTGGATTTAATCAAGAATATTGGACGAGCAAGATGTTCGTTGTACTACTACCGACGAGGAAAACGTCGCAGGTGATCGTCGATGTTTAGTCCCGCCGTTGTTGTGAAAATTGATGACTAGTGGTGTCAAATTTCGCAAGCAGGGAGGCACTAGAAAAGCATCTAGATGATCTTCTATCTTGTTTTCAAAAAGAGCTTTATTACTTCACCGAGTTGATTGTACCCACTAGCGATTGTCAATCTCGTATTTCGAGAGACTACAGCAATTCCATTTTCCCGGATGGTCTTGCCAGAGAACTTCTTTCCACAGCGACCGCGACCCATGATCTCTTGTCCTACGAGAAGCGCAATTCCCGCCTCTACTCACTTCCCAAAAAACGATCTTCATCAAGCGACCGCACTACGCTACCATGGGAAGCTGCGTTTATCAATGACGATATGCTAATCAAGTATCTATAAATTTACGTTGGGTCTCACTCGACAGCACGATGCCAGAGAATGCTTCGACGACATGTTAGCGGGAGTCCGCGTTCTACAGCGCTGTTGTGGTGTTCGACATGTTACTGACTAGTACTCGCACGAAGTCGTGATCGTTTCAGTAAAGTTCTGGACTTGATTTCGTTCGTTTATCGCTGTCGTAGAGAGAAATCGGGAATGCGAGGCATGATACCCCCTTTCGAGACATGTACAAATTGCATAGAGTGTTTAAAACCGAGTGAAACGATAAAGCATATATCGGAGTTTCGAACCAGAACTGTCTATCGCGAACATCGTGTTGGAGTTTATCAGAGAGACGGAAAAGTTCGTGACGTACTACTTGCATCTCGCTTCGGAAAAATGGTACTAGAAATAGATACGAAGCATTCGCTAGTAGGTTCGTTTTGTCCGTGTCGAGTATTGAAGCAGAAGCTCCTTGACCACCACTTGGCGGATTTTGTGCGAAAAAAATGACGTCCGCGTCTACCCGGAGCGCGACGAGGAGCCATAAGAGCAGCATCAACGCTGCCAGGCAGTTGCTCGCCGACGCAGGTATCTAAGGACCTTTCCTAATTTTCGGTTGTACACGAGGCAGTGCCTGTGCCTCATAAGCATTGTTTGTGGGGTAGAGGTCCTTTCCTTGGTCGTCTATGATTTTGATTCAAATCAGAGGACAACTTCGCTGACAAATCCTCACTTCACAGAAGCAGCATTCAACCCGCATGCGGACGAGCATATCAGCGTCGCTAGTTCCACACCGTCAGGATCGCGAAAGCCGAGTAAAGGCACCCTGTCGAGCACAAGTAGAGTCTCAAAATTCTTCGACGATGAGGGCGTCACGTTCAGAAATGGTAAGATCAGTCGTGGGTTTCGGTCTGGCTTTAATTCTTCCTCGCGATGAATGTGTTTTTTTTGTGTGCGAGAATCGTATCAATTAGTGATTCTGGAATCAAAATTCCCCACACCATGACCAAGGTATTGCCGGAGAGCACTACGAGATGGGCGCTGCGCTCGTAGACTGCTCCTCCACGAGCAAGACAGAGGACGCCCACTGGTCTTCAGCAGAGGAGGAAGGGGAGCAGTGGTGCATCTACGACCTCGGCGAGCGAACCGTACTGACGGAGCTCAACTTCAAGTTCGCAGGAGGCGGCTGCATGCCACAGGTAAGTACTAATTTTTTGCCGATTTGTCGTGGTGTTTCATGTGCGTCGCTGGTGCAAGGCGATGAATAATTACTACCGGGAATAAATGGTGGAGTGTAACAAGTGTTGCAGCTGTACCGAAATAACGAAATACCAAATCCTGCTTCTACAGTGCGTCGCGATCTCCTACTGCACTGCGAGTAGCTTGAAAGAAGCGAAGACTGCAACTTTCATCTCCGTGAAGCGGTCCTTCGTGCCACAAGACTGTATTTTTCTTTTTCTCTCTGTTTGGCTTTGTCAGGAAGATGTGCGGAAACTCAGTGTCTCGCCCTGAATTTTCGGATTTCTGTTGTCTGTGCAGTCAGAGAATTCAAACTTTATGCAAAACCACCAGCAACGAAGCTCCATATGGGCTTCCGGTGCGAGGATGCAGCAAGGTTCTGGAAAGTTTCTTACCCAATAAATTGGGGCGGGGAGAAGACTGTGGTTGCTGACATGCAGTTTATCGCGGAAGACGTCGGCAGCCGAAAACTCTGTAAGATTCTTTTCGATGGGTTTAGTTCTGATGCACGAGCAGTCTGTGGAATTTTTTTTGTCCTGCGTGACTTTTGTTCAGAGATGAATTTTTCACACAACGCTCTCAAAGGTAACGGCCTGAAGCAAATGTCGCTCGAGCACTCGTCCCAACTTGGGCGATTGTGCAACATCTTCAACGAAACAGCAACCTTGAATATTACAGTGAAAAATGCCCCCCACCCCTGAAATTGCATAAAATTTGTGATGCGAAGTTTCCAAATGAAAATTTTTTGTCATGCATGAAAGGAGTATGAGTCTTTGTCTTTCGGATGCAGAGTCTAGGCGTGTATCGCATCGCTTGCATGACAAGCGCCACTCTTGCTGGCGTCTTTTGCAATGCAAATTTTTGCTAGTATTCACGATCGGAAATCTGTGATGCTGATAGATGCAAGAGGGCGAGTGTTTCATTTGGAAAGGTTTGCAATACAAATGCTCCCAAGTTCGGGGGTGGGGGCATTTTTCACTTTGATATTGAACGACGCGCAAAAGGAAGTCCGTGCGATTGCACGAAAACACAACATCCCGCTTGGGGACGCAGAGACACTGCGGGTGAAATTTGAAAAATACGACGCGGACGGAAGTGGTACTTAAAATCAAGTATAGAAACGCGTGATCAAGATGAAGAAGATTTGCAGTTGGTTCGTGAACACTGATATTTTTAGCGTGCCTACTTCGAAATAAAACTTCTAAAACCCGATGCAGGTCAAATCAGCAAGGACGAGTTTTCCTGCATTCTGCGTGAGCTCATCCGCGTGAAGAACGTCAGCGACATTCCGCAGGAGCGCTTCAACCACTACTGGCGCGAGGTTGATCTCGACCACTCGGGAGAAATTAGTTTTGAGGAGTTTTTAGTCTGGTATAAGCCCCATTTATTATTATTTTGTTTCTTCATCTTCATTAACATTATCCGAGACGAAGCAAAGCCTAAGCATGCATCTGGAGTGGTCTTGTCGGTATGTCTCCAGGCGCGCGTAGCAACCATTAAAACCGAAACACAAAAATCAGGTACACCAACATTGTGAAGACCGGTAGTTTGAACCCGAAGTCTTTCTACGCGACCTTCGGCGGCAACCGGTTGAAAGTTTTGGCGGAAGAAACCGAACGTCCCAGAATGCCCAGCAAATGAAATTGATACAAAATTGAAATTCAAAACGAAAGTACGATGAAATCGTGTACAAAATGAAGCACACTATGCGCATGTGTGTCTATTAACAAACTACCAGAGCACTTGTTTCCAAAGATACTGAAATTGGGGATGTCGACGAATTTACGTCCTGTAGTCCTTAAAGGTGAATTAGAGAGTAAAAAGCACTAAAAAACACGGGTTCATCGCGTGTTTTGCCGCTTGCCAGAAAACTGTAACCAGTAAAGAAGCGGATGCAGAAATGCACCTACAGACCAGCTCCTTTCTTGATTCTTGTAACAAAAGCACAATCCGACTTGCGAAGCAGTAGCAGATCTTGACAAGTTTTGATCGACTTAAAAGACCTGGATCGAGAGTATCAGGCACAAGCAAAAGGCACGGCTCCATCGCCGCGCCGAAAATTTCCCTTTCATTGTTACCGTGTAAAAAGCTTGAGATCCATCGAAGCTCGTACAACTACTTAATTCGTTCGCTTTACCCTTTTTGAATGGTTTTTCTCCGGGCAGAAGCCAAGGTGTTCCGCGTACCGCAGGAGGTCATTTTGTTCCTTGGCTTGATCGCTTGCGTGCCTGGAAGGATCGCGATCCATCGGTCAGGACCTATTTTTCGGATGCGGATCTTCATCTTTTTGTCGATCAGTTTTCTATCATGGATGCGAACTAATGAACAATGATGGAGTTGGGAACCAGCACACTGAGTTGTACCCGTGCGTGTTTGCTTTATTTTATTCGGTCACCCAGAAAATACAAATAGAAATACTTTACACATCAATTATGGGTCGTCGAAGATGCATCGAGTCTTAGCGGTGTGGCTGGCAAAGGTTCTTCGGCTTTGTTGCCTGTATTTCCTCGGTATAACTATGATCGGTGCGCCTACGACGCCGACCGCATTCTGAAAGACCATGTCGGCCAGTGTTGTTTCGTTTCTCCTCTGGTGCCAGTTTCTCGTCGGGGGCACGCTTGCAGACCAGGATGCCGCCCTCCGAGAGTGGCACGGGGTGGACAACAACCCGGAGGTGCAGTTTCGCATGGGCTTTGCCCTTTGCAACGCACGGGAACTGGGCATCCTCGCGCCGCTGAAAACTACCACCCCTGTTGTGATCATACGGTCGGCAGCCGAAGTGGCGGAAATTTCCACCGAGGAATTAATGGGCGGGCATACAACTGATAAAAATGGCTCCGAGGGACAGGGAGTGGCCGCCAGCGAGGAGAGGAAGGAAGAGCTGCTCTTCGAGAACGACGGAATACAGGCCGACGTGAATGCAAACGGGGCGCTGCAGGTCCTTTCTGGACAACAGCAGCCAGATACAAGAACCGACGGTATTAAAAATGCTTCAGGACAACAAGAACAAGCTGGCGATGCAAAACTCCCCTCACCGACCACTTCTGCGGTAGATCCGACACTCTTCTCTCCGGAGTCCGCGGACAGTTGGTATGACCTGCTCAAACGTTACAATCTCAAACGTTACAATAGAGTCTGAGATTTGTCTTGCATGATCAACATGACAGACTCGGACAGCATTCCACTTTCTGCAATACAAATTTCGCCAGATTGTAGTGCGGATTGGGACTCCAGAACTTGTCATGCGCAATCCTGTGGGAGTAGGGTAGATCATGCACTTCTTGCAACACAAATTCCAGATTCTATTGTAACGTTTGAGATTGTAACACCTGAGCAGGTTATAGTTGGTTCCAGACTTTTCTGGACCGTCGCATCTCCTTGCGCGACCCCGTGACCGGCGAGGAACGGTGGGACGTGCCCGCGGCGACGCTCCTTTTGGAGCAGGTGGATTCGCTCATTGCGGAGGACTATCAAATGTAAAAATGTCTGGGTCTGGAAGAATGCATGTTTGTCATGCTTGTCTGGCATGACTCTTAAATCTGTCATGGACGATACCCAAGAGCCCTATTTTTCTGTGATGCAGAAACGCAGTTTGTCATGCAGAATAGGCAACACCTAGAAGCTCAGAAACTTGTCATGTTGAGCCAGCACTTGTGGCCTCATCATGAGACGCCACCCAGCATCACAAGTTTCCAGACCCAGACATTTTTACATTTGATAAGGACGAGGGCGTCGCCAAAGTCATGTACTACGCGCTGGAAACGTGCCCGGGGGTCTTGTATCAAGTGCAAAAATGTCTGGGTCTGGAAGGATGTAACTTGTGATGCGAGTTTTAGAACACACAAAAATCTCTGATGCATAGGCAGCAAAAGCTGCTCGCTTTCTGTCACCAAAATGAGGGATTTGTCATGCGGATTCAGCATTGCGGAAGCTTGTTGAAACCTGTGATGCTAGAGCTTCCATGCCAGACCTTCTGTGTCATGCAGAAACAGCATGACTCTTCCAGACCCAGACATTTTTACATTTCATGTCTTGTTTGAACTCTTGAACCTCTACATCGTCTTGCACCAGCACGAAGACAGCTACACCGCACGACAAATCGGCCTCGTGGCGCGTTTCTTTCGAAAACGATTCAAGTTTTTCGCGAACATCTACAAGATGACCACGCACCAGCGGACCTTGCGAATTTTGGCGGACGAGAACAATCGGAGACTTTTACCACTGCGGGTCCCAGAAGCTCTGGCCGGACCAGACGCCAGTGCGGACGCGAGGCACGACTGGTTTCGAGTAGAAGTTGCGTGTAGGAAAGAAGTGCTACGCAAAACGCTCGAATTGGACGCAAAGAAGTATCATGACGGCGTAGTGGTTGATGGCGCATCGACGACTTCAACATCTTCATCAAGCCAAAAATCTTCACCCGGGAGAACAACGGAGAGTTCCGAGCTATCCGCCTGGAAAGCTTTTGACCTCGACGACATTCCGCTTGCTCTCGTTGCCGACGTTCTCCCGGCTTTGTTGCACCCGTCTTGCGTGTGTCGCGAGGTGAGAAAAAACAAGTGCAGAGCCGCAATGAACAGCGACGGTTGCGACCAGTTGGGCGAGATTCTCGGGGTGGAGCCTTTCTGCTTTCTAGCGCACCTGTATGCCCATTTCAAGGAGCAAATGAGGCGGGACGACGAGCTTTTCTACACGGAAGCTTCCTCCTCTACCTCGTCCTACAAGCCTATCCTGAGTAAAAACGTACCCACCCCAGAGTTGTCATGCAGATTTGCGATGACAGGAAGACTTGTAATGCGCATCTCCATGAGCATGAGAGGCATACCAGTCGTGTTTTGAAATTTGTGATGCTGTGAACAGGATGAGCAGATGAATCTGTGCTGCGGTTTTCCTTGCTAACATGCACTACACTGCGGAGCGCAACTTGTCATGCGTGACTCACAAAACTCCTAGGTTTGTGTTGCAAAGCCCCCAACTTGACTCTGGTGTGGGGACGTTTTTACTCAGGATAAAGCCCTTCACCGTGACCCCCGAGGACAAGCGGTTTCTGTTCTTCGGATATCAAAGTGAAAAAAGCCCCCACCCCATATCGAAAACGGAAGATGCGCGAATTTGTGATGCTGTATTTGAGTACACAAATCGACTTGTATTGCTAGAAGGCCAAGAGACGAAGCTGCGCCCTAAATTGCAGGCAATCTGTCATGCTGATTCCCACTTCCAGCTGCCTCCTGTCATCCTGGAGCTGCAAGGCTTTCCCACGCTAGACAGCACTACAGTCCGCATCTTTTGCCTTCTAGCATCACAAAGCTGATTTGTGACCACAAATCTGCATCACAGATTTCCGTTTTGATATGGGGAGGGGGCATTTTTCATTGTAATATCGGAAAGCAATTTTTCCTTTGGCAGGACGACGTTGAGGAGCGTCGGATCGAGAGCATCACTGAGTCACAGAGGATCGCAGCGCCGACAGAACTACACCCTTTTGTGGAGGAACTTGGCACGACTTCTACGGCAGCAGCCTCTGGCGCGCTAAGTGTCTCAAGAATAAGCAGTGTAACTCTCGTCGCCCTCTGCGCGCTGACGGATTTTCACTGGAAGGGTAGCGTATTGGACGCCGTGCGTCACGTGCGGCTCGGTTGGCGGCGAACGTTTGGGGATGACAGTATGCTGTTCGTCGTCCCACAGGGAGGAAAACCGGGAGCGCAAACTCTTGCGCGTTTCGGAATAGACGGGACAAACATGCGGCTCCTGGAGCTACCGGCGTCGCTGTCGTCCCAGATCGCGAACAGGAGCAGGAGTACTGTGTATCAATGTAGAGGAGTTCAAATGTGTTTTTTCGACGTTCGCACTGATTTTATTTGGCTGCGTGTCGCTGCCTCAAAATTGTATTCCTAAGCAATGTAATTGTAATGATCATCTCGATGGTTCGTTCATCTCGCTGGTGCAGCTCCGATATTCTACCTGTCAAATCATACAGGAAAGAGCAGAAGGAGCAAAGTGCAGCCACGGCCACGTCCGGGGCCTTTGACGCACTCCTGTCCGAGGTCTGGAAAGTCGTGGACACGGAGCAGATTTTGATTTCTGACGCATCCGGCTTCCCAGTCCGACAGAATCTTGACCCGACCCTGGTGCAAGCAGCTGTGTTTTTCGAGGAAGACAAGGTCAACGCCGTTTCTCTCGCCGATAAGATCCTCGCTCCGCGGGGGCGAAACGCGTCGGAACTCGCAGTTTCTTCTGCAGATGTTGAAACCAGTGTTGCTGAACCGGAACCGGTGCAAGAGGACACCGCTGGGTCAGCTACTACAGAAGAGAACTCGGAGGAAATGCGCTACGGATTTTACCTGCGCGTAGCGGAAAGCTTTTTCCTGCTTGCGCACGGAAAGAACGCGGTCAATCACGGCAACTGGAAAGAAACCAACCTTTTCGCGTCCGCAGTGGGGAAGACCGCCCGAAGCCTTGCCGGCGTCGCCGGCTCTTGGCAGGCACTCCCCGCCTACGTGCGAAATTTGGTCGCAGCGACGTTTTCCGGGAACGATTCTAACGGGCCTATGTCAAGAACAGACGCGGACCACGACGCAATGCTGCAAACCGCTCTCCGCAGCTCCTCATCCGGCGCACCTGTTGTGCGCAGCGTCCAAAAGGATTTCTTGCGCACTCGATTTTTTGTCGATATCCTCGGGGCCCGGGACGCCTGGCTAATGCGCAAAGACGGCGGAGCGAACAAAGAGAACGTGCAGCAGATCGGTACCATCGGTTTGAGCTCGGGGTTCGTGCGGTTCCAGCGCAGCGTCGTAAATCCGAAGGAATTCACCTACGAGCCGGGTTTGTTGGAGGCCTTGTACCCGATGCAAATGGTAACGGTTTCCAAACCAGACGTGACGACGGAGCGGTTTCTGGCAGATCCCACCAGCCACCAATTTCTCGAGGACCAGCTGACGTATTGGAAACTCGCAGAATTTTACGAGGCCGAGGACAAGCAGAAGAAAGCGGATTTTTCGCAGATGAAGAAAACCGACGCGGATCATATGTAGTGAGGTCACCGAACGGTTCTAACCGGGGAGTTTTTTTGCCACCTACCGTGAAAAACGACCGGCAGTTTTCAAGCGGCCGGAAGGCTTTTTTGACATAAAAAGTTTCCAATTATCAAGCGGCCGGGGCTTTGTTGTCAAAAAAGCCCGAGCCAATTCTATCGATTCGCACTTGATAAAACGACGCAGGGGAGCCGGCAAAAGGGGCGCCCTTCTGAGGCGCCCACCGCCTTGGCTTCTGGCGATTTGGGGCGCCCAAAAAGGGGCGCGCAAAAAACGCGCCCAAAATCAGAACAGCGAAACAGCATGGCAGGGCCGCGATTTCGGAGCATTTTGGGCGGCCGCGAAAGCGGCCGCCTTTTCGCCGTTTTCGGAGCCTGGGAAGCTTTGCAAAAAGCGCTGGCGAGAAATATAAAAACGAAAAAAAGAAAAAGCGCGCCAGACGCGCAAAGCCAATCCGCATGCTATGGGTCCGATTTTCCCTCGCTTTTTGGGCGCCCCCCGTGGCGCCCGGATCGGCCTCATAGCATGGGGGCTGGCTTTCGGAAAGGAATTTCGAAAATTTGCCAAAATTTGCGACGCTTATCAGGCGGCCGCCATACCGTGGGGCCTAACGTTACTCACGGCGGTATGGCGGGCCCAGAAAAATCAAAGCCGCGACCAAGGCGGCGACCGGCAAGAAAACGCCCACGACCTCACTACCTCCGCCCCGGCGGCTATATTTGGTACTACCGCAGAAGAGCGGGAACACCAGAACGGAAAAATATCTGCGACCACTCCTACTCGCGGCACTCCCCAGAAAACTATTCGCGTGCAACTCGTTCTGGAAGGCTTGGAATTTCTTTTCCACACGCGCGAGCTGTTTGGCAATAATCTGATGGACCGGATCGAACTGATTCAGTTCATGTCCACGCAGGGAAAAGACAGTTTCCTCGCTTTGCCGGAGATCTCGGACTACAAAAACACAGTAGTGCTGGACGACGAAAAGTTTGACGAGGAGCGAGAGACTTTTATCGAACACAAGAAAACCCAGTTTGGCGAGCAGTACTTCGCCGCCGTCTTCGAGCCGCACCTGCCGACCAATCGCGCCCGGTACTGGGGCTTTGGCGGTGCAAACGACTACCGGACCTGGGTCGTACGGAAGTGGAGTGACTTTTTCGACGTGGGCGCGCTGGATAAATTTTTGAAATCACGGGGTGGTGGCGGCGTGTTGATCAGGGACGTCGATGGGGGTGGAAAGCAAAGCGGGGACGGCGAGTTTCAGAAGTATAGCAGGGATCATGCTGCTGCGACGACCACAGAAGCAGCTACAGGAAACAAGAGACTCGACGCGTCGCGGACATCAAGCGAGAAAAATAAATCGAAAGTTCGCCATATGGACGTGCTCGTGCTTGGCGAGGCACTTTCTCTTGAGCCCACAAAGTACGTCATTATGGGCCACGCAGATAAGCGGGTGGGGATTCTGCCTTGTGAAGACTCCATGCTGCCCGTGAAAATCATATTTTTCCGTACCACCTACTATTTCCACCGCGGCGTCCGGTGCGTCAGGAACGAGAGTAATCCGGCGTGGTTCGATTTTCCCAGGCTGGAGAAAGTGCTGAAGGAGGAAATTGACTTTGTTTACCAAGCGGAGCTTGCGCAGAAGACAAGGGAAAAAAGCTGGTTTGACGTCTTGAAAGCCACCGGACACTGGGAAAGAGACGTGGAGCCTCTAGTGAATGCGAGGGGAATAGACGAAAAGGATGCTAAACTTCTCCCCGATTTACTGGACACATTGAAGTTTGAACAAGACGTGAAATTTCACGACCGGGAATACCTGGACGGACAGCCGCTGTTGCGCGTGGGCTACTACATTCAACTTGGGGAAGCGCTAGAAAACGACAAAATGAACTTGGGCAAGTACCAAAACTGGGGCCCCAACACCATCTCGGCGACCAGTGCGTGGAGCGGGGTGCAGTTTTCGGCCGAAATTGCGGCGCTTGGGAAGAGAATTCTAGGAGCTCTGCGTGGGACAGGTACTACGGACAATCTTGTAGACGGAGGAAATCGAAACCGAAAGCCACTGTGGGTGATTCACTGGCGCCGAGGGGACGGCGAGCTGGGGCCGACGGACGCCCGCGTGCAGCAATTTCGGCAGGCTGCGCCCGAAAACTTGGCCCAACTGGTGCAGAAGACGGTGGTTTCGAAATTTTTCGAAAAACACTTGTCGTACAACCAGCTTGAGATAGTGCCACAAGTAAAGACAGAATTCGTCCGAGGAGAAGAAAAAACGCTTCCAAGAGAAGTAGTAGAAACCGCTCCTTACAAGCAGGACCTGGAAATAGTCGAAAACTTGTTTGAGTACAAGGATAAAGCTCTGGACAGCGAGTTCGAGGAGAATCCAGAGACAACTGAGACTAATCCAGAAGTACGAAAGACCTATCGAGACTTTTGTCCTAACTTCTTCATCATGACCAACGAGATGGACAAAAAAGCACTCGACGAAGTGCGAAAGGGCTTCAGCCGACTCTTCCCAACCAGCGAGCTGCATTTTCTAGGTGATTTCACGAAAATTTCCTCAGAAGATGAGGCGGGGAGGATAAGAAGTCCAAATTCTGAAGCGATAGAATCTTCTTTGCCCCCCGACGATAAAGATTCTGATAGTCTGCTTGCAACCGACCTGAAACGCTACCTGTCGCGCGGAGGTGTGTACGCGCTGCTGTTGGAATTTTATCTGGCCTGCCACGCCGACGCTTTTCTCGGGTACCAAGTCGGACTGTTTGAGGGTGGCGCGAGCGTGCCAAGCATGTTGATAAACCAACTACGCCTGCACCAGTGCGGCACGCCCCCAAGTCGTGGACTCTTCGGACCTCTGAAAGAATATGTGAAGCGGTACTCATGACGGTGACTGGATGACATAGAAACTCGCATAAATGCATTATTTGCCCACAACTCATCACGGGCAGCAGAAGCAGAACAACGCTCATAGTCGGATCTACACAAGCTCGGCCTTTTTGCGCGGGCGGCGCCTTCGCCGCGCATTCTTTACTTGTCTGTGTCTACAACGGTAGGTCGTCCACTAGTTCTCTCTTATGTGATCCTTCATACATCATGCCAGAGCTTGTTCATGACGATCCTGTTGCAACTCGCTTTCAATGACCAGCTCCCGCTTGCTCTTGAGATCTTGGTTTTCACGTTTTTAAAACTACTATCGGCCGGCGGGTTCTCTGTACTTCTGTGACGTTGGCGTGTCTGCGTGATCGATTCAGGCGCAAGCGCAGCAGATCTCTTTTTTTGATACCGATGTGAGATCAGAACCGTGTAGTAGGGCGAAGAAAATGGACGCAGTCGCAGAAAATTGTCTGGCGGCGTGCGCGCATGACCGCACAGCATCTCGGACACGATGTCATCTGGAGACACCCCCTGAAGAGACAGCCTACGGGTGGGCCAGCTGGAGGCAGTGGCTCGCGGGTCCTTGTTCCCGACATAATGAAGGAGATGCACCGTCGTGGCCACGGGGCAGTGGCACTGAGGCAACAGCGAAAGGTTGTCCTGCATCCAGCTCTTGTTCGTCGACAGCTCCAGCTGCATCAGCACGTTTGGGCGGAAGAAAACGCCGACCTGCTCTGTCGCAAGAACAGCGAGCAGCACAGGCACTCGCAAAGCGAAAATCGAGAATAGAATTGACACCATGTAGGAGCTACTCATCCCCGCTGCGTGAAATAGCACCACCGCCGGAAGTCGACCCGCAAAATAATTTTCGAGAGGAGGGAAACGTGGATGCGCCACAAGAGCGAGCAGACCAGCGCCCTCCTCTCCGAAGGAGAGTCGACGGCTTTTCGATACCAGAAAATGACAAAGAGGCACCACGTACACGAACGAGCTTTTGCGGAACATCAAGGAGCAAGCTCAGCGGAGTTGTTCTGTGGTTTCACCTGTTCTATCTGCTCTTCTTTGAAGCCTCACGGTCAGGATTTCTCCCCCTTGCTCAAGCGCAGCGACAGCGACGACCCGACGAGGCGCTGCCCGCGGGGCTCGAAAGGTGGATCGGACGCGACGAGTGCGACGAGAAGAATGGTTGGGTCCAATTTTACCACAGCTTCGCGCGCGGCATCCAGCAGGCGCAAAGCAACAACGTTATCTCACCCGCGATGCTCGGGGAGCTGCAAAACGGCACGCTGCCAGAGCGGAATGGCGAGGTGATTGGCAAAGACGAGAGCGCCATCGCAATTCTCCGCGAACTCACGGACAACTTTCTGAAGTTGCCGGAGAAAGCCTTTCAGTGCGGGACCGCGATGAGCAGCGTCTTTTCCATGCTCAGCACGCTCTACGACAGCGTAAACCTCCCGGTTTTAGCGCTCCGGGCCATGCAGCACGCCAGCATATTCGGCTCGTAAGTTGTGATGTTGCGCTACTTTTGCCGCTTGGTTTTCAAAATGGACGACAACTTGGAGAATTTGCGTCCGTCCCCTGAAAAAGTCTTTTCATTTCATCTACTTATCAGGTTCGATTACCAAATGAAGGGCGAGGACTACATCGACCAGTCCCCGTGGCTACCAAGTGCAAAAATGTCTGGGTCTGGAAGAATGCAACTAGTGATGCTGCATTTGGATTCCAAAAAAAAATCTGTATTGCATGACTACCAAAGGGAATGCAATTTTTGCTACGCTGAGAAGGCATTTGTCATGCGGAATAGGCATCAAGAAGCCCTCAGACAGTCTGTATTGCTAGGGTATGCATCACAGACATCAGGGCCCATGCAAAACGTGCACGACAAGTGTCAGAATTTTCCAGACCCAGACATTTTTACAGTTGATAATGGCCAATAACCTGGAAGGAAAGCATCGAGCTCTCCTTAAAGCGCATGGACCGCGTTATCAAAAGTAAAAATGTCTGGGTCTGGAAGAATGCAACTTGTCATGCTAAATCTGAAGCATGCAAAAATCTGTGTTGCATAATTACCAAAAGTCGTCCAGTTTTGACTAAGTCGGGAGGCAGTTTCTCATGCAGGATAGGCATGAGAAAGATCGCACAGAATCTGTCATGCTAGGTCCTGCATTCCAGACCTCATGGGTCACGAAAAAGATGCATGACAAATCGCGCATTCTTCCAGACCCAGACATTTTTACATTTGATACGCGTGCAGAAGCTGCAACGCGCGGAGAGCTGGCGCCGGGAAAAGCTCCCCAGGAGACCCAGTGCACCGAAGTTGAAGGTTCGATTTGTATGCTACAAGAGAGAGATGGGGACTCTGATTACGTTTTTTTGTCGCTCGCAAAACTGGCTGCTGTTCGTTTGTTGCATCTGATTCGTTTTATCAAAATCTCTCACCAGATTCTCATCGTTTCGGTGTGCGAATACAACAACGACGTGACGCCGCTGTACTCTTTGTCGCTTTGGAACAAGAAGCGCTATGCCGAGAAGCACGGATACGAAGTGCAAGTGCACGCGAAGGGGCCGCTGTTACAGGTATACTTGCTTCACACTAGCTTCTACTTCGGCATTGGATCGCAAGTGCACGGTCAGAAACATTTGTTTAAAGACGTGCGAACTTTCGTCGACGTATTGCGACACAGCAAAGGCTTGTTTACCATGATTATCAGGACCAATTCGCCGGTCTGTATGAAGAACCTCCGGCCCACCGCCCGCCCGCTTGGTCGAAGATTGATGCGGTGTTGCTAGGCTTGCGTGAGGGACACGACTGGGTCATGTGGATGGATTGCGATTCCTACTTCATGGATCAGGAGATGGGCATTAACGAGCTCATCGACTACGTTCTGGAAAAAGAAGCGAAAAGTACAATAATTTGGTGCTTGTCTAGTAATAATCGCTTTGGAGGCATAACAAGCGACATATGAAGATGAATCGTGATCCTTATCTAGTATGTGTGACTATCAAGAGTAAAAATCATCTCAGACGCCGAGCAGGATACGGGGAGCAGTGCAAAGAAGCCTTTTTCCGATCCCCCGCTACAAGAGTTTTTGAAAAAGTGGGACGCTGCACCGGGGACGCAGGAAAGCTTCGACAAGATGCTGGCTTCATCCGACGGTCTGGACCAAACAAATATCGGTTGGGACGATTGGTTGATACATCCAACATATGAAAAAGACGGCCAGAAGAGAACAGAATTGATCGTGTCGGAGGACGGGCTCATGCTTAACACTGGGATCTTCTTCGTCAGGTATCGGATGCGTTTCACTCTTGTTGAATTCGCTTGATCATATGCAAAGTCCATCAAAATCGTCTTCCTGTTGATCGTTCGATTTTTTGAAAAATTGCTTTGTGAAGAGACCTTCACAGTCTGAACTGTCAAAACGACGCGTTTCTCAGGTCGTCGGTCTGGGCGTGGCGCTTCTTCCAAAAAGTTCGACGGTTCACGTTTGGACCGCGGGCGCCGATCACCCAGCACCCTTGGTGGGAGCAGACCGCGATGGTGTACTTGATTCAAATGCCCTTCGCCAACGAGAAGCACTGGGCCGTCGCGCCGGCTGTGAGTTTGCTAGACCAGAAACACATTAACCCCTACCCTCACTTGGTCTCTAGTGCGTTGCTGACGCACATTGCATACGAGGAGTCAGACTACATTATTTCCTTCTCCGGGTGCAAGATCTACAGCTCCCAGGACGTCTGCAACGCGCTTTTCTTCAACTACTTTGCTGTGTCCGTCCCGAACTACATGCAGATCGATGACCCCGTACTGCAAAAGTGGCTGCAGAAGGGTTTAAGGGTATAGAAAATGCAATCCCAAGAACAAACTTAAAAATTTTACATGCTCTGCTCCGTGCGCGGAAAACAAACCGGGCGCAGCCTTTGCATTATCAAAAACGAAACCGCTTGCAGCTTCTAGATGGTAGGGGTTACAGAAATGCGCAAAAAGATATCGGCTTCAGAAAGTTCGGGGCTTGAATTACAAGGCACGCTGGGAAGTAGTCAGAGGATGCCCAGCCAAAACATGCGCTTGCTTTTCATGTTGCGCGCAGTGTGAAAAATGGCGCCCCAATATTGGCGTATTTGGCGCGCGCGCGCGGGTGCGCGGGCGCTTGCGTAGGACTGCCTGCAAGTATGAGTAATGCGCAGAACAAAACACAGAAAAAAGCGCAAAAATAAGCAAAATTTTGACCATATTTGCGCTGTCTTTTGCGCGCGCGAAAACTACCACGGCAACCGAGACCATACCGTGGCGTCTAAGAAATTTACAGCTAGTGAAAAACGCGTGGCTTTTTGCTGCATAATTCACAGCAAAAAAACAAGCATTTTTCACAACGCAAAAAAAAGCATCCGTCTTTAGAGCTCCGATTTGTGAGAACTCTATTTGCGGGTGCTTTTCCGGAAGCGTATCTTGAGCTTTTCCGCGTGCTTGAACGTGCGCTGCAACATGATGTAGCGCAAAAAAAGCCACGCCATCACGTTGAAGCATCCGAAAAAGCTCAAGAAATAGCATAAAAAAGTTGCGGCTCCACGCCCGCGCGCGGATAGTGTGTTTTTGGCCTGCAGCTGTTGTCTTTCAATTGTTTCGCAGCTGGGGGCTAAATCGGTTAGCGTGGTGTTGATTCGGTTTTTCGTCGTGCTGGTGCAGCAAAATTTCGCGCATGTAAAATTTTTAAGATTGAAGAAGGAGTTGCATTTTTTACACCTTTAAAGGGTGCGGAGAAGTACCGATGACGCAGTGGCGTCTGGCCTCAACTGAGGCATGTTCAGTGAGCCGGCACGTTGTGCGAGCATCAGTCTCTGCGTTGCAGAAAATAGCCCAGGTTGTGGTTAGTGTCACGAAAGCCATTCTGATGACAAGGGAAAAAGATACGCATTGAGAAAAGTTGAATGCCAAAAGATGAGAAATCGAAAACAGTCCCTCCGACTGAGCCCCGACGGCAGGCTAAGTACTCAGAAATTTGCCAGACAGCTTTCTGTGACTGTTCATTGCGACAGCCGCTGAAGTGCGTTATCACTGCTGTCAGCGCTTAGCACTTTACGGGAATCACATGGGGGAGCGACGGCGAGAGATACAATTGAGAGTTGCTGAATTGGTATCAGAGGGCGTTGTAGAAGTATTTGCACGTGTTTCGCCAAGACGCAGAGAGCGGCCAAGACGCAGAGAGCAGGTTTCAGTTTGGGGCGCATGCAGTGCAGGTGAATTTGTGGGAAAGCCACAAGGTAGTACGGGAAGACAAAGGACCTCAACGCAACATAGTCAAAAACTGTAGGCGAGGTTCGGAGCAAGCACTTCACTAATTATGGCGCTTCGCACGCGAACCTCCGCAGCACGCTCCGTTATGAGCCTTGTGCTGTCGTGCGCTGGAGCCGTGCACTTGTTTTTTCCGTTACTCTTTTCAGCACTTCAGCCAGCTTTTGGATACGAGTACGCAAGTCTAGACTCTCCTGCGCTCACGGTGGAACACTTTGGGGTGCCGGGGTTGAATAACGATGGAGTGGTTGGAATCATTGCACCTCAGTGCAAGAAAAACTGCAACTTTCGAGGTCTGTGCTCAGACGGAGTCTGCTACTGCCAGCCCGGATTTTCCGGAAATTCTTGCGATAGGGAAACGGTGTCAAAAAGAGGAAACTACGCGCTCAACGAAGTAGGCATGGTCTCGCTCGGAGTGTTTCTCGTGTACCTTTTTTTTTGTTTCGAGTTGCTCGCTTTTTTTCTTACAGAGGAGGCAGAACGTGAAGGAGAACCAGAAAGAGATTTGTTGACACATTCTCAATTCTCAAAACAGAGTCTTCATGCTGACCTTCTCGTGTCTGCAGTACCAAGAGTATTCCAAGAAGGCCACCGAGCGGGCGATGGGCTACGCCGTTTGAACTTGCGGGGTGCCTTCCAGAATTAATGAATGTTGCATCTTTGTCGAGGAGGAGCAAAGGCAAACGCAAACGCAGTGGCAGGCGGTCAGGGGAGAGTTGCCGGGTCGGGAACTAGAATCGACGCCGGGGAGGCACAGTTTTCATGACGAGTCTCATTCTCCATGCCCCTGGAGCGCTGTGTTAGTGTGGTTGGTCTGTGTGAGACAAGGAGTATAAATGCTTGCGTTTGGCGCTGTCCTGCAGATAATGCTCACGACCTACCGGGTGCGGATTCGAGCCTGCCCCACTGAGTGTTGGCCTTTTTTGGTGATCGTGTTCCCATGTTCGCCCATCGAAGAGGGCCCAGGCCCCGCATCTCAGAGAGAGGAAGAAAACCATATAGCCTGCTACAGCGACACACACTCGAGAGATTGATGAAATCTCTGGTAATCCCTTCAATTTCCCTCACGACAGCACACAGTCAGAGACCACGACCTTTCCTCCTCCCTATTTCCGAAAAGCTGCTCGCAATTATGCCTCTGAACAATCGCCAACCCATGTTCTTCGCGGTCGGCGCGCTTTTGCTCGCGAGTCCCGAGCACCACGTGTCGGCCGCGACCGCAGGCCCGATCATGGGGTGGATGTCGTGGGAGCGGTTCCGGTGCGAGACGAACTGCGCGAAGTTTCCGCAGGACTGCATCCAGGAAAAACTGTACTACGAGATGGCGGACGCGCTGGTCGAAACCGGGCTGGCGGCCGCGGGCTACGCCCAGGTCAGCATCGACGACTGTTGGACCAAGGGACGAGACGAAACGACCAAGGAGCTGCGGGCCGACCCGGACCGGTTCCCGACCGGGATTCCGAAACTCGCGGACTACCTGCATGCGAAGTCATTGAAGCTCGGGATCTATTCCGACGCGGGGAAGTTGACGTGCGGGGGCTACATCGGAAGTCGCGGCTCCGAGGAATTGGACGCCAAGACCTTCTACGACTGGGGCGTGGACTACCTGAAACTCGACGGGTGCTACATTGACACGCCCGCGGAGATGACGACGCTCTACACGAAATTCGGCTTGGCGCTGGAAAAAGAATACGAAAAAAGAACGAGTGGGAGTGCAAAAGATGATGACGTAGCTTCTACTGAGGATAAAGACGAAGCGTATAGAGCCGACTCTGCCATCAATCTCGTGGGACGACGGAGTATTCCTATTCAATTTTCAGTTACAACAGCAGGGAGGAGCAGCGGAAGATGCCTCATTGTAGTCAGCTTGATGTATTAGAAAAAATATGGAAAGCAATGTTAAATGAAAACATCAACTGTCCACAGGCCGTCGCGAGCTGTCACCAGTCATCTCCAAGAGACCCAAAATCGTCTACTCTTGCTCCTTATCGAATGTAAAAGTGTCTGGGTCTGGAAGACTGCATGTTTGTCATGCTTGTCTGGCATGACTGTAATCTGTCATGCTCGTTACCCCAGAGCGGCATTTTTTTTTCATGCAGAAACGCAGTTTGTCATGCAGAATAGGCAACACGACCTAGAGGCTCAGAAACTTGTCATGCTGAGCGAGCACTTGTGGCCTCTTCATGATACGCCACCCAGCATCACAAGTTTCCAGACCCAGACACTTTTGCATTTGATACTCCTGGCCCGCCTACCTGGGCGACGACGAGCGGGAGAAACCTTACCAAGCGATGTATGGATTGCAAAAATGTCTGGGTCTGGAAGATTGTAAACTTGTAATGCTGTCTCTGGATTCTAAAAAAATTTGTATTGCATGACCAGCAAGAGGACTCCAGTTTGTGCTACACGGAAACTGCATTTCTCATGTGGTAGAGGCATCGCAAAGTCCTCTAAAAATCTGTGATGCTAGGGCATGCATCACAGACATCATGGATCATTCAAAATATGCATGACAAGCCTGGCAATCTTCCAGACCCAGACACTTTTGCATTTGGTACGATGCGGGAGCAGGCAAAGTGCGACACGTGGCGCAACTGGGCGGACATTGACAACAGCGTGGGGAGTTTGAAGGGCATCGTGAACCACTGGGCGATTTACACCAAGGCGATGGAAGCCGTTCCCGCAAACGCGTTGAACGACCCGGACATGATTTTGGCCGGCAACGACCACTACGGAACCGTTTTACCAATACAAGCGGCCAAGTTGCAGCTCGCCGTGTGGGCCGTGGTGAAGGCGCCGCTGTTTCTGTCCGCGGATATTCGCAAGTTTGTCACAGAAAAAAACAAGTACGCGCCTTACGTGACCGCGCTGAAGGACGAGTTGTTCCTGTCTGTGGTGAAGTCGCCGAGCACCAACATCGGGGGTTGCGTCTTCGGGTGCGGGGAGCTGAAGGGGAAGCGAGAACCTGGGACCGTTTCTCTGTCCATCAGCATGCCCTTCGTCACGAGGGCGGACCGGCAAATTTCCAAGGACCCATCCGACCTGCAGATCTGGTTCCGGAAAATGGGGGCCGGCGTGTTTGCGCTCGCGTTTGTCAATCTGGATGAGAAGCAAGGAACAAAAGTGTCCCTGCGCATCGACCGTGCCTTGAAGGACGCGATGGTCGAGGCGTGGAACAAGCCGGCTGCAGCGAGCAGTGACGATCATGGGGAAGTGGACCACAGTACAACTTCCAAAAGTTCCTCAGATGGTGGCGGCGTAGGCGTGGCAGCTGCAGACGTGCTTCCGCCAGAATTCCTGCCGTCAACGACAGGAAGTGTTGCAGAGCCGGTGACGTGGAGCATCGCACTCGATGCGATGGAAGGCCGACTCTTTGTCGGGAAAACTGGCAATTACAGGGTGGATGAACAGGCGAAGCAGGAGCAGGTTGGGTCGGACCAACCCACTCTGTTTTTGTGAGTCACATTGCACAAGCATTAATATCCTGAAAAACACACTGGCACCAGGATTTCCGAAAAACAAAAAATATACACGGAAGCAATAGCAGAAAATGTAAGAAATCTTCAAATGCACCGTCGGCCTTGGAAGTTACTTGGAGAAATGAAAAGTACCGGCGGTCCTGTTGTCATAAACAGAGCGAGAAAGTAATTACAGTGGTATACGCCCGAGTGGTTGTGCAACTCTTCTCTGACGCTGCGTTACTTCCTGAGCGAAAGAAGTTTGTGGTCGAGGTGAAACCGAAGTCTACGAACGCTGAGTATAATCATTTTTGCTCTTGGTTGCTTACAACTTCTGAAATAACTCGACGTCATATTGCGTTGCAACTTACCGAAATACTGCTCGTGCCACGATTAAGCAGATGTTTGACACTTCAATTCACTCGATGAGTTGAGGTCGGAACGAGGAAAGGAATGCCATGTTGAGGAACCTGCGTAACTTCTTTGCCCCCGGCGGGGGCAACGCGGAGGAGTCAGGGAGCACAGCGACGCAAGCGAGACCCTCATCGCGGCTTTGGGGACTGCGGGGGTTCAACCACCCTGATGTCGGGCCGCGGTTGGTGCACTGTGCGGTATTGATACATCAATCTGTGACGCGGATGTAATGTCACAGGAAAGTTGTGGAGTGGTCAAAGTCCCAGTCTGTGAAGATGCTGGTACATGATGACTGAGTAGAAGCGCCAAAAGAAACCAATTTCAATACAACAGGCTGAGGAGTACGCAACGCCACAGAAGTACATAGATGGGGCGGATATACCGACGTTTTTCCAATTTCAGTCGAATATGGTTACAGACGAGGACCAGAAGCCCGGTATGCTCAGAAATCTGGACGTCGATAAGCGTTTGACCTTGCCGACGAGAACGCACATACGTAAATTCATTTTATGAAAAGTTTTTGCTTTTGTTTTGTGGGTGGTAGTTTCTTGCCGTTTCCAGTCATGCGGTCTTGTGCGTGCACTGAGAATTCTGTTATTTGTAGTGTAGATGGAAGCGGAAGGCTTGCTCCTGGACCTTCACACACGACACAAGACTTTCTTTTCTGTTGCGATTTCAGGTTGCCTGATCACATCACATGACGTGCTCCATGCCTGGGCCGTGCCAGCACTGAACATCAAGATCGATTGCGCACCAGGGCGCATCAACCGTATTTTTTCTACTTTCGATCAGACTTTTGTTCTGAAAAATAGGCTGCGTTCAAAACAGTGAAAAGTCTGCATGCAAAACCATTTTTGTTCCGATAGGCATCACTATGAGGACTATCGGTTGAATTATGGCAAACGCAAAATTAACTCCGAGGTATTTTCCTGTTTATCCAGCGGGAGGGCGTGTATTACGGCCAGTGCAGCGAGCTGTGCGGAAGTTTGCACGCCTTTATGCCGGTCGTGATTGAAGCGGTATCGCCTGAACGATATGCGAAGCACGCAAAGAAGTGGTACGTCGAGTAGAATTGAGAAGCAACATGAGCAGCGGAAATCTTTACGGAAGGAACAAAAAAAAACAAAGACACAGACAAACGCTTTGCGTTGCCGCGTCGCGTCGTTCGCAATCGCAACGGACTTGTACTCCCATTGAGTTTTTGCAGTACTGTAAGTATACAACCTTTGGGCATTATCCTAGTGTGTTCACGCGGATCACCTTCAGCCAAGGTCTGTCTGTCAAAAGTGAACCAAAAACGATGACAATCTGTGCGGGAATGGAAATTTGAATTGGTCAAAATGAAAATTGGGCAGTCTTTGTTTCAGGAGCTCGCAAAAACGCATTACCGAGAATCGTGAAGTGTCTATTTCTGGTTGACCTCGGCTTCGACTGCACAAGCAGCGCTAGTCCACAAATCAGTTTCGTGATTGTGATCTTGTTTCTGTTTTCTGTTTCGCGTTTTTCTTTTTATTCTTTCAAATAGATCACGATCAAAAACAAAATATGTTGCCACCCCGTACTTCCCTTCGAGCCGCACCAGATTGGCCCGACGAGCGGTCGACGCACGTGCGCAGTAGTCGAGCCAATCCCCGCTTTCCAGCGGCCGAATGGCGCCGGTGCCTCGCTTCGAGTCTCTCGACGAGCTTTTCTCCCACGGACATCATGCAGACGGTCGAAGATCGTCACTTCCAGCAACAGGAGCCCGTTCTACTTCCGCAGCGATTCGCTTTCTGCACAAAAACGCGTTCTTCTTTCGCCAGCATGGCCGTTCTATCGTATGAACCCGGAACCTGGAGCCAAGGGCAGCAGCTTCGTGTGGTCCGCAGCGCGCAGGACGAGCAGTGTGTGCGGTTGCTCTACGCACTCTGCCTGCTCGCGCAGAACCGCGAGAACGAAGCGCACAACATCGTCACGACGTTGCGGTTCGCTGACAAAAGTGCTGACGTGGTCGGGACACAGAAACTTTTGAAGGACGAAGCTTTTCTGGAAGAGCAGCAGGCTGGTCAAGATCTTCATCATCGCTCAGCACCGCAGAAAAGGGAACCACCTGCGCAGTGGTCAGCTACACAGTCGGCGCGAGAAAGCGAAAAGACAGACCACACAACTGCAGACCATTCGTCGGCGTTCTACTCGTCCAGCTTCTATAAGCAAAGCCACTGCACACGATATTCGATGGACGACGTCGCTAACGGGGATGTCGACATGCTCGACGTGCTGGAGAGTTTTGAGAATCAAAGTGAGTCAGCAGAGGAGATGAAAATAAAAAGCAGCAAGGATGGAACTGCTTCTACAACAACCAATCACGATACAACGTACACCTACGATTTCGCCAGCCAGCAGCTACATGCCTCTGCCGTCCAGGAGACGGAATTCGGTACGCGCGAGACGCACAGCCGCGAAGTGCTGGCCGCAGCGACGTATGTGCACGCGCTGATCCACCGGCACGAAGGGTCCGTAGCCGGCGAGCACTCGTTGACGGGGTACGAGAATTCCTGTTTGCTTTTCAACCAAATCCCCCACGATCATCCCGTGTACAAAAAGTTGCGGAGTGGAAGATGTAGTAGAGAAGGAATTGCGGCAATTGGAAGGAAAACGGCTTACGGAGCGATGCTAAATGTACGCATAGCACACGCAATGCGCTTCGGGAATGAGACGGAATTGCTAGCGTGCGAACAGGATCACACCGAGGAGTGGAAAGCGCTTTACACGTATGTGCAAAAGCTGGCATATTTTCGGGAGGAGGTGTGATGTGGCTCGTTTTGGTTTTGGTTGAAGTAGAAGCGCTCTTGAACCTACGAGGCAGTCCTGGCAAATCCAAATGTTTCAATGCTTTCATACTAATGATACTGGTACAGTTTCCGATGGTTGTGGCTGCTTACTTTATTGTTCATGCTAATAAGCCATCACGTTTCTAATAGAGTGCGCACGTGGAATACTTGCGCAGTGAGTGCTGAAAAAGAAGTGCCAGGGAATGGCGAAAATTCGGAGCAGCATGGAGATAATGCGTTCGCGCGCTATGATGTTTTTGCGTATTGAGTTTTTTCACCGGCCTCCAGCTGTGGCGTCTTCAGCTGCTGCTCAGTGGGCAATATCCTGAGGAGTCTCGCCGACCTTCATTCTCGTGGGAGATTGCTCCTGCTGCGCCCTGGCGCGCCTCCACTTCCAGCAGTCGGACGCCGCGGGCGCGCCGCCAATCGTTCCCACGGAAGTGCGAAGCAGGGCGCGCGATTCGGCGGCCAACCCGCCGGCGGCCTGCAGCCCGATGGCATTCCTCAGCCACCAGGCGCATCTGGCTACGCGCCAAGGCTGGGCGGTGGCGCCTCGCAATAAGATGAGGAGGGGCGCCCAGCGGTGCCCGAAAACCCGCGGCGCCCCTTTGGGCGCGGTTAAAGAAATGGAGAGCATGGCACTCGAGGAATTGGCCACCTGCGCCAGCCCTGCCCAAACCGGTCAGCAATCCGCTAGTTCCGGCACAGTCCCCCCACCGTCACCCGCCGCCCCGCCCACAGCAAAAGGGCCAGCCGCAGCGCGGCGACAAATCAAACGGGGGGAAGCCCGGAAATGCCGGCCCGCCGTCCGCGTTTGCGGACGCCAACCAGAAGGCGACTGTGCCGCTTGCGCAGGCATACTGCATACCGATAAGCGAACTAAAGCGGGAGCGGAATTTTTGCACCATGCACGCATGCGGCTCTCCCTCCGAAATGTACCGCCACCCAGGAGGGGCCTGCGCGTCAAGGGTGTGGCGCCTTTAGGATGGAGGCGGATGGGGGCAAAAAGGGCCCGGGCCCTATCTTGTCGGCGCGAAGCCCACGCGGAGCGCGCGCCGTCTCTGGTCATGCTGAGATCCCGGAAGCAGCAGGGGAGATGTGCCAGCGAGACAGCGGGACACGGGTCCGGAACCAACGGCGGCGCAGACGCGCACCCGTACCGCCTAGAGACGAGCACCGAGCGCCGGAAGAGGTGCGAGGCCTGGGGGTCAGGGGTGCGCTGGGTCTCACCTTTGCGGTCGTTTCTAGGACTGACGGGCGCGCCGGCCCTGTGTTCCACTTGGGCCGCGCCTGTCTTCGTAGCCACGGAGAGGAAAGAACCGCGGTTCTCCCCGCTCCTGCTTGGATGGAATTTTTAAGATTGCCCGGGAAGGCCGTAGGAAAATTCCTGGACTCGCCGGCGGTTTCCGCGCTGACGAGTAACCTGGTCGCCCCACCTCGCGACCATTCAAAAGCACAGCGCAACTATCTACGCAGATGCCTTCCCGCGTGCGGGGGCAGCAGCCCAGGTCGGAATCTCATCTACGCGGTCCCAGATGGCGCCGGTGAGAGCAACCTGCGCGCCTGCTGATGACCCGGCGCGATGCGATGGGCCATGCAGATTAGAAGGGAAAGGCGGGGCGCGGCCTTTTGGCTTTTGTTTCTTCGGGGGCGCATTGGCTTAGTAGCGAAGGCGGGAGCGATTTGCGCCGGCGGCCTTGCCGGGGGGGCGTGCGACAGGGCCGCCGCGAATCGGATGCGGGGGGGGGCGCGCCGTGCCGGTCGGCAGAACGAAGCTGCGCGCCAGCGACGGCGCCCCATTGTGCAAAGCTGCAGCGACGGCGCCCCGCGATGGGGGCGGGGGGCGTCGGGCTCCTCACCTGCTTGCACAGGGGCAAACTGACGAGGCCCGGCCGGCCAAAGGGGGCGCTTGGTCGCCCTTTGTTTTCTCATCTATGTTTCCGCGCCGGCGCCTCGAGTCCGACCGAGTGCGCGGGCGCGCGCGTTCGGCCCTGCCGGCCTCGATTTACCATAGCGGGAGCGGCCTATTGTGTTTGCGGCCTCGTCGCGGCCCCATATGAAGCGGTTTTCGCCAGCTGCCGCCGGCGGGCCTGCAGGGTCCCATTGGCTGGGCTTGGTTGCGCATGTGCTGGCACGCAATGTAGTATGTGCAGATCGACTGCGATCAGGGAGCCACGACTTCTTGGAGTGAAGCGGCTGTTGCGGCGAGACCACGCGTGCCGAGGAGCCCCGCGGGTCGCAATGAATGGTAGCGGTGAGAAGTGAGTGTTCAGTGATGTCTTCATTATTTTTTGGTGTCTTCGTTTTGTCGCCTCGCGTGGACGGCTTCCCTCTTTGTTTTTTCGGTGCGTGCAATGTCCGCCATTTCAAGTCTGATCCGGCAACTTGATTTGCACTGTTTTTGAAGTCTGACGACCCGGCCAATCCTATGTGCGTGGGAAGTTGAAGTGCCGCTCGTTACCATGGGCCCGCAGCCGAAGTCGACGGTGTCCTCGAAAGGCCGGCCGGTCTCCGTGCCGCGTTTGGCATTGACTGGCTGCGCCGGACCTGCTCTCGAAGCGAAGACGCTGCCTGTCCGCCATGACGCATATCATGTGACGCCACGGCATGAAGCGGTTGCGGCATTTTCCGCTCGCGCGATGCAGGAATTCCGCGACTCCGGGTCTGTCGTGCTTGATGAGCGGACGAGCCGAAGCCAGAACGTGACTCCGAGGGCGGTAGGAGGTGCCACGTCGGGCGCAACTCCAAGAAACATCAATGGTCAAACTGCTTCTAGTTGTAGCACCACGAGAATCACCGATCCGTACTACGGAACTACTCCGCGAGCGGGAGCGAACGCAGCTTATGGGAAAGCTTCTGCCAGTGTAAAAACCCTCCTCGAAGACGGCAGTCCGAGGCAAACCTACAGTGCGAAAGCTTCTGCGCGAAGCGCCCGCGGAGAGGGAGAGCACGCGGCAACGAGTACGGCAAAGGAAAAGACGACTGCAAAGGGAATGATCCAGCTTCGAACAGTATTTCTAGTGGGATCGCATTGCAATAATGAATGGCCTCAAAATTACATGATTTGTCGCTCATTCAAGATGACTTTGACGCAGATGCAAAAGAAAAAAAGTTTTCCCTCTGTCAAAAACTACAGCAAACGTACAAAAGTCCGTTTACCAGACGAGAAAACCGAGACGACTTCGAGTCGAGCATCCGCGTTCTCTTCACTGAATACGAGAAAGGCGGTGAATTGGATGCGACACACCTTCCCGAAATGTTGCGGCGCTTATTCCGAGGTAAGATTTCTACTTTGACGTACCTTCTCTGGCTACTCATCTTTCGCCCTGCTTATTGTATCCATTTTCTGAAGTTCGTTGGGATTGGGTTTATTTTTCTAAGTTAAAAGAAGAGAAATCAAAATAAGATGTGCAAAAATCGCAATAACAGCCGACCTCAACCCCGAGATGCTAGTGGATTTCAAGCGAGGTTTGTTTGAGCGTCTCGGCCCGACAACCGAGTTTTTGACCGACGAAGGAGTGTTCCACGCGCTAGCGCACTTCATTCTGGACCACCAGCCGCCCGCGGTCGCAAAAGTGATTCTTGGTGCCGCGCCAGTCGCCACCCGGGACCCGAAAAAGGTCATGAAACGGATTTCGCTGCACTCGCCAAAACTGGTTGCGCATTTGCAGCGTGGGGACTCCGATGAGCTGGGGGAAACTTGGAAAGACGTGATGACGGCGGAACAGGCTCTCGCAGAAATGGACCAGTGCTTCGAAAACGAGATCGAGAAAACGCAAGCGGCAAAAGGCGAAGTTCTCGAAAAGGACGCAGCCTCATCAAAAGATCTTCAGCAAGAAGTCTCCTGCTCCCCCCTTCCACCAGCGCGGGCATCGCAGGCGGTCCGCGCGCGCATGTCAGAGCTGGTCATCCCGCAACTCGCTTTACCCGTCTCCAGCAGCACGACCCAGTCGTCCGCTACGCCGCGCCGGCGCGCGACGACGATGAACGTGTCCCGTCGGGATGTGTTGAGCGCTCGCGCAACAAAGGAGTTGTCGGAGGTGACCAAGTCGGAAATTAGTTTGCGCCGCCTGTTTCGGGAGCACTGCGCGGCGCACCAAGGGAGAGAAAACGGCACCAAAATGCATCCGCCGAGTACCACGTTCGACTTGATACCGCTGTTGTTACGGGAGCTGGGGTTCCCGGACCTACTGGAGGACCGGTACGACCACTACGTGCAGACTTTCCGCGAGCAGCGCGCGGAAACGGAGGTGGCGGTGTCGGGAAGAACAAGCGCGAGGGCAGGAGTGAAAAATACGCCACGAAGTAGTTCTACTGCGACTCAGGTTCTTGGAGGTACTACACCACGCGGGAGAGGAGTAGTACCCTGCGCGCGCGATTTCGGCGAGCTGGAAGAGGTGGACTTTCACATGTTCAAGGCACTTGTCAACAGCGTGGCGGCCGCGCAGCAGGAGAACGGTTCTGGCTGAAAAGGGAATGAGAGAGGGGGAGAGCAGAAACAGAAATGCAGTGGAAATCAATCTTGTTTCGTAAATTCAAATTCAGTAAAAAACCTATTGATTTACTTACCCATAAAAATGTAGGATAGCGATCATGATGAAAAGTAGAAGTAGAAAAGTTCGGTCGTACTTTGATGAATACATTAGTGATGTCATGATACCGAGTGTACGCTTAATGTGAATTTCAACCATTACATACAGCAAAGAACTACAGTTCAGTTGGCTTCATGTACAACAAGTGAATCATGCTCAGATCGTACTGGTATACTCACAGACACTGTGCTATTGAAGAACAACTTGTGAAAGGGTACCAGGCAGCAGAAGTTGTTGCAAACGCAGTGTTGACCTTGTGTCCGAGTGATTTGCACACGGAACCGAAAGAGCTTGTCGGTCGTGGAAAACAGCAATATTGGTGTCGGTCTTCTAAATCTAAATCATGATCTTGGTCATCAATGTCTAACTAGGGCTGATCAACTTTTCCCATGGTCGGACTCGGAATCGGCTCGGTATGAATTCGAATTCGGAAAGAACAAAGAATTGGAAGATCAGCTTGTCAATTCACCCACCGCCCAAAATTGGATTGGAGCCTGCAGATCTGCAGCCTCTTGATCACGAAACGTCCTCTTCGCAACGTCGGTTTTCCAAACGTCAAAGTCCTTTACAGCGAACCCATTCTAGAAACTCCCCGCATATCTCGCATAGATTCTCCTTGAGAGGAATTTCGCGACCCCTAAAAGCCAAATCTAACACTATTGATTCATCGTTCGCGTTTATCTAGAGTCCGATCTACTTCGACATCTGACCCTGACGTAAGACTAACCTGTGTCGACTTCTCCCCTTCTCTGCGCAACTTCATCCTTAGTCAAAACTCCTAATCTTAATCTTCATCGCCGTGGATAATTCCCGACATAATTTGAGCTTGACTCTACGGTATTAACGTTTTTAGGCTACTTACCACAAAAATGACGTTCTTCCGGAAAGCGTTCGTTCTTCCGTTTTTCGTTTCCCAAACTGCGGCATTGCGTCGCATTGGCAAGCACCGCCGAACATTGGAACCTGATCCCATTTTTTCCGAAAGCGCATCAGGTGTCGGCAATGATGCTGACGGCGATCATGGTGACGAGTCTGGCCTGGTCAGGCTTGTGAATCCTAAAACCATTTTCCCCGTACAGGACGTCTCAGCAGAAGAACTCGCGGCCGCGTATAATGCCAAGGGTGGAATGCAACTTCTTGCACAAAACCTGGTTCGAAAGCTTTACGCGAAGAATCTCAACAGTGAGTTTGCCAAGCTGAACCAGGGTTATGGGAACACCAACAGCTCTCTCCCGATAGTTGCTTCCAGCAACAACAGTACTGCCACCGATTTCCTGGCGGAAATTGAAGAAGAACCAGTGGCGTCTTCGTCTAACAATACCACCGCGGTTCATACCGTTCCGGATTCAGACAAGGAACAGTGCAACAAAACGGCAGGAGGCGGTGAAATTCCTCTCCCCGATTTTCAGTACCGCATCCCTGGCGTGATCCGGGTTGTATACACTTCATCTGCGGCGAGGGACGTTTTTGACTTGACTGCTTTGGCAGATCAGCTCTCGGAGATGAACTTTTTCCGCACGACGACGAACGCCACTCCAATTTCCGCCGGTGTCGATTTCGAGTGGTCTCTGAACGCGTTTTCCGATGGTTCTGATCCGAATCTTGGGAACGCCGAAGAAAGAATATGGTTCGGTCCTGACGGAACTCGTCTAGACCGTTGAGCGACACTGGTAGCAGATGAAAGCATTATTTTCCATCTGAAAAGTCAGCGCTCAGACGTGGACATTTCCACGAGCCGTGTGCCCTCATTTAAAATGCAGTTTCGCTGCTACCATATGCATATTATTCGCGCTTCCATATACATCTGGTACAGAAATCTCTATCGATCCCCAAGCCGATGAGTAAGTAAGTGACATGATGAAGTTAGTAATCTACTTGAAGCGACACCATCACCACATCAGGTTAGAAGTTGTTGTTAAATGCGTCGTCAGCGAGGGCATGTTTCCGCTCTCGCCGAAGATGCATCACAAACCATAAGATTTTGCGATAGCGCGGCTGCGGAGCCGCGGCCGACAAAACCATGATCACAAACACAGTGATATCTGGCAGGTACTACTGCTTTCGGGGGAATGCTACTGCACCCCCAGGTGAGATATGGAGCAATGGGTGACGAAAAGCTTTGTTCCACTACGCTGCCAGCCCCTTGCCGTGCGTCGTCTAAAAGGTTGAGCGATGACTATGTGAGGAAGAGGAACGACCTAAAAGAGAAAAAGACATGCATTATCATGGTGCTTGGTGAACAACGTGAGTCTGATTTACAATAAACCACCGTTATTTACTCGTTTGCGTTTCCTTTGTCAAGTTGAAGAGTTTCTGAATCAGTCTGTTTTCCACCACGACCGCTTTCGTCATGTAGAAGGGGGCTCCTCGTTTCAATTTCTGTACGCATCGAATTATTGTTCCTCTCCGAGCTGCTACTTGGATTCTCGTCCGCCATCATGTCTTCCGCGGGCGGCCCCAGCGGGGGTCACCAACACGACCCGCGGTTTGCGAGCCAGAATCTGGGCAACTCACTCGGCAACAGAAGTTGCGTTCGTCAGACCAAGTTTTTTCGCATGTACGAGTCGGGCAACACGATGAAGGACCTGCTCGGCCATTCTTCGCTGCACTGGGACTTCAATCAGAAAGAGGGCGCCTACAAGGGACAGCCCATTGAAGATCCATACGCGCTGGGAAAACCCACGGACAAGGCCGCCGATGGCGGAGCAACGGCGTCCGCGGGGGCGTACAGTGTCTCTTCCGCGTCCCAGCCGTCGCATCAGAAGCATGATAGTGGGGCCAGCAGTAGTTCTGCCGCTGCACGGGGGAAGAAAAGTAGTAATTCCATTTTCAAGAATAGTAACAACGACCGTGACAGCTTTGTCCAAAAAGCAGACCGGAGTCCCTCCTTTCAGAAAGAGTTTCACCAGACCAATATGTACCACGACGGCCACCTTGAGGGTACAACGGGGAGCACTCCAACCTCCAAGAGTAAGAAAAAGGCGTACAGTCCGCACCATTACGTGTCGACTGGAACTGAAGCCGCGGACAGCGCAAGTTTCACAAAAAGTAACTCGTTAGCAGCAAATGCACCGAACCCACAAACTGGATCATCATTATCTTACGATTCCGTTTCTCGTCCTCCCCATCTACCTAGTAGTGACGTTTCGGCACAGCCCCACCCTCCTACTGCGGGTAATCCAATGCAGTCGGGGCCTTTTGCCACACTTGGATCATTTAACACCTATCGCACCAGCTCTTCTGCGTATGGAAGTGGCAGCTGGCAGTAACAGTAAGAGAAACTCTTTCGAAGCGAGTCGCTTGCGCTGTCTTGAAAAGAGGGCAGGAACAGGCGCGTATTTCGGTGTCTATCGTTCTTCCGTAACTCCAACTGGGAACACTCTAGAAGGCTGTTCGTGCAAGTACTTAATCGAGGACCTATTTGCACTTCTCAATTGTAAGTACCTACTAGCTACGACTGGTTCTTCTTCGTGGCGTTGCTGTGTGCAGTTGTCAGATTGAGTTTTGCTGCCGCCAGGAGAGAAGGACAGTTGAGTGTGAGGGTTCGGTTGCTCTGGTGGAGCGAAGAGGAAAGAGAGAAAATGAGCGTCGGAGCACTCGATGATTGAATAAAGGGACTTGAATTTCACGACTTGCATCCCAACGTTCTGGTCTGACGATATGCTGCATTTAGTCCTTAGAATTTTTTCTGAAGCGATTTCTTGAAAATTATCCGGACGCGCAATGATGCTCAAATCTTAGTAGCGCTTACTCGATAACAGTAACGCACGATGTTGCCGATATTTTCCGGGTTGCTGGCCGGTGCGGTTTGCGTGCTCGCGCCGGATCACTTGGCTCCGGTTTTGTCGCTGAGTTTCACTGACGTCCACGATTTGCGGTCGGCTTTCCGCATCGGCTTCCAGTGGGGCATCGGGCATTCGAGCGGCATCTTGGTGGTGGTCTTCGTCGTGCTGCTGCTTCGCGTCACCGTCACGCACTACATCTTTGAGGTCTTCGTTTTTTGGTCGCAGGTTTTCGTGGGAAGCACGCTCTTGAGCCTGGGGGTCTACTACTTTTTCCACCAGACGAAGTACCTCTCGACAGAGGAAGGCACACCGGGGGACGGCAAGACCGGAACGGGTGCGAGTTCATTTTTCTTTTTGCGAGGCATGAGGCACCAGAGGTTTTTCATGTTTCCATCTGGCCTCCCGCCCGATGAAGATCGATCCTATCGCTATTGAGTGAAGGGGAGGGAACAAGCAACACTGCTTTCGATCGCGCCCCTTGACCGCCCGCCGCTCGCAAAATGAAACCCGCTACGCGCCCTGGCACGCTTAGATGAAACGTATCATGTTGTACATCACCTATCGCTCGTTCATGTGTTGCAAACATCATGGGCACTCGTTTTCGATTTCGCTTTCGCAATTTATTACGAACCAAAAAAAAAGAGACAGAGGTAATGATCAATGCAAGAGAAGTCCGTGGTCGTGTACAAATATTGTGATCAGAGCTGCAGGTGCAGCCGGCGTATACTTGCTAGTTTTTCAGTCGACGATGGAAGGCTGGTGCACAGTGACGGATTCTCATTTCACAAAACAACACAGATCATCTGAACTGTGCGTGCTGTGCTTTTCCGGTTTCTGTGAATAACAGGCCCGGCAAGTTTAACCTGCTGAAGCCCCCGGACCCAGACGAGCTTGAGGAGTGTTGCGAAATCATCGACGAATGCGAGGAGATTGCGCCCCCGAAACCCCTCTCTTTTGGCCGTCCCCAAGTGTTCGCGCAGCCGGCCTTCAGTGCGGACAAGTATTACAAACAGAAAAAGGTAACCACAACGGGCCTTAACCCCAGTGTCAGCAACGTCTTCGACCGCGCGCTCGGGGGACTCGGTGGCGGGAACAAGGCATCTGCGGGAGGGGCGGTGTCTTCGGGATCTGGGACGGAGGAGATTCTTGGCACGGAGGAAATCGTGTCCACAACTGCGTCTGGCACGTCCGGGACAGAAGACGATCAGGTTGCGCGCACTACAAAAGGGAGCAACATGATCAATTTGCGGCTCGACCGTTTGCCGCGCTCCAGTGACGGATCCGTGCCGCTGCAAGACTTCACTGCAGCCCGCGGGAATGAAAATGACGCGGGCGCGGCGCTCGAGGACGCTCCGGAGGAACACGGGTCATCTCCGGGGGATGAGCGAGCGGAACTTCTGCAGCCCGCTGGCGAAGTGAAGATGTGCGGCTTAACGGTCCTCTTCCCGCCCTGCTGCCTGATCGGCGTGAACCGCCTGCGGTCGCCGAACTGCACGGGTCGCTTCGAGCTCTTTCCCGCTGTGGTGGCCAACAGCGTGTTCTGCATTCGGGTGCACCAGCTGCGCACGCGTTTGTTTGGTGGAAAAGCAAGTACAACTTCGGCAGCCGAGGGCGCGCTTGCGCTGGAGGAACAAATGCAGCTCGACGAGGCGAGCCAGAAGTCGCGGCTGATGCTATTTTTGGGATTTTTGCAGGGCTTTTCCTGTCCCTCCAACCTGATGTCCTTGCTGTTCGTGGCGAAGCAGCTGAACTGGTTCCAGATCGCGCTCTTCATGGCCTCCTACTGCGTGTCCAGCTGCTGTCTCATGGGCTGCTTTTGCTACGTCCTGAAGGTGTGGCTCTTTCGTGGCGGCACGGATCTCATGCAGGACCTGGCAACCGCCACGCACGAAAAAATCGATCCCGTGGACGACAAACCCGCATTTGAGGGGCGGGCGGGGAATAACATGAGTCAAGGTGCGTCGTCGCCCAATGCCGGAAGGGCAGTTCTGCGGGGGGGAACAGGAGCCACAGCCGCGTACTATGAATCATTTACATTTTCCTCTTCGATTTCGACTTCATGATCATTTTTTCTCGTTGGTTGTGTCAATCTGTGCGGAGGTCATCAGCGAATGACTGCAGGATAGAAGGATGCATGGTTGGTGTTTGCAATAACAATATCGATGTGAATGTAAATGTTATAGTCTCTTCTGCTTCTTCACCTCATGCTCATGCTGGTGGATCATGGCATCATGATTGTGAAACAAAATCTTCAACCAAACAGAACTTCTGCACCCGGCTCCGTTGAGCAACCTTCTCCAGCCACGCAGAAGCAAGCAAAGGATGCACGTAATAAGTTGCAAATCTACCGTATCAGCTGTTTTTTCCTGATTGCGACGGGGAGTTTCTTTTTGGCCGAAAGTCTGTTGGGCTTCGATGTTTTCGACTACATTGGCCTGCACGAGCACCACCACGGAGCGCACCACCACGCCGGCCACGAGCACGAGCGGGACGACGCGCTCGACGTAACCGCGGACTCTGCAGATCAGAGCGACGCGGGCTTAGCGGCCGGGGACTGGGAGGGGTTTCTGGGTGGACAATCGCCGTCCTTGGAAGTACGTGCGCATGCAAATTCTCGTCGCGCGGAGCAGCAGGAACCCGAACCGCGAGAAGAAATCCCTGGACTTGTGTCCTCCCGCGAGCAATTTGCTTCCGCCCCAGGCAGAGACGAAAATCCGGAGGAGCATGATCCGGGGCTTCGTTACAGTACCGCGATACCGAGCGAAGAACAACCACGAGCGGAAAACAACTTCAACAAGCTGTACAATAGCGACGGTGGTGCAGGCGGAGCAGGAGAGGAAGCGATAACACCGGCCTCGATTATCGCCCAGCTGCGAAGAAAAAGCAAGCGGACGCCGGCGGAAAAGAAGAAGCAACTGCGAACCGAATTTCCGTACTTGACGCGTTTTTCTGGTGCAAACAGTGAGGGATCTTCCTCCAATGTCGGCCACCCGGAGCCTTCCCCGTCCTCCGCACTGGACATGGACCCGCGCGATTTTGAGCAGCAGGGTGCCGCCTACGATCACAACGCAGCAGTGACCAGCCGGGACGACAGCCGGCCATTCGCACTTCAGAAAGGGAAAACGAGCAGCGCGCACCATCATCAACATCCAAAGCACCTGTCGAAGCGAACGCTGCGATCTGAGCGAGGACTCGTGTCGTCGTTCACGGAGCTGGGTGCTTTAGACCCTCGCACCGTGACGAGGCCGCTGCTGGACCGGTCGCCATACCTCCAAGTAGAAGACGCACCGACCGGACGTACTCCCGTGATGTCGTCCTCGTCGCGAAGTCGAGCAGCGGGCCCGAGCGAGATCCTTGAGAAGTTGTCAGCGCACCACCGGGGAGGTGGACAACACTCCGAGGACAGCGAAAAAAGTGTTGCACCGGGAATGCAGCGCAAGTTCAGCGAGATCTCCGAACTCGGTTTTCCGAACGCCGGTATCGTCATTCCTGCTGCAGGGACGACGAGTTCGCCACATTAGGTCGTGCGCGTTGGTTCATCTGTGGTTAGCTGTTTGTTATTACGACGCCGAGTACTTTTTTCAGTGGTAAAGTCGTAGCCGACGCACGGGCCATGATTCATTGCCAAGCAACTCCACAGTTGGTAGACTGACAGTAGTTTCAGCGTCGTGGCGAAGGAAGTTGAGTGTCAATATCTGCTCGTGCCAACTGCAAAAGTGGTTCATCGAAAAAATACTATCTAGCTGGCCGCACTACCGTGGTGGCGGTGACAGATGTAAAATGATTGCCACCGACTTATTACGGTAGCCTGGTTTGCGGTCGTGTGCGTGTCTACCGAATAGGTGTTGATGTGCGCTCCGAAACTGTGTGTGCATCGTGACAATTGCAGAAAAATAGCACCAGACTGCTTCGAATTTTTCGAGCTGGTGCCATCGAAAACAAGAGGAAAAAAATGCTACTGAATGAATTTTTGAGAATTACTTTCACTTTGTACAAACGAGACCCTTATCTGTAGTGCTGTTTCTCGGGAAGGACTTCCTTTTTTTCGAGTGGTTCTTTGTCCTTCCGAGAATATAAATGGTTTCTCTGAGCTTTTTCTTCTACCCAATATCTGTAAGTAAAAATTTCGAGCTGCTCCCTACATTGACATTGTGGCCGAAGTCGTGGTGCAAACTTAACACTTATGTAACAAACCGATTGTCCTTCTCCACGTTCTCCGCGGCGCCTTGGCCGACGGAAAAATATTTTTGGAGACGGATGCATCGAAGGCAAAGCTACGAGCTGGAAAAAGCTCTAGCTTTTAACTCAAACTAGGTTGGTTCTGCGCGACGGTGCTTTCTGCTTGTTGAGGTGATTTTGCTTTGCATCTGATGCTAGTCTTGTAGTATTGCAGTGAAAGTGAAAGACATTACTTAATCCGCTGCTGCTGGTCGCTCTTGCTTTTGACAGAGGTACTGCCGTTGCTCTTGTTTTTCTTCACTGCCGCGAAGGAAAAATGTTGGATTGTTCAGGTTTTTCGTGGTGGTTTCTTTCGTTCTTTGAGTGGCCAAACAGAGTCGCAGGCGCCGTTTCTAAAACTAACTTGTACGGAGCTTTGACATCGGTGGGTAGCTTGCAACTGCCCGCTGCTTGTTGTGTGGAAAAATTTGAAAAAATTTCCACAGCTATATCCACATCGGACATCATTACTGATCATGACTGTCATCGTACTATGTGCCACAGACTGTGCTTGTCCGAGAGAAATGTAGCTGGATTGTTGTTGGTCCAACGCAGAGTTCTCAGCGTTCCTGACCACGTTCGTTTGTTGCAGTACACGCGATACGACGCTTGTTATCAGGCGAGAGAGACAGTTTATGTTTGTTTTTGTGTACTTCTCCCCGACTTGATTTAATAACGATCGTGATGATTGCGTTGCCTAGAACCTACGGGATCAACAAAATTCTTCTGCAGAAATGACGGTTGCAGACGAAAAAGGCGGCGATGCTGAAAGCTGCGCGGCTGAAGAAGCTGCCACGGAAAAGACCTCTATCGTCGATTTTTATCGGACGAAGATCAAACGCGTGAAAAGCGAAGTGGATTTGGATGTCGAGGAAGTTTTGTCCACGACGTCCTTTCCTCCAATCACAAAAACTACGAGCAAAAAGTCGCTTTTAGCTGAAGATCCGCACGCGTCGCCCGCAACATGTTCGACCGTGCCGAGCACCTTGCGACGCGGATCACCGTCCTGCGGGGGGCTTTCGCCCGAAGTTCTGGGCGGCGCGGAGCACGACGAGTCGCCGCGATTTGCCACCTCAGCGCTGCGAAACCTCGAAGTGAACAAATACAGCCAGTTTCTACGCAAGTCCCCTGTGAAAGTGGTCACCGCGGCGGAAGTTGTGGCGTCCCCCACAGACAAAAGCAAGCTCCACAAACTGCGAAGCGTGCCGCGGGTGGACTTGTCAGGGCTATTGGATCGGGATGTGCAAAGGCGAGCTGATGTTGGTAAGACGAGCGAGGCCACGGGAGTGCGAGGGGTATAACTCGGTCGACTAAATATGCTCAGTCTTCTTGTAGGGAGTGCTGAAAAAAAAAACAGAAAAAAGCTTTCATTTTCCTCGACATCACAATCACTAAATGAAGGTACAGCAATTTGCAGATTTCCGCCAAAAAAGAGACGACCTGCGTGAAGAAGAGGGAGTAATTCAGGGACCAGGCGCAGCACGGTCACAAGCTGTAAATACCGGCTCCGAAAGCAGTAGCAGAATGAATCTCGTGCCCGAGGTTTTTGTTTCCTGGAAGGAAGAGGTTACGCAGCGACGCATTGCTCGGGAATTCCAGGAAACGCTCACCCGCCAGCTGCAGCAGTTCCACTCAGCGGAGTTTCAACCCGGGGACCTGAGCATGAACCTGACGCCACGGTCGCCAGGTCGCCCCGATTCGCTGACCGTGTCTCCGGAACTGCTCGGGCACGACATTCGCCGCTCACTCGAAAAGCGCTCGCAGGTGAAGGCAGCAATAAAAAGACTCGAAGGGTGGAAGACGGGGGCTGCTGTTGCCGCCGTCCGGCGGGAAGATGAAGGCACTCCGCCGCTTGCCGCAGCGGCCGAGGAGGAGAAGATCGTAGTCGCCAACGAGTCACTGAGTAAAGAGCAAACAACATGCGGAAACGCAAGCTGTGTCAATGAGGATGACGTGGTGGTGCAGCTGGATCATGAAGCAGGGGATGAAAGACAGGATGCTTGCGGCGGTGAGAATCCCGGTCGGCCATCTCGTGCTCAGGATGCGCCTCTTGAAGCGGACCCGCCCGGCAACATCACTGGACCTGAGCGAGTAATAAGCAGCGACGTTTCAAACGATACGAATCTGCGATTGCAGCGCACACGCACCGCGGACGATCCGTTCTCGGGATTGCGCAGCCCGGCGCTGTTGTCTCCGAGTGTGGTCGACCGCAGCGACGAGTTTCAGTTTCGGAACTCTGGCAGTTCCGACTCCGCGTACACATCGCCCTTGGGAGACCTTGGCGGGCTTTCACTAGGAGCACCGGTCGTGCGAAAAATGTCTTCGGCGCCCGAACTCGGAGTCGCCTTCGCGCACTTCGCGTCTAATTGTAGTGTGGAGGTGCAAGAGCCTGGCGTTCAGTTCGTTCGCTCAGAGCTTGAGGAGCAGGAGAGCACATTTTTGTCCCACGGTCAGAACATCAATCACGAAGTCCAAGCAAGTCTTGTGCGCGGTGGAGCAGAGGGGTGGAATAGTAACCCACACGATTACAACAACCACCGGCAGCATCCAGAAAGCGTTGACATTGTCACGGCGCCGCGGTTGCTGTTTCGAGAAAAGGTGTGCGAGCGGGCTGTCCGAAACGCTCTGAAGCGCCCCGATGTCACTTGTCGCGCTGGAACAAGCTACGCGAACCCGACGCTGGCGAGTCGCAGGCGGAAGGAAAGGTCCAGCTTCGCAACTCCGGATCAAACCGATCAAGGGTGGTGCTCAAGTACGAACATTGACCACGGCCCAAAGCCGAAGAGCATTTTTCGCGAGTCGAAGAAAGCGACAAACAAGCAGGAGTCTCTCCTTTACGCAGCCGATGTGGTACTACCGAGCAGGCAGGACGGCGCGACGTCTGTGAACTACTACTGCCACCGTGGGTCGCCTCGACTAGTGCAACGCACGAGTCCTGGCTTCTCCGAGCTGTCGCTTGGAGATGAAAGCAGCATCGACACAGTTGGCGGGAGTTGCAGGGCGGGAGAGGGGAGTCTGTGTGCGCCGCTCGCTCCTGGTTGTGCTATTTCTAGCTCCGAGCAAGACGTGGTGCTTCTTTCGTCCCCGCCAACGGGGATGCCAACTGTGATGGCGAACGGACCTGTGTCCTCTACAAGCAGAAAGGCGCAAATCCAAATGTCGCTAGGAAACCAGCGGCGACGCACACTGCCTCCTGCAAGTACTTTCCGTCCGCGTGACTGTGACGCTACGATTCAGAATCATCCTGCAAATCCCCTGTGTCGGAGCGATAATCCTGTTCGGCCGCCACCACTGCAGAGGCCTGCACCGGAGAAAGAGATCAACAACAAACGCCAGCTGGTACCGCAGCGACAGCGCTCCTTCTCCTCATTGTCGCAGATGTCGGAGCGCTCCTTAAAGGTGGCGGCCAAGCAGGCGACGAAAACGATGCGAACTAGATCCCCGGCTGCAGATGGGGCAAAAAGTGGCACCAGTGCTGGGTCGAGCGCAACGAAGCCTGCAAGCCTATTGTTCCGTCGAAGTTCGCAGACCAGAAAGAGTGGAGTGTCGAGAAGCCCCCTCGTGTCTCCAAGACCGCTCTCGCCTCCAGTATACGCCGGAGACATTATCACAAGTGCCCGGGCCGGGGGTTCTAGTCAGCCGTCGCCGGAACGGAACGCTGCTGAGAAAAGCACCCTGCTTGCCACTGCGAGAGATGCGCAGGCAGAAAAAATCAAGAAGAACTTGAACAGATCTACTCTCGCACCGCCAATAATTTCGAACAGAAAGTCGTGTGTGCCATCTCCATCTGGTAGGCCGACCGCGGGTGCTATTGCTGTACCGAATGCGCAACGCCTCGCGCAACTAGCTCGTCCCCGGCGTGATCCCCGGGAGTCTCCGCTCAGCTCGCCGACACTTAGAACGTCGAGTCCGGGCTTGCAACAGGGTGAGCCACGTAATTCTCCCCAGGCTAGTAGCAAAACATCAATCCGTGAAGCGTTGCAACGCTGCAGGCCCGCGCAAGAGCGGCGACAAACACTCCCGGCAAGACCTGCGGACACGAGCCGCAACGACACACGAAGCGGGCAGTTAGCGAACCAATTTCGGTCTCCGCCTGGAAATCCGACTTGTGCATCAGACGTTCCGCTAGCGCAGGTGGTAGAAGAAGCTGCGAAGAAACGGATTGACGAGATGGCCACGGAGTTGTCGACCGCCCTGGATCGCGTGCGGGCCCTCTTTCCCGACACGGACGAGTGGACCAGCGGCAGGGAAAGCACCGTGACAAGCGAACGTTGTCCAGTTCCTGCTCAGAAAGTTCGCCAAGTGCCGGCTTCGCAAACCACCCCAAGTCCTCGTGTAGAGCTGCAAGAAAGTGCGGCAAGTACTAGACCCCCTGGAGAAAAAAGCTACGAAGAGCAGAAAGCTCCTGTGCGGCCTCTGGCACAGCGACGGCAACATTTCGGTAGAACGACTTCTCCTGATAGGCGAATACAACGCGGGAGATTTGGAAAAAAGCCGCAGACCGGCCGGCTGTACGTACCCCGTCCCGCACTTGATAGTGTACCCGAGGAGCAGGGGACAACAAATTCGATTTCACCAAATAAAGACGAGAAAAGTTGTGATGCAGCAAATACAGCTGCAGCTCGTTCAGCTAGTCCCGCTTCGCCCGAGTTTTCTCGTGCGCTCGCCGCCGGCGTCGCTGCGCAGCTTCGGACAGTTGTGGAGAAGCACTTCATCGTCCAACAGCCGCCGATTACTCAAGCAGACAGCAACGGGGTTTTCAACGTGGCGCATCAGTCTCCCGGGGCGTGCTCTACCTCTACGCGTTACTGCAGTCCAGCAGACGATTTGGACACAGTTTGTTCCAGTGGAGGAAAGATATTGGACGCACCTGTTGCCCTCGACGCGGTGCGCGTAGAGCAAAGGCAAGATCAGGCTCCTGCGGTTCAGGCGCGGGCAGGTCTGGCGTTTCCGGTGACGCCGCCCGAGTCGCCAAGCCATACCGGATTATGCTTGCGCAATTACCCCCAGAGCCTAGAGCGCAAGGTGAAACTGCCGGAGCGACGTTCGCTGTATTTGCCCCAAGCCGGGGATGCTGTGGACGAGGCACTCGCGGAATGGCACAACACTGTTTCTCGTGCGGATGATGAGAAGTTCGTGTTTCTGCGTGCAAACACCTACTCCTATCGGGATCGTGTTGTACGCATTGGGTTTTCCTCCAATTGCGGAGAGAAGCTGAGAACGAGCACCAGTGCTAGGAAACACGCGAATGAACGGCATCGAACGGAGCCAGCGCTTGGAAATCACCTCGTTGTGGAATGTGAAGCGACGAGGGATGACGTGACCGGCCCGAAACTGCTGCTGCTCGACGATTATGTGAAGGAAGTGAACTCCTGCTCTGTATCACCACGAAGTTCCAGCTCCACGCCCCGCCCGCGTTCATATAAGCACACGAAAGCAGATGTGGCTGAGAAAGAAAGCGAAAGTGATTCCTCGCCTCTCCACGCGGCAACCATATACGCACCAGCATCAAGCAGAGGCAGAGCTTCTGCTGTCGCACATGCGACCAAAGATCTTCACGCAGTGCCGCAGCTCCGCAGGGCTACTCTTCTGCAGCACCGGCCGAACCCTTTCACAACAGCGATGGGGTCATCGACGCATGCAAGCGCTGCACCACCGCTGTCGCCACCGTTGTCGTTCCCTCCGCTTGCGTCGCCACCACTCGGCTCACCGATCGGGTCGACGGTCTTTTATCCCGAAACAGCGTCGCAAACCTTTACGCCAGTTTTTGGCACTCCCGGTAGCCACGCTGCGAGCAACATTACGAGCGCTGCGGCCTCCGCACCGACGGCCGTGGTCCAACACCAAACGCGCACGATCGGATCCACTTACCCTAGCCTGCTGTCCAGACCCGTAAAAATCGCCGAGCAGCGCGCTGTCCAACCTGTCACGAAGACCTGCTATAATGTGGTGAACTCTTTTATCTCCCCACGAAAAAAGGAGCTCACGAGCGCAATTCGCTCGCCGAGTCTCGCGCCCACCGTCGGAGGAGGTCAACTTCTACCGACTGCAAACAGGATGAGACGAGTCCCTGCTGCAACGGAAAGTCCCCAACTTCTTCTGACTCCGCCCCGTGACCTGCACTGTGGGCACCGGAAAGAACAGCTTACTGCTCAACATCCAGTTACGACAGAGATCGGGGAGAGTCATGCGTCAAGCCTTTCGTCGTCCTCCAACGAGGAAGAGTCAAAGTATGGTTTGCGACCGCCCAATCTGCAGTTTGATTCGCGTGGGTTCCGCCGATCGAGTCGCCGGTGTCGCTTGCGCAAGAAGTCCTTCAATTTCCAGCCCTGGCTGCGCAGAGCCGGGATTCATGTGGTTTGCAGTCCAAACAAGCACGATGGGAAGGTGGCCGGAAATAATGGCGGGAGCGGGTTGACACGACGCAAGAGCTACGCCGCGGTGCCGGTGCACGGAGCGGTCTGAGTGCTCAATTCTCGCCAGATGGTAGCTGGAGCGATGGCAAAATATGATATGGTTTTTGTTGAAGTTCGCATTCGCAAGGTTTTTTTAGATTTATGAAAATGAGATACACCTCAATGAAACGTACGTCTCTCGCAATCTCCCATCGGACCATGAGTATATTTTCTTTTCCGTCTACTTTCGCTTTCTCCATTTTGCCGAACCGTGACCGACCGAGAAATAGTTCTTCACGTGTGCCATCACACAATGTAAGTACCAACCCTGATGCCCTAAAGTGTTTTGCGACTCGAAGCCGAGCTCCTGCATACATTAATACAAAAAAACAAACTTGTATTTGTACTTGCGAACTGCTCGATGTATGTTTGGTATCGGATTTGGGGAAGCGGCGAGGAATCGCTCTGCCAAGGGTTTTCCTGCCAGAATCCTGAACTTGTTACATTGGCGTGTGACGTTCTTGGAGATCTTGGCTTATTTTTGAAATGATCTGACACTGACACCTATGCTTTTCCTTTGTTCCGATCTTCGAGTTTTATGTCCTTCATTTGTGAAGTGATCCGATTCTGATCGGTTTTTAATTTTATGACTCGACGGCTATTCGTTTCTTTTTGCTTGCCGAAAGTGCAGCGACGAACGCCAATTCATTGTCATTGTGCTTCATGTAGTTATGTCATATCGCTCTTTGACTTTGCACCGTCAGCATTGACTTTTTGTTTTTGTTCGTGTGAGTTTAAGAAGCACAGGAAGCTCCTCTGTGTATTGATGATAGACCTTGAGGCACGGCGTTGGCAACAGTTGTATACACTGCATTACTTCCTGGTATTAGTACATCTCTTACGATTCCACGTACATCATGAGTGTCGGCCAGCACACGAATCCGTTTGAAGTTTCTGCACTGCTACAGCTACCATAGGACAGAAAACGCGCACGATGAGTGCCTCATCATCCTCATCATCGTCCTCCTCTTCAAGGAGAAGGGGTCCAGGACCGGAACCGGCACCAGAAACATGCACGGACATAGTGTTAGCGAATCCAGTCGGTGGCAACGATGAGAGCATGGCCATTGTGCCGGCAGATTTCCATAATTGTCCAGCGGCCATCTGGCGCGACTCGACAGAGGTCGCGTTCGCTGATGCAATCGAGTCCAACATGCCGGACTATTGGTGCAAATGGGACACATACCCAGACCAATGGGGCCCGACTGGCGCGGTTGCGTGTGTCCGGGTGGGGCGCATGCACACGCCTGCAGCCGTGCAGGCCAAGCTGCTGGACATGTGGCAGCGTGGGGAGAATCCCGTACTTCCGGCGGATGCAGCGCCAATGTTTAATGTGATCCACCAGAACGCGGACTGGTGGAGCGAGCGCGATGGCTACAACAGGAGCGCGAATCTCGATGACGTCGGGAGGGCGTTGGCAAAGAACGGCATCCGGCTGCTGAACCCAGTGCATTACCACGGTATTGGCGATCCTGTGCGCGAAGAGCGACGGTCGATCCTCGGCATCCGGGGCGTCTGGAGGGAGCTCAGCATTCCCCCGCAGGCGTTGTGGTATGTGCGCCCGTGCGGGTCCCGCGACCGGCTAGCCGCCCGGAAGGACGTCGCTGCAGTAGTAACGCCCATAGATTCGAAGGCGTTTTGGAGTCTTTCCCGGAATGGCAGACATGTTACCTCCCTCGAAGAGGTAGACGCGTTCGGACTGTATCGCCGTTGCCGCTTCATTCGACACCTGCCACAGAGCATCCTCCCGCCCCTCAGACCTACAAATCAAGCACTATCGGAGGAGCGCGCCATCATGTTGTACGAGGCCGCCCTGACGTTCTTCGATTTTGATGAAGAAGCAGGTATTTTTTCCGTCACGATGCCAAGTGAGAAAGTCTTTGGGGATGAAATACGTGCCGAAGAGGCAGCTACGGCCGCGCGGGCGCTAGACTACGCCAATTATTGTAACAGGGCACAGGCCGCCGCCGCGTCGGACATGGATGGAGAAGCGCGCATTTTCGAGCCGGACGGTTCTGATTCTGAAGAAGAGGAGAGCCGCAACAGGCATCGCCCCAGGAGCCGCGTGCTGCAGGGGCCGTCGAATGCTTCGCCGGATGGAGAGCATGAAGGAAGAGATGATCATGAGGCGCAACATGCCGACCCAGCTGTCGAGCAGGCGCGGAAACTTGCCGAGGGAGTGAAGCTTCACGAGTTTCCGGGAGAGAGTGTCGCTTGGATCGCATCACAGACCACTGACCAGCTCAATATGATTGCTGGGGACTTCTTCAGAAACATTTTTAAAAACGGCAAGCACGTGGTAAAATCTGGGAGAAACAACATCCGGCACAAGGACTCGCTAAAGCCGTTGCAAGCCGTCACACTTGGCGCCACGGTCAAGATTCTTTCTGCGTACGGAGCCCAGGTGTCTGCGTTCACGAAAAGCTCGCGCGGTTGTTTTCTTCTGCGGCTACTGGCCGAGCTGCGGCGCCGCTTCCTTCGCAAAGCGACAGCGCAAGCCGCAGCGCCAGCCAAGAACTGGACATCAATAACAATCAACCACAACTACGCGACCCCACTGCACGTAGATGGCGGAAATGTCGGGCAGATGTACTCGATGGTCGTCTGCTTCGGAAAGTACGCGGGCGGCAGGCTTTTCATCGCGACCGCGGGCGCCACTGGCTACCCACTGCCGCGCCGGCCCGATGGGAAGCTAGCGAAAGGCGAAGCGGGGACGTTCAAGGACGAGCATGGTGAGGAGGTTCCCGGTGAGTTCTTTTGCGTGTCGGCTAGCGGCATGGGGCCGCTGCTCTTCTCCGGACAAGTTCGGCACGGTAGGTTGCTCCCTGTTTGTTTCGCGGGTAGCTCCGCTAGTGTGTTCATCCTGATGTACGACTTGGCAGTCTTGTAATTTAGATTTAGACGTAAGAAAAATAAGGTAAGGCTGCACTCGGCCGCAGCGGCGGCTTCCTTAAACTGTATGTCAGCGTAGAACGGCCGCTGCCATTTTCGCATCTAGGGTGGACCCCACGACCCAGCATTGACTGTCCATATTGAACTCGTTACTTTTGATTCTCGTACAACAGGAACGGAGGCGTACAAGGGAGACCGAACGTGTGCTGTCTGGTATTCGCATGGCGGCGTATACAAGCTCAGTCCGAACCACGAAGACGAGACGAGACGGGAACGTAGTAAACTTCTGGAGCAGCTACGCACGGCCGGAATAGACCCCGCGGACCCAGCAGAAGTGCCAGAGGGCTCCGCTCCGTCCTCTGAAGGATCCGCCCGTGGGCCGGCCAGGGTGGAGGCAGCCGAAGGGAGCGCCGGCAGCAGGCAAAGCAGCAAGCAGAGGGGAAGCAAAGCCGGGGAGACTGGGTCTGGAGCTGAGCCCGAAACCTACGAGGAGTTTGAAAACGAGCGCGCCAACCCGCTGGTGCTCGAGACAACTCTCGGAGGGGTTCCGCCCAGTTTGCGGGGGTGCTACATGAAGTACTTGCGCCACCGTGTGGTGGAGCGCTTTGCCGAAGCTGCGCGGGAATTCCGTGGCTCGCCGCGTTCTGTTTTAGATGTAGACACGCCTGAAGGACACGAAGCGGCCGCCCACCGACCCCGGACGTCGCCCGGCAAGCGGTCCGCGCGGGAAGTCATTGAACTATCATCCTCATCCGACGCCGACGAAGGGCCCTCGATCCCCGGGGCCGCGCCCAGTAAAAGCGCGAGCGCGAAGGGCGCGGAGCGAGCGGCTGGCGCGCAGAAGAGAAAGCGAAAGTAGTGGAAAGAAGCTTTCTATGGTATCCGTGATCGGTTTAAACTCGCACACATCTATTTGCGCGCGGAGGAAATAAAAGAAAGCGATGAGCATCAGAAGTAGGTATGCGCCGTGGGGCTGTTGCGTCCATTGATTGTGCCGCCTACGATTACAGCTGGTGATATGGCAGCCAGCTGAGGTCTTCGCTGTTCTTGTGCTTTCATGATATGTTCACAAAGTCAAAGACAACGCGTGTACACAACCACTAGAAACACCCTGTGGACACGTTTTTTGTTTTATCTATCAAAGAAGCTTGTCTCACATTGTTTTTTTGCAAGTTGTAGACCGAAGCAACCGGCTCCGTCGAGTTTGTCTCATTTGTGCTTTTGTTCCATGCCGTATGTATCGGGAAAGCAATCGTCTTGGCCTTCGTGCTGCTCAAGTGGAAGCGCAGTGGCGAATTTCTAGTCGAAAATCGAAATCATCTATGTTCTTGTCGCGCCTGTGGATTCAGAAGTACCGTGACAGGACATGGCTGTTTATGTCACGTGGTTTCTTTTGATAAGGAATGAATCAGCACGGCATGATCGAGAAGTTGAGTGTCCGTCATTGTTTCGCTGCAAAGTATACCTCGACTGCTGCCTACTTACAGCACTGCAGGTTCTGTCCACTATGACCGCCTCCCACGCCGGGCGCCCGTGCCGGTTTTGGTGCGTCGCCCACCCTTGCAGTTTTTGAAGCGTTTGAACCTGTCGGTTCACCTGCGGAATTTTCACGACACCGGATAAGAATATTGCGATGGCGCATACCTCCGATGAGCCACATGAAAGGTACGCACTGAAGATAGATCTTCTCAATCACGGAGCTGCGATTGCGCGCGATGCGAACTGCGTCTGTAGTGACATGATTTTATGTGGCAGGAGACGTGATGCATGACGTCATGACGTAGCAAGGTATCGTAAATGCGAGCGCGCTCGTTTTGTTGCAGCAGCAAAAATATTCCCGTGTGATAAGCAGGTATTAGGTGTCTGGAACGGATGGCGTCATCATGTGAAGGCCGAGGACCTCTATGATCTGAATATACGATATCTGATAGTTTTGCTCCACCTAAACTACTCGTTTGTCGACAGTAACGAAGTTGACAGTGCGTGTTGGTTTGGATTTACGTTTCATCCTCATTTCGTGCAGAAGTGCTGCACCTCTTCGACTAAAGAAATGCAGAACTGCAGAAACAGATGAAATAAAATGTCGCATCGCGAGAAGCTACGCTGCTCCGAAAGTTGCAATGCCTTTCCTTTGCATACCACTGATGACACGAGGTCGAAGATCGGGTTTTGGCAGGCGGTCAGCAGCATTATCGCTACCATGGTCGGCGCGGCGATTTTTCTGCTTCCCCAGGCGGTTGCGAAGGTCGGGCTGATCGGCGGACTTTTCGTCGGGCTACTTTTTGGGTACGTTTTGCTGACGGCAACCGCAATCGCCGTGCCCCGGTGCATCGAACTTTGCGAAGAGTTGGACGTACTGGAGCCAGATGTACCAGTTGCAGATGCTGCCACATCAGAACAAGGCCCTGCCACTGGCTTCACGAGGAAGTTCAAAACAATCACGCAAGACTCTGCAGCGGAGGGAAAACATGTCGATCATCTAGCACTGGATCTGGAGCCCACCGTCTCCGAAGTCCTGCGCATGATCCCCTCCACGGACAACTTGCTACACGAAGGCGACGACACTACGGTTCTGTCGTCTGCGACGGCAAAGACGCAGCGGGCTGCCTTTGAAGAAAAAGAACACGAACTTTTCGAGGAGCAGAACACCTCCGTTGCCTTCGTCATTCATGTCGCGGAAGGCGACGACCAAAGCGACGAAGTCATCGACGTCTGCGCAAATACGACGGCGGGCGTGTTCACGCAGCCACCGGTGATGCTAAGTACTGCGTATGAAGAGGAGCCGCTGCTGGAAATATTCACCGCGAGCGCAGCAGGAACCACGACAGGAGGCAACATCAACAACACTTCGATGCCAGCCGCTTCGATGCAGTCGGGGCAGCAAGAGCTACACGCTGTTCGAAACGAAGGCCTGAGCATCAGCAAGGCCGATGGTCACGATGACCCACCAGAGGCGGGTCTACGTACTGCGGAGAATGGTGTATCACCCCCACCTGTTGTGCTGAGGCGCAAGCGAAAGATCTATTTGCTTCCCGACGTGGCTGAAAAAGCGTTTGGCAGCAAGGTCTGGCGGAAAATCCTGAGCGTCTCACTGACGGTTACTTTGGTGCTGACTTGTGCCGTGTTTATTGTGGTTTTCGGAAGCAGTATTCAAACGCTTGTGCGGCAAATCCGGATCATCGCCGGAGATCGCGACGTGCGCTTGGAAGAGCCGCCCCGCTCGGTGTGGAAAGAGAGTCTCGTATCGGTGGCGGTTATGTCCACCGTGGTGCAACTGCGGGATATTTCGTCGCTAGCCAAGTTCAGCTTTGTCGGGACCCTGGCCATCTTCTTCGTGCTCTTGGTCTTCGTTTTCTCGCCCGTTTTTCTCCACGCGGGCCACATCACAACGCATGGTAGAGCTGAGTGCTGCTTGTAGTTCTGGTGCCAAATGCGAAAGGAAGCCGCTCTTTCTTGATGCGGATTTTCTTCCCCTCGCAGACCGCAGTGCGGCAAACTGAATCGAAACAAAAATCATACCAGGCTTTCCGGATCCAATCATGGGTGGCTGGGTGCCTCGCAGTGCGACTGGGCCCGAGCCCCTGCCTGCTGGCGTCCTACTCGCGCAGCATGACAGAACCGCGGGACCGCACGAGACTGAAAGTCATGTGTGGGCGTGGAGCAAGGAGCGAGGTGCAGTGCAGTACACGATAGCGCCGTTGACTGCCGTAGGCGAAATTTGCACGACGACAATCGACGCACTGACCATGCTAGCGTTCGTATGCTATTCGAAAGATGCCTCCACCGCGCATTCCTGGTCCGAGTGAGGACTAGAGTTGTAGATGTACCAGTGATTAAGATTACATGTAAGATCCTCAACATTTTCGGATGAAGTATGGGAGTGGAGGCATTCTTGAACAGCATTCGCCGCTTTCGCGTTTGCCTTCAACGCCCCCCACATTCGTGCGGGCATGGAAAAGCCGGAACAGATGCCGAGCGCCATTCTAGTCAGCAAGACCGTGGTGCTGGTGACATTCGCGCTTGTGATACTACTCGGAAACCTGGGGATCGGTGCTGACAAGCTGCTGGCTTCGGATTCCGTGTTTTCCGCCCTGGAGAAATACGGCACAAAAGTAGTTCTACGCACCAGGGAAAAAGCTGTATCACGTATGAAATTCCAGCAACGCTTGGGACGTGACGCAAGCGGTTCTTTGTCGTGACGACGACGTGACTGTGCGCACTGATTTTTCCTGGAAATAGTACGTATGCCTCCTAAAAACCTTTGAATCATTTTTAAATCAATCTAAACTCAGCCTGCGCCTGCATATGCATGACCACTAGCATTTGGCCATTCCCATTGCGAATTTGCGCGATACGCTTTTTGAAAACTCGATAGCCTCGCACAAGTGATTACACCACCAAGTTCGGCCAGAATCCGGAATGGAGTGCGTCCGGCGAAACAATTCTTGCGTCGGCCAACGGGTACGCATTGCTCGTGAATCCGCTGTATTACTTCGGTAACGTGCCCAGGGGCGCGCTGATGGGGATGACCCTGGCGATTCTGATGATGATGAAGCTGCTTCTGAGCTACCCCCTAGCAATCTGGCCGGTGCTTATGGACATCGAGCGTCGCCTCGGAAAATTGTTCAGCGAGCGAGGGAGGAGGGGAGACGCTCAGCACAGAGTAGCACTGGAGGGCACGCACGAGGGGAATCGAAATAAAGCCGCTTGCGAAGACACACCATTACCGGTAGATGAGCAGCGACCCCTGCTGCCCTGCGGGGGTCCCGAAATGACAGAGGCCAGCGTTGCTGCAGGCGATTTGGAGAAGGGCACGCTGCCGCGCATGACCCCAGAAACCTTCGCCGCCGATATTGATCAAGAACAGGGGCACGACTGCGTGAGGACACCACTGTACGCGAGCGTGCTTGCCCGCGTCCTTCTTGTCTGCGTCACTTACGGCATTGGAGCTTCGCTGCGCTGCGAGATGAAGCGGCTCGGTGCTGTGGTCGGGCTTGCCATCAGCACAGGCGGCATGGTCATTCTGGTGTTCGTGCCTCTCGCTGCACACTACCATTTGCATGAGCGGGTCCGGGTCCTGAAGAAGCGACCAAAGATCTGGCACGATCACGCCCAAGCCTGGTTTTACCTGGGTTGCGCGCTCTTGGGCATCTTGATGTTCCTTCAAGCGGTCGCCACGGCGCCACGGGAGATTGCCGACGCACTGGCTGCATCAGCGTGGTGACAATCCTGCTTGTTCTCACGGTCGGATAAAGTGCGCAGCATTAATTTGCTGTTGCCCGGTAGAATACATGAGTTCGTCATTGAGTAGGTACTGCAGCTCAGCTCTACGTGAGTGTCTATTGTTTCCGCGTTTTCTTCTTGTTTTGGTCGTTCGGTTTGACTTTTTGCCAAGTACATTACACCACTTAATATTTTATAAGAACCCAAAAATTATGCGAAGTATACGATTGTCTTCTTGCGGCTTCTACTTTGACTTTTCTATTTTTTTTCTAGAATAAAGGAATCTAATCAAGTAGCCGTGTGCATTGAAGAGCGCATAGTTTTAGGTTTTATTAGTTGTTTCTGCTGATGATTGAGTCTCTGTCTCTGATAGGGCTAGGAAGTGCTGCTCTATGACTTTTTGCTAAAGGAAACTTTCTGCTGATCTTTATTGCATCTCCGCTTAGCACGCGGCTTTTCCTTCTGTTCGTTAAAATGTAAAATTAAGATGAAAACTGACTTTGAGAACTTGTGTTTGATCAAAATTTGCAGTTGAAATTTTCGTATGCGTCTGTTTTCATTTGCGTCTGTAGTGTCAGACGAGCCTGATGTAGTGCGCGAAAACGAAACTTCCTGCCGCGCCATTATAAGACTCTTCGAGAATAAAGAATATTCTTTGCCCGCCGTTTTCACCACGAGGCTGCTTTCATGGAGACCTGCTTTCCAGCACTATAAGATCGCCCGTGCCTAAGGTCGAAACTGCAATCGAAAAGCAATAAAGGACCGACAATGACGGCTGCAGACGCATCGTTATCCGCAGAATCGTGTCCTGTTCCTGATTGTTCTTGTCTTTGGGGCCCGAAGTCCTTTGATATTTGGATTGACGAGAGTAAGAAGCTTGGCAGCAGATGAGGGTGAAAAAGGGTGATGCAGTAGCCGACCGCTTGTGGTCGTTGGCTTTGTAGGTGTGGTACGATGAAGTATGTCCCATTTATGGAATTAATGCGACAGGGAGAGATGACGAATACCAAGAGCAAGACGGTCCGGGTCCGGCAAGTTCTCGCCGAAATGTTCCACTAAGCAACACGACTGCTCCAAAAATCCAGCAAGTTGAAGAAGTTCACAAATAATTATGAAGCGCCCACCGCCACACTCACGGCCGCCGCGAGTGCGGCGGCAGCCGCAGGACCCGAATCCAGACGACTTCTGTATCTTTTGCTGTCCCGCGTCACCAGGGCGCCCAGGACCCCAGCGCAGCAGCGGGTCGAAAGAAACTTCTGCGTCCTCTGCGTGCGGCTGCTCTGCGCCAAGTTTCTTCTGCGCCTGTGCCTCAACGGTAATGCTGCTGCAGGATCATTTCCTAGGCTCTCGTTCCGGAGCGGGCGGCCACTTGCTACACACTCAAGCCATGGCGCACGCCCAGCCAGTGCGCGATTCCGAACAAGATAGACGAAAGTCAACATCCAGCACGGCGCTCGCCGCGCCGACGGAGACGTTATTTACAGGATCGAAAGAGGAAGTAGACGATGGGAACAAGATCGTCCCAGCCGAGAAAAAGCGGGACCCGAGCAGGGACCCAGCAAAACCGACCGAGCCAGACGAGGGAAGAAGCCATAAGGAGCAAGCGAACGCCCACAAGGGAGCGGTGAACGAGCACCAGAATAAAGGGCGAACTTTTATAGAGCATGAAGAAGGGGGCACCACGACCTACGAAAAGCGAGGCACTTTGCGTCACGCCACGGAACAAAATGCGGTAAAGCCGCTCTCTTCAGCACCGGTGGACAGTACTAGAGGCTCGTCACGCGCAGGAGAAGCCACGAAGAAGATCATGAGGACCGCGGAACGACAAGGAGAGCCATTGTAATCAAAAACGATACTACCTTTGGCGTTAAAGTGCAGCGAGCTATCGAAAGTAGCTTCAACCGATATCTCGTAGAGTCGGGACGGAGCTTCGATGTGATAGAGGTGTCAACCTTTACAGGTGGCGAGGATGGTGTCTCTTCAGCTGCGTCAAATGCAACCGAGGACGCTGATAGCGGCGGCGCGAGGCTATCCTCTTCCCTGATACGGAAAGAGGAAGGTGGTCATGCTATCAACACGAATAAACGAGTGCAACAAGAAGGAGCACACACGAACTCCCTGGGTTCGCAGGTACGTAACCACAAACAAATGACGGCGCTTCATCTGGATTTGACAGAACAACAGCAGCAGCAACTTCGCAACACGCAAAGAATTGAACAGGCCATGGATGGTACCACTACAGCAATTGACCGCCTGTCAGTATTGGGCGGAAAAGTCGCGTCCGCAGACGAGGAGGGCGGGAACCCCTTCAACTTTTCCGCGTACTTCCTCGGCGCCATGCCGACGGCTGGCACCGAGGCAGCCAACAAGTTCCAGAATAACACAGAGCTGGATGAGATCATCACGAAGGCCATACAGAGGCACATTCTGAAGAAGTACCATAACGCGACCAAGAATACGACGACCTTGCGCTTGGACGGAATTTCCGTCCAACTGCGGCGCGAAGTTACTTTTCTCGGTATCGCGGATGCCAAGGCCGCTGCTGGTGACGCGGATTCGCCGGCAGCGTCCTCGCTCCTTTTCGTCCAAGACCGGGAGCATCAGCAACAATTGGGCGCGCTGATGAGCGCAGAGCTTCGACAAGGAACTTGACCTGGAGATGGCAACTTTTTTGGCCGCAGCCCGCAGGTCCAAGCTGCACCTGTCACCAACGTTCCAGCTGTTTCACGCCCGGAAGATGGAGAAAATCCTCATCGCCAAGCAGCGCAGGCGATTTGCCGAGGAAAACCGGAAAAGAGAGGCATGGCGGCGCGCCCTGGTGGTGGAAAGCATGCGGAAGATGAAGAAGAAACAGCAGCTTCCGTCGGCGGGGGAGAATAACAATAAAGGTCTTCAAAAATATGCTGCGAAGACAGGGACTGGGGCGCAAGGGGGTGACCGAGCAGTTTCATCCGGCGTAGAAGCAAGTGCGGAGACAAAACCAACAGAAAAATTGATCACGCCGCGTTTCTCGTTCTTGGCCCTCCTCGAAAGACGCAGCCAGACCCCACTGAAAAAGGAAGCAGCAGAAAAAAACGCAACAAAAAGCGGCCCGCCGTTCACTCTTTGGTGCGACTTGCAGCCCTTCGCGCTGGAGGAAATCGACAGCTGGATCAATCTATCAAATGTAAAAATGTCTGGGTCTGGAACAATGCAACTTGTGATGCTAAATCTGAAGCATGCAAAAATCTGTGTTGCATGATTACCAAAAGTCGTCCAGTTTTGACCAAGTCGGGAGTCAGTTTCTCACGCAGGATAGGCATGAGAAAGATCGCGCAAAATCTGTCATGCTAGGGCCTGCATTCCAGACCTCATGGGTCATTAAAAAGCTGCACGACAAATCGCGCATTCTTCCAGACCCAGACATTTTTACATTTGATACAATCCGTGTCTTGTGTTATTTGAGTACCCTGGTAGTATCGGGTTTGTGGGTCTCATCATTTCTTTCGTTATCACTTGTCTGATCGTCTGCCGCCACTACCTTTTGTGCAGACAGCGCAAGCGCCCCGTGGACCCAGCTCTGGCTCTGCTGGAGGGCGTCGGACATGAAGACGCGCTTCTGGCGGGAGAATCGGCCGCTGCTGACCCCGCGGGTGCGCTGAAAAAGAAGCAGAAGAAGAGCAAGAAAATGGAAAAGGAAAAGGCGGAGTCGAAAGTTGCGGGCATGAAATTGGGCATGATCACGGGAGGTGGGTCGTACACTGTGCAGCGTTCTCCAGCACTGCCCGGCGGGGGCGGAAGGCAGCCCGCAAACAAGGCACTCTCCGCAGCAGCTAGCGGTGCCTTTGCAGGGGCAAGTGCGGGTTTTGGCGCAGCTGTATCCGGCTCTGCTGCGTTTGGAGCGCCGAAAGCTACCCGTGGCTTCGGAAAGTACTAGAGCTGAGATTCTGTAGAATTCTTTTGGTCTTAACGTCAAAGAACTAATTCTCGCCGTCACCATTGCTATTCGCCGTCTTATGCTCCATATGTAGTTTAAGTTTTTTTTTTTCCGATATGTCGTGCCTTGGCTGTGAATTTAATATTAGTTCGTTATGATGTTTCGGTGTGCTTTTTGGTAGTTTTCGTTTTTCGCTATTTTTTCTTTGTTCTCGCCCAGAAGTTGGCGCTGAGCGTTTCTGCTTGATTTCAATCTACAAAGGTTTTCTGTCAAGAAGCACTGATTACAACTACAAGTTTCGTCAATCGAAGTACTGAATATTTCGTTGTCTTGTGTCTGATGAGATGTCATGGCACGACTGGCTCCCTCTGTAATTGCAATTGCTCGAGCGCTAAACGAAGAGCTGGCTTAGCGATCCCAACTGCACAGGTACCATATGGCGTAGCCGTCGCTCCTATTTTTTTAAGTACTACTCTGCTTCACACATAGTTGGAACTGGACGTTTAGTTTCGTGAGTTTGCTTTCTATTTATTTCGCTTGGTTGCCGCGCTTCGTCGCCACTGCACTGTAACTTTTATTTTCTCTGGTGGCCCGAAGATTGCGTGATGCCCTCAAAGCTGTCGATCAAAATGAAATAATTTGAAGTGGTGTACGTTGCCAAGACTGACCACACAGCTGCCCTCACGGGCGCCACGTCTTCGCGCAGTTCCTGCGAGTTCTACCTAGGTGATAAAAACTATGAGTCAGAAAACGTCAGTCTTTCTGGTAGTTCGATTCGTTGCATCGTCGTGCGGGCTACTCGTTGATATTCGGTTTAATGAAATGTCAATGTGCTCTCCTAGTCCTATCGTTAAATCGTGAGGTCCCGGTTTTGCCGCGGCCGTCAACAGTTCTCAGGCAATCGATCCAGCAGTATCCTACTGTCTCAGTCGTTTCTGGTCTATCGTTGTTTCAGAGAAACTTCGGTTGCATCGGCATTTCATATGTTGGGCCGCATCGCTGATGCCAGGGTCGTAACGTTAGTGTCTGACCCGACATGATGATTTTCAAACTTCTCAGTCTCGTCGTACGCAAAAATCGTAGTACCTGTTGGTCTCCTAGTACTTGCACACTATTGGAGTTGGCCTTAAGATTCTTGCGGTCGCGCTCGGCTAGCTGGCCGAGCTGTGCTGATCAGGTGTGGCGGGTAGTTCCCGACTGGTTGGCACTTTTTGTGGGGCAACTTGCCGGGGTAGCGCTCGGCCTCGGCTTTTGTATCATGAGGTCGCCGAAAGTGCTTCCTCGCCCACCCCCCGGGGAGGGGGTCCTTGGCCTGTGGCGCTGGGTACGGGTGTCCACTACATGATGACGATGATGATTCGCGTTTTCCCTTATAGTCTGCGCATCACAGGTTTTCTTTGCCATTTCGAGCAACTTTGTGATGCAGAAACTCCAGCAAATGCGTAACTGTAGCACTTTTTTCCTGTGTTATGAAGCCTGGGCTGACTGAGGGCTTCGGCTTTCTCTCTCCCAGGCAACTTCCCGTGGGTGCTAGGCTGTTCAGAGCTAAAAAGGGTGGCGCTTCGTCAAGCTACGGCGGTGGTCAGGTGAGACACAGACCATCAGCTACTTGCAAGCAGGAACATAAAAAAGTAGTACGCTAAACAGTTACTCGCTCGCCTAAAGAAGCAAGCACCCGACTGATTTTGATGTGCTATTGGAGGACGTAGAAGTTGGTTACCCTACTAACTTCTCGCTACGAAAGTAAGCGACAAGAAATGTTGACGCGAGTAACGAAATGGTTGAAGATTGATGTGTTCGCGGGGGGGTGAGTTGCCGTTCTCGTGGCGCTAGTAGTGGGAAGGGTCCTTGATCATGCACAAAAACTTCCTCTTCTTCGGAACTGCTCTGCCCCTGCCACTATATTTGTATTTGTGGAGCCTTTCCTATTCCTCCCAGTCCCATGTTGCATTGCGACGGTGATTCGTTGTGCGACGACCTCTCTGCGCGCTTTGCTTAGCGCCTTTTTGTTGATTTGCAGAACCTTGAAAGCACTTTTAGGCTCTGACTCGGCAGTAGCATTATTTACTATTTCCGGCTTTCGTAGACCTTTGTAGCCTTCACGCACAACCAATTCCTTCATGTCGAGACGGCGCGCGCGCGGACGCGAACGTCAGCCGGTCGCGCGTCGGCGCGCCCGCGTCGGCACAGCGTCGGGCGCCGCGCGCGACTTACACAGGTGCACGCACAACAATGACCAGTTTTTTTTTCATTTTTTTGGGGTGCCCGGGAGTCTCTTCTTCCCACGTACACGCTGAGTATAAATATGCGAATTCGCCCGTCGGGGGCCCTTCTCGGAGCACGCAATAAAAGCAGTTTAGTACTTTTTACGAATTTATTCAATAAAATTAATGATATAGATTTTGCTTTTGTGGAAGAATTATGCGACGCGGTTTTCTTCTGGTCTCTCTGCTCGTGTGCGTACAGCGGGGTATATTTGGACTGCAGCCCGAATCGTTGATGAACGAACAATCCATCGACGACTCTTCCAATAAATTGGCAACAAACACCAGCATCAACGTTAGTACGGTTTCGACAGCTCCTCGTCCTCTCCGAGGACGAGAGATATCGGCGAGCATCGATATTCGCGATCCCCTCTACCAGGAGCGCTACCTGAACAAGACCCCCTCTACCGCAGAGCTCATTTCTTCCGATGGAGAGACGGAACCGATTTCGTTCAAGCAGCAGCACGGAGCCGGGCTCCTCGCTGGCGCGTCGACGACTCGTTTCGGCTCGGGAAACGATATCGCAGAGGTATCGACGAGTGAGTATCTGGATCTAGCCACTCCTGTCCGTGTCTCGTCTACCAATGAAGGCAGATTGTTTACCGCATTGACTGGATGCGACGCCCACGAGCAAGAGAAAACGTGGCCGAAACGCAATAGTGATGGAAGCGTATCGGAGTGGAAATCCTGTCAGACGACGTGCCTCAAGGGGGGATCAGCATCCGCGCTGTACGATAAGGATCCGAGCTGGAAGCTTTACTTCCAAGACGAGCCGGCCGAGTTCGAGCGGCCAACGTTCTGGCAAGCGTCGCCCAATGGTGACGACCAACACCCCACGGTGCAGTTTCACTTCAAGCAGGAGACATTCATCTCACGAGTGGTCGTGCATCCAGTGGCGGTCGGGGAGCATTCCGATAGTTGGTGTACTCACCGTGTCTGGCGAGCGCTCTATCTCGGCCATGACCAGGTGCCCGACGGTGCGTCCACCTGGCATCGCACCGGCGTGCCAGACAAGCGAGCACAGCTCAACATCGGCATGGTGCCCGGAGCGGACGCATGCACGCAAGATACGCTGAACGCGAAAACCGCAAACACGCAAGTTTACTGCACGAAGGTACCCGTGGCCAATTTATTAAATGCTCACTATCTACTTCGAACGGCTGGCGAGCCTGTGAGTCCAGGCAGAGAGAAGAGAAGGGTAGGCAATTTGATAGGTATGCGAGGGCCGGGCTCCTCATCCTCAATGCCCTACTGATATGCATTTGCTTGGCGAAAAATTGGGCAAGCGCCCCGCCTCGGCTAAACGCCGCCCGACTCGATCGCGCGATCGAAATTTTCCCCACCCTCCCGCCCTGGAGTGGTATCAGGATCGTGCATATTCGCTGGCAGGCTTTGCCTACCCTCTTCCCCATTGAAGGAATATGAAATAAGCAGCTAGCAATACATGGTATAGGAGCGTCAGTTTCTGCATCAGTCTCTTCAGCGCCAGCTCGTTCTCACTCTCTAGCGAATCAGTTTTCCCTTTCGTACTGCACAAAGGTCCCGAGGGGAGGGAGCAACGACCGCACCTGCTACACAGACGAGTTCGGGTTCTCGGACAAGGCCAGGAATACAGGGGAGCCGCGCGTAACGGGATGGTATCGCCGACTGGCGGTGGGCCCTGAGTATATCAATGTGCGACGCATGAGGTTTGAGTGTGACCCGGTGAGCGTCCACGGAAGGTCGCTCGTGATTGAGTGGCCTTGGTGGGGGCATCTTCCGTATTTCTTTGCTCTGCGCCACGTCGAGATCCACGGCTACACCACAACCAGCACCACCACAGCCTGTCCGCTCCGGGCGGGTGCGGCGGTCGCGGTGCGTCGGGTTCTCAGGAAGGGAAACAACGCAACTGATGCGCTTTGCCGAATCGCGGCGGGCCCCGGGGTGAGCGAGACAGCCAGCGTCCGCTGTTGCCCTGACATTTCGCCGCAACAGATGATTACCATGACCAACTATCTCTGGGGAGCCAGCTGTGACGTGACGACAAACCTCGCGTACTGCGCGGCGGCGGACTTTTGCGGAGAGGCGCGGGTCCTGATGGAGGACGGCAGTCCCGAAATCAGCTCGCGTTTGTGCGCAACCTCCAGCGAGCTGCAGAGGCAAGAGGGTACGGGATGCGCGCTCGATTGGGAGTATCTGTGGACGAGAGAGGAATGCTTCCTGTGCACGTGCGAAAACGGAGTCGCGGCGCCCTCCATGGCAGCCGGGTGTCCGGCGAGCGGTGGAAACGTCTGCCTGGAGTGCGAAAACGGGTACACCCTCAAAGGAAACGAGTGCGCGCTCAAGGAATGTACCTGCCCCCACGGAGAACCCTCCGAACCGCACGAGTGCCCAGGAGACGGCGTGGAGCACTGCATAGCCTGCGATACAACGGGTTATTATTTGGAAGACAACAAGTGCGCGCTCAAGAAATGTACCTGCCCCGGCGACGGAGTCGGAGAACCCGCAACCGGCACCTTATCAGATGTGAAGACAGCTGCATCCCCCTGCCGAACTCCACCTCGTTGTAGTGCAACCCATAGCACAACAAATACAAATGATAGAAAACCAAATTGTAACGCACTTATGTGAACAACAAATAAAAAATGCAGCGACATGATGAAAGCAGTACGAAAATTAGAAAAATAGAGAGCTTGATTAGTATCTGTATGACCACAAGTCCGCGAGGCATGAATGTTGTGTTTGGCATATTTATTAGTGTGAGCGGTCGTGTTGCCTACGAGAATCGAGGAGAGAGGGATTGTCTCTCACCTAATACCGGAGTTGCCCGAGTCACAATACGGAAGCCTGTGCGTCGTGTACCGCTCCTGGCTATGAGCTAAACGCTAATAGTAAGCAGTGCGAATGCACTGCGTCTGGCTTTCACGTGAACACCGATACAAACATCTGTGAGGGCAAGGTGTGTCACTGCGACAACGGAAATCCCGCGACCGGCACTGCGTGCCCCTCCCAGGACGATCACAAGTGTCAGTCGTGCTTTACCGATCAAGGCTACGTGAAAAACAACAACGACAGGTGCGTCGCGCAATTCCAGTGCACCTGCAACGGCGGGACTGCGGCGACGGGCGACAGTTGCACTACTCACAACGTCGAACACTGCACGAGCTGTAACGCTAATCATGCACTCACGCCTGTTAGCGGGGGCAAGAAGCACTGTTACGAGAAGTGTAAAAATAGGAACGCAGCGTGGTGCGCCAGCAACAGTGTAGATAATGGAAAAAATCGCGCTGCGTACTGGGACAACCCAAGTGACTGGGCGGGAAGCAGTGTCTGCGCTGCCAAGGCCTGCGATATCAGCACGGACCTGAACACCTGTTGCCGCCAGAAGTGTACCCATCCGGCCACGGGAGACTGCAACGGAAATCTCCAAAAATGGGACGTGGAGGAATACTCTTTCACCAAGAAGGGAACGCAAGGTCTAGCGAATGGTTCCTGTCACAACACCGGAAACACCTGCGACGCTGCTAACAGCGACCATGCAGCTTGTTGTCAAAGAGATTGCAACATGAAAGACTGCAACGCGAAGGAGTTTGGGAACCCAAACTACCGAATGTATTTTTTGAAGCTCCACCCTCCGCATCCGTTCGTGTGCAGCGGCTACTTGTGCGGTGATGACGAATCTGTTGGTACTTGTTGCGAGAAAAGCTGCCAACGACCCAGCTCGCAGAACGACTACTTCGGCTATAACTTGGGCAGTGGGAAAGCTGTCGGCACGCTCTCGGACTGGAAAGAGGTGATCGGAGACGCCCGGCCGGGGGATTCACACAAGGACGAAAACGCCGGCGAGGGGCGCACCAGCTCGCTTCTGCAATGTGATTCCACCACCCACATCGGGACCGCGTACTACCGGTGTACGAGCGCCGACGAGGAGCTGGCACTCACCGGCTGCCGGCAAAAGTGCAGTGCCACGGCCCTCAACTGCCAGACCGAGCACAGTCGGACCCAGAAACCCTATTTCGATCCAGAAACCACCGTCTGTTTTTCAAACCGGTGCGACGCAACTAGGCAAGCAGACGTGGAGGCGTGCTGCGTTCCCAAATGCAGAGACGCCTTTTTCGGGAGCGGCAGCACGTGTCCGGGCCCCAGCGAAGGGTTTGTGGAAGGTGGGAATCGATCCGCCGCTGACTTCTGCTCTCCAGATTGTACAGCCGCTCAAGAGACCGTCTCCTGCTGCACCCGACGCAAAGTGTGCCCGCACATTCACCGCGTGACCCCAGACCCGCTGGCCATCTTTACGAGCGACGGAAATCTAGCCGCCTACTTTGGTGACGTCAACGAACACGGCGTCGTTGCAACGGAGAGCGAACTAAATTGCAAGCACGAAGAGTACCACATCAGTAATTTTGTGCCAATTTTCTCCCACCCTACTCTCATTTGGCTCCAACTGATTTTGCATCAATACCGATGATTTGTGTAGGTCGGTGGCGACCTTGACCTAGGCGACGTCGCGCAGTAGTAGTTTGTAAAAGCTGCTTTCGTTTCTTCTAGCGCTAGCACAAAATCAGCTTGGCTGTGAAAATGCCTGGTCTCGAAGATAAGCTTGCTCGATTTGCATGATCTTGATCGTTGATACTTCGGTAGAGAGGCCCTAAGTCGTCCTGTGTCACAAATGAGATCGGGTCGGTGAAGATGAAATTGTCGTACAGGATACCAGCGTGTGGCTAAGCGGTCAATACGCCGTCTCCGGAACATTCTCCACAGAGCAGCGACTGAGGTTCTGTGCGGGCAGCGGCGAGTGCGACCCCGGTACTGCCAGCGCGCCGCTGGACGTTGTGGAGTGTTGCGAGCGGTACGAATCGCATGATGGATGGTTCTGTGACTCTTTCAACACTCCGCGTTTCTACGCCTCTGAGGAAGCAGCCAAGCGAGCCTGCGACATTGGCTTCTGGGACACCGAGAACGAGGAGGTCGCGACGACGCTGTGCTACGGATACCAGTATGACGGAAACTTTTTCAACTCCGAATTGCGAGAGACTTATGAAAAAGACAGTGCTGGTCTAGGTCTTGATGCTGAACAAGTTTTTGAAGTCTACGGGATGTGGAGCTTACTCCTGCCTCCGATTGAGCAGGTAGGCGACTCCGCCGTGATCGAGAAGGACGGCAAGGAGTATTTTGCCTACCAGCTCGCCGCAGACAACAGCAACATCGAGAAATCGAAATCGTCCTATCGACGGCATTCCAGTCATGGAATGAAGCCAAACTGCGCGGAAGTTTCAAGCAGCAGCACCACTTCCAGTACGGAAAAGTATAACGCGACCAGCATTTCGGCCGGTGCGAACAGGGTGTTGTTAAAGAACTCGCGGGTGCCTGCGACGACGGAAGATTCATTGGTGACTGTGAATTCCCAGTTCCTGAATGTTGAGCGATTGGCCGCATTGTTTCCACTGGAGGATGAAGTAGGTGGCAAACTTGCCGGGTTGTCCGAAGTTACCATCCGAATGCTCATGCATTCGAGTGAGGTGCAGGACCTGGAAAAAGAGCAGCAGGAGGCTGCATCATTGGAGAACGAGGAGAGCACTTCTGCAGCGGCTACTTCCGCGACCTCTAGTTTTGCAACACTCTTCGGCTCTGCTTTGCAAGAGCATGACGGCTCCTTATCAGACGAAGACCATCTTCACACGAGGAGACGAAAGGCTGCAAGTCACCACCGGAATGAACTAAAAGAAGTGGGGTCGCACGGTAGGAAAGAGCGAAATAGCAGAAGGAGCTCCGCGGGAGGAGGAACTGGTCTCGGCCAGCAATACAAAGCAATCAAAAACGATACTACCTTTGGCGTTAAAGTGCAGCGAGCTATCGAAAGTAGCTTCAACCGATATCTCGTGGAGTCGGGACGGAGCTTCGATGTGATAGAGGGGTCAACCTTTACAGGTGGCGAGGATGGTGTCTCTTCAGCTGCGTCAAATGCAACCGAGGACGCTGATAGCGGCGGCGCGAGGCTGTCCTCTTCCTTGATACGGAAAGAGGAAGGTGGTCATGCTATCAACACGAATAAACGAGTGCAACAAGAAGGAGCACACACGAACTCCCTGGGTTCGCAGGTACGTAACCACAAACAAATGACGGCGCTTCATCTGGATTTGACAGAACAACAGCAGCAGCAACTTCGCAACACGCAAAGAATTGAACAGGCCATGGATGGTACCACTACAGCAATTGACCGCCTGTCAGTATTGGGCGGAAAAGTCGCGTCCGCAGACGAGGAGGGCGGGAACCCCTTCAACTTTTCCGCGTACTTCCTCGGCGCCATGCCGACGGCTGGCACCGAGGCAGCCAACAAGTTCCAGAATAACACAGAGCTGGATGAGATCATCACGAAGGCCATACAGAGGCACATTCTGAAGAAGTACCATAACGCGACCAAGAATACGACGACCTTGCGCTTGGACGGAATTTCCGTCCAACTGCGGCGCGAAGTTACTTTTCTCGGTATCGCGGATGCCAAGGCCGCTGCTGGTGGCGCGGATTCGCCGGCAGCGTCCTCGCTCCTTTTCGTCCAAGACCGGGAGCATCAGCAACAATTGGGCGCGCTGATGAGCGCAGAGCTCGACAAGGAACTTGACCTGGAGATGGCAACTTTTTTGGCCGCAGCCCGCAGGTCCAAGCTGCACCTGTCACCAACGTTCCAGCTGTTTCACGCCCGGAAGATGGAGAAAATCCTCATCGCCAAGCAGCGCAAGCGACTTGCCGAGGAAAACCGGAAAAGAGAGGCACGGCGGCGCGACCTGGTGGTGGAAAGCATGCGGAAGATGAAGAAGAAACAGCAGCTTTCGTCGGCGGGAGAGAAAAACAATAAAGGTCTTCACAAATATGCTGCGAAGACAGGAACTGGGGCGCAAGGGGGTGACCGAGCAGTTTCATCCGGCGCTAGAGGAGCAAGTGCGGAGACAAAACCAACAGAAAAATTGGTCACGCCGCGTTTCTCGTTCTTCGCCCTCCTCGAAAGACGCAGCCAGACCCTACTGAAAAAGGAAGCAGCAGAAAAAAACGCAACAAAAAGCGGCCCACCGTTCACTCTTTGGTGCGACTTGCAGCCCTCCGCGCTGGACGAAATCGACAGCTGGATCAATCCGTGTCTTGTGTTATTTGAGTACCCTGGTAGTATCGGGTTTGTGGGTCTCATCATTTCTTTCGTTATCACTTGTCTGATCGTCTGCCGCCACTACCTTTTGTGCAGACAGCGCAAGCGCCCCGCGGATCCAGCTCTGGTTCTGCTGGAGGGCGTCGGACATGAAGACGCACTTCTGGCGGGAGAATCGGCCGCTCCTGACCCCGCGGGTGCGCTGAAAAAGAAGCAGAAGAAGACCAAGAAAATGGAAAAGGAAAAGGCGGAGTCGAAAGTTGCGGGCATGAAATTGGGAATGACCACGGGAGGTGGGTCGTACACTGTGCAGCGTTCTCCAGCACTGCCCGGCGGCGGCGGAAGGCAGCCCGCAAACAAGGCACTCTCCGCCGCAGCTAGCGGTGGCTTTGCAGGGGCAAGTGCGGGTTTTGGCGCAGCTGTATCCGGCTCTGCTGCGTTCGGAGCGCCGAAAGCTACCCGTGGCTTCGGAAAGTACTAGAACTGAGATTCTGTAGAATTCTTTTGGTCTCAACGTCAAGGAACTAATTATCGCTGTCACTATTCGCCGTCTTGTGCTCCATATGTAGTTTTTCTTTTTCCGATATGTCGTGCCTTGGCTGTGAATTTATAATATTAGTTCGTTATGATGTTCATGTTTCGGTGTGCTGTTTTTCTTTTTGGTAGTTTTCGTTTTTCGCTATTAATTTTTTCTTTGTTCTCGCCCAGAAGTTGGCGCTGAGCGTTTCTGCTTGATTTCAATCTACAAAGGTTTTCTGTCAAGAAGCACTGATTACAACTACAAGTTTCGTCAATCTAAGTACTCAATATTTCGTTGTCTTGTGTCTGATGAGATGTCATGGCACGAGGACTGGCTCCCTCTGTAATTGCAATTGCTCGAGCGCTAAACGAAGAGCTCGCTTAGCGATCCCAACTGCACAAGTACCATATGGTGTAGCCGTCGCTCCTGTTTTTTTAAGTACTGCTCTCCTTTACACATAGTTGGAACTGGACGTTTAGTTTCGTGAGTTTGCTTTCTATTTATTTCGCTTTGTTGCCGCGCTTCGTCGCCGCTGCACTATAACTTTTATTTTCTCGGGTGGACCGAAGATTCAGATTGCATGATGACCTCAAAGCTGTCGATCAAAATGAAATATTTTGAAGCGGTGTACGTCGCCAAGACTGACCACACAGCTGCCCTCACGGGCGCCACGTCTTCTCGCAGTTCCTGCGAGTTCGACCTAGGTGATAAAAAATATGAGTCAAAAAACGTCAGTCTTTCTGTAAAGTTCGATTCGTTGCATCGTCGTGCGGGCTACTCGTTGATATTCGGTTGAATGAAATGTCAATGTGGTCTCCTATCGTTAAATCGTGAGGTCCCGGTTTTGCCGCGGTCGTCAACAGTTCTCAGGCAATCGATCCAGCAGTATCCTACTCCTGTCTCAGTCGTTTCTGGTCTACCGTTGTTTTAGAAAAACTTCGGTTGCGTCGGCATTTCATATGTTGGGCCGCATCGCTGATGCCAGGGTCGTAACGTTAGTGTCTGATCCGACATGATGATTTTCAAACTTCTCAGTGTCGTCGCAAGCAGTCGTAGTATCTGTTGGTCTCCTAGTACTTCTAGTTGCACACTATTGGAGTTGGCCTTAAGATTCTTGCTCGCAATTTCGGCGGTACTTGGCTCTTTAACTGATCCATGCAGGGCGATGCAAGGCATCGAACTGCGCGCGGCCAGAAAGTGTGTGTGCTAGTAGCTTATTTATAATCCGGCAGTCCAGCAACAGCAAGCTCAAGCTGTGCTGACTTTGAGAAACACAAGCATACTGATTGCATTCAGCGCAAGCGCTGAATCCACTTTAAAAAATGTTTGGTGGCGGGCGAAAGGTTCCATTCATGGAGGCTGTCTCCTACTTTGTGGCGACCATGGTTGGCGCCGTGATTTGCTTCTTGCCCGCGCAAGTCGCAAAGGGAGGCATCTACGGTGGCATGATTTTTGGTCTTGGCGTCGGCTACGTCATGTTCTGCATGGCGGCCTTGGCGGTGCCGCGATGCATCGACCTCTGCGAGGAGCTGGAGGATGCGCGCCAGCGTGGCGGCCTTGGGGAACAAGCAAATCCACCATCTCCAGGCGACGACGACGACGAGGAGACACAGATCGCACGAGAGGTGTCCAAGGAAACGGCAGCGGCCCTCAGCCTTCCTGCCAACGCGGTTCTTGGCAAAGGTGGACAAGAGGGAACAAAGAGTACTAGCCCAACAAAAAACCGAACGGGTAGCACCGCTGCACAGGATCATAGTACAACAATCACAGATACACAACAAGCAGGAGCATCGGCAGCGTCCTCGTCTGCTAGGCAGGAAGATGAAGCTCCCACCCCCTCTGCGGTTAATACAACCCCGCGGCCGCCCAAGCCAGTGAGACCCCGCCCAGCTTTCCTGGGGCTGCCCGACGTCGCCGCGATTGCCTTCGGCAGCCGCACGTGGCACCGGGTCACGGTCGTCTGCATCAGCCTCCTGCTGACCCTCACCTGTTCGGTGTACCTGCTGATCTTGGGCGGCAGCCTGCACGCCACGGTCCGGGAGATCCGTGTGCTGACCGGCAACGACGCGCTGATGGCGACCCCGCCCCCCGTCGCTGTGCCGGGAGAGCTCCTCGCCGCCACCGCCTGCATGGCGCTGCTCGTGCAAGTGCGCGATGTATCCGCCCTGGCGCGGCTCAGCATTGTCGGAACCACCGCCGTTGTCTTTGTGGTCCTGTTGTTCATTTGCATGCCCATCTTGCTCGGATCGGAGCACATCGAAAAGGCACTGGAAGGTACTGATAAAGAAACTGTGTGTAGAAGTCGTGCAGTGCTGTCAAGTCAGTAATTTACTTCCTGCACAGCTTCTAGAGCTAAGGTTGCTCTGTCCCGCCTAGTTGCAACACACGATCATTGTTGAAGTTTATGTGCTTTTCACTGCATGATTTTCGTGACGAACGAGCAAAATTATACCCTTGACTTCAAAACGTCGTAAAAATTTATTGCAGGCAAGGAGCCCTTCGAGAAAGCGCAGCTGTCGCAGTTTCGAGAGGGACCGGGTTCGTCCATTCTGTACGGCAGCGGGATCACCCATGTTCTCCCTACCGGTCCGTCCAAGGTGGACGGGCCGCACGAACTCAGCGGCGCGGGTCGCAGCAGTGCGACGAACAGCGTGCTGGTTTGGGGCAAGGACTCCATCGTGCGCGAAGTCGTTGTGCACCCCGAAACGGAGTTTTTCTGGCAGGGCGCCAGCACGATCACGGAGTGCCTCGGTGTCGTCGGCTTCGCCTACGCCTGCGCCTTCGTGGCCCCCCATGTGCGCGCCTCCATGGAGCAGCCCCACCGCGTCTCCTATTACAATGAAAAATACCTCCACCCCCGAACTTTGGAGCATTTGTATTGCAAACCTCTCCAAATGAAACATTCGCCCTCTTGCATCTATCAGCATCACAGGTTTCCAATCGTGAATAGCAAAAATTTGTATTGCAAAAGACCCCAGCAAGAGCGGCGCTTGTCATGCAAGCGATGCGATACACGCCTAGACTCTGCATCAGAAAGATTCACACTTCTTTCATGCATGACAAAAAGTTTTCATTTGGAAACTTCGCATCACAGATTTTTCAATTTCAGGGGTGGGGGGCATTTTTCACTGTAATATCTCCGAGGCCTTGTTCACCGCGAACACCCTGGTACTCTATGCATTGCAAATATGTCTGGGTCTGGAAACTTGTGATCCTAATTTATGAATTGCGGGGACACGGCAATAGGCAGCCACGCATGGCAAGTTTCTGGGCTCCTATGTGTTTCGCTTTCCGCATGACAAACTACATTTTTGCATGACAAACTACATTTTTACAAACCGGCAGAAAATGGGGCCACGGAAGCGTTCTTGCTGGACATTACCAACATTTGCCCATGCAGAGCCGTCCTCTTGCCGGACACAACCAACATCTGTCCGAAACAGCCTAGGGCCAAGACGACACCGTGAGGACGACCACAGGGGGTCCGTCTCAATGATGATGATGATGATGACAGGCAAGAGGGTCTTTTGCTGCTCACGCATTACAGGTTCAAGAATCATGTGAGACAAGCATGACAAACTAACATCTGCATTCTTCCAGACCCAGACATTTTTGCATTTGATATACTCGTCCTGTACGCAATTGTCGTCGTCGCGGGGCTGGGCGGTATCGGCTACGTGCGGCTCCTGGCGGCCGATGGCGATATTTTTCGGTCGCTGCAAGAGTTTTCGACCACCATCGTGAAGAAGGCAGAATTCGAGCAGGAGGGCGACTTGAGTCTGAAGCTCGCCGAATCCCGCGACGGCGAGTTCTTGCTGTTGAAAAACCAGGCGCACTACTACAACAACGTGCCGCGCGGCGACGTGCTCTCGCTGCTCATGGCCCTGCTTAGTTTGGTCAAGGTCTTCATCAGCTACCCCTTGAACATTTGGCCGGTGCTGGTGGAAGCTGAAACCCGCATGGCGCGCTGGCTGTCCGCGGGCGAGGAGGCGGACGAGAATCAAGACGCGGACGACGTGGACCAGACACGCCCGTTATTGGACGAGCAGATAACTACCGGAGGAGCTACCAGTGGGATGAAGAACAAGGGCCAGGAGAATAAGGTTCTCCCCGGCCGCGTCCCCGTCCGGGTTGCGGTCGTTGCGCGTTTGCTCGTGGTGCTCACCACATTCATCATTTGCGCACTGTTCGGGTTTCAAATGCGGCAGCTCTCCGCGGTGGCGGACTTCACCATCGGGACCGCGGGCGCCTACGTCCTCATTTTCCTCCCGCTGCTTGCCCAGCAGGCGCTGCAGGCCAAGTTGCGGGAGCGAAAGAAAACGCGTGCTGATACGTCTGATTACCTGCAGATGGGCCGACATGGCGTCATCTGCCTCATGGGGCTCTCGCTCTCTGGACACGCGCTGATCACCGCCCCCGGCCGGATTAGCGAGGCGCTTTCGGCAATATGAAGAAGAACTTACTTTCTAACTCAGTTTCGATTATGATAATCATGTACTTAAAAATATGATAATTATGCGTTAACAATCAAGATCAAGATCGCTTTAACAAACACAAAGGCGGGCCCGTTCAGCTGTACCGGCTCGGTCTTTTTTCAATTTCTAATCTCATCTATACCGTACTTACACTCCACTTGTATTTTTGCTTTGTATCTATTCACCTGTATTTGTTTCAAGATGGCATCAAAAACCTGCTTAGGTTCTACTTTCTAGGTGGTAGCGTATTCTCGATTGCATTAACTCCGGTTATCGACCTCCATTTCTATTGATCCTACGAGAACGAAGCAACATAGAAGCAAAGTTCTGCGCGCAGCTTGGACACCGTGGAATTTATTGCGAACCAAAGAGGAGTTGGAGCTCCAGCTGCTGTTCTTTACCATCAACGAGCTCCATCAACAGAAAAAGTGTCAACAGGTTTCGATGTTTCTATCCAAAAGTGCGCTCGACCTACGTAGCACTGCGCCGTCATTCTGGTCTCATTGCATAAGAGCGACAAAGTAAGATAAATACGTAGGAGCACATTCGGACTACTACATACTTTGACTTTTCTGACTCTGATTCTACTATCGACAAAACTGCAAGATGAGCGGAGTCACTGCAGCCCCAGCCGCCAGCACTAGTGGTGCGGCACCGGCCCAAGAAGTGGGTGAAACGGCCAAGCAGCTATTGACAATTGGCGTCGCAGACAACAACCGCGCAAAATGCCGGTACTGCTTGGAACCTCTAAAAACTGGCGACCGGAAGGTGACTATGGAAGCCTTTATGTTGGGGAGAACTTGCGTGATTTCCAAACACCTCAACTGCTTTGTGGAGAAGGACGTGTCGATTGAAATTGCAGACCGAGGCAACGCAGGAGCCTGCAAGCGAACGAAGGAGAAACTGCAGAAAGGACAGCCTCGCTTTGTCATATACAGTACTCACTTTTTCACGCGTGTTGCTGTTGGGGTTGGCATGTCTTAAATGCGGCGAATCTTCGATATGCATGATGTGCCAAAAGCGGAGAATTCGAAGTAAGGCGCGTGATGAACGAAAAGCTGCAGGTGCCACGTGCCTAATGTTCGCGGCAGATAGCATTCTTGCAGCTGGACCACATTATTCAACAACGACAACCATCACTCAGGTATTCCGAAAAAGCCCGAGTGTGGTGGAAATGGTTCGCGATTTTTCCTGAGCATGCAGGGCGCCAGCGCGCTATCGCCGGTTCTACGACAATACGTCGCGGACAACAAACTGAAAGAGCCGGCCAACCTCAATGCCATTCTCGCTGGATTTTCCTCTCTTCCAGCGGACATTCAAGTCGAGGTGACGCAAGCGCTTGGGTTTTCTGCAGCGTCCACCTCCGCGAATTCTAAGCTGGACAAAAGCAGCATAGCTCGGCAAAAATCAAGTGACGAAAACGCATCCGCACAAAAAGAAAAAGGTAAAGCAGCAAATCGCGCGGCCAAAGAACAGACTCTGAACAAGCAGCAGACCACGAGTACGAGTAAAAATGCAAAAGGCAGGGAGGCTAAAACCACCGTAAAACCTCCACCGTCGAGAAAAGCGAAACAGACATCGAATAATGGAGCGTCAAGTACAAAGAAGAAAACTCCAGTTGCAAAAACTTCAGCCAAATAGTTCGTGACCGTCATGCGTCTGCGCATCAAATCTGGAAAAATTTTCATCGATCATAACGTTAAGGTTAACGAGAAGTAGTACATTTATTTGTTGCTTTTTCGCGAAGCGAGGCATGAGGCCCACCAATGAATTCGGCCTTGCGACTCTGAGGTGTTGTTCTGAACAATTCGCAGGAGTCCGACATATCGTTGCTAGGAGTTAATAATCGCATGAAGGCGTCATATAAATGTGCCACTCTTGATGTGAAGGCTAATGTCCGCTCCCGAGAGTAGAAAGACAAATGAACAAAGAAGTCGAGCGTCCCTATAGGAACGAGCGTCCTTCGTTCCTATCTACCGGCTGGCTTTGCTGCAACTAGATTGAACCCGAAAATGAAATAACGGCTTCCTTTCCTCTACGACAACACTAGGTAGGTACCAACATCTGTCGAAATGATCTCCGCGATACTCAGCCCCATTGCTACCCCATTAACTTCATGTGTCTCGTCTTTCTGCAGCCTCCTCGACCTCACCAAATTTCCTAGCGAACCCACTAGCCTTTATTCAAGATCGACCCTACCCGGCATCACGTTTCTATCAATCAAAAAAGCTGTCTAGTCGTTTTTCTCCTTTTACTCATTGTAGTTCGCACAAGCTTTCCTCGTCGTTGTCATTTCCTTTTGGTTTTCAGCGTACTATGAATTTTCCCAGCACACTTTTAGTAGACAAGACCTAGTAGAGCAGGTGCAGGACCTAACATCAAGGCACGAGCACCCCTTTTTTCGAGAGCGTTAGTGCAAGTCGACAAAAACAAACACCGACATAAAAAAATGGGGTATTACGGGCTGGGACCGGGCATGCGGGTCGCGGACCAGCTGTCCACGTTTGAGAAAGCGCTGCGCAACGTTCCCCTGGACCAGCACTACATGACGTTGGATTTGCTGGAGACCCTACTGAAGAACATCGCCCAAAATCCGCGGGAGGAAAAGTTTCGGAAAATCAAGCTGACCAACCCGAAAATCGGGGCCGCCATCACGTCGGTAATACCCGCCCTCGAGGCCTTGTTCGCGCTCGGCTTCCAGATCGACCAAACCGCGGCCGACGGCACACTTTTCCTGGTCCTCCCGGAAACCATCAAGCTCACCTTCCCGGCCCATGTCGCGAAGGTCATCGATGCTCGCGACGACTTTTTCCGCAAGGAAGTCGAGAAGATGCGGGTTGCCAAGGGCTTGGGGCGTGTTGCGCCCGCGGGGGAAGGGAAGCCGGAGGACCCGCGCAGCACGGCGGACATCGAGCAGGCCACCACGGCAAACCTGCAGTGGATAAAAACCACCGACACGAAAGCTTACTACGTGGGCGCGTGAGGGTCGTCGCGAGAGCTACCTGTAGAAGAACTCACGTGTCATTTGCTTGCTTGGACCATATTGAAGACCTGCCCTTCACCTTATTTATTTTCAATGCATGCCGTTGCTTTTTCTAGTAGCGAAAGATGAGAATGCTCGACTTTTTGACGCTACAATTATTCTCGGGGTTGCCTATTGTTCAAAGCAGTCTTGCATTAATTTCTGCTTGTGTTTCCAGCTGTCCTCCGCCTTGATGAAGTCCGCTGCTTGATTGTCATACAGTCGCAAGCAAAAACTTTTTACTTTTGAGGATGCGCTAGCTTGTTTTGATCTCTGTCTTCGCGTTTTTCTCTTTCTTGTTGGCTTCTGGGAAAATGAACAACTTTTTGAACCACTTCGTACCTGCATCATAGTTTTCCTTTTCTTCAATTTTCTTTCTAATCTTTTGAGGGATCACTTTTTGAGCTTGATAGTAGATTTTTTGTGCTTGAAATGAACATTACGATTACGCTAGCTCATCGGCGAAGGAGTCTCGAATAGCATACTCGTGAAAGCGTATCTCCTACTCGGTGAATGACAACTCCTCAGCTATTTTGTGCAGAATATTTTTTCGCTTTTTTTCCTGTTGAATTTATCGCGTTGTTGCATTAGACCTTCAGAAGCAATCATTTTCCTCGCGCATCGACACGGAGAACTTTTTACGAGGTCTCTGTATTGAAGCACGTCGCTGGTAAAAACAAACGTTTCTTCAGATGCACCCAATTGCGCAACAAAAACACACAACGAATATTCCTTGTGTCCGCTCGCTTGATACGGTATGTATCAGAAGAAAATGCGTGTTGCTGTTTTTTGGCGATGTGTCGTGTATACTCAATTCGGTACATTTTGTTGCTCAGCTTGCTGTTTCTTTTTTTCTTTCTGCACATTCAAACAGAGGCAGGAGCAGTCCACGCTCGCCGTACTTTGTTTTTTACGAGAGCATCTTTTTAATGAACGCACGAATGACAGAGCGGGGTTACACCTTGGTTTTTCATCGTGGTGTCGTAGCTCTTTTTTCCTCGAGAGTGGGTGGGATTCAGCTTTCGCTGTGGTTTCTGATTTTATTTTTTTTTTTATTTCTTTTTGATTTTGACAGGGTGTTGTAGTGTTTTTCGCTGAGAGTCCTCGTCCCAGTCACACTTTCTTCAGTATTCTTTTGCTAGCAAATTTTGATTCTTCTTCGTGTTCGTTCTGTCGACATTCATATGCCAGGCTTAGGAAAATTCGAACACTGTAAGAACCTCGTATCCTACCGTACCCAAAATCCCAACTTGACAAGGAGGCACTTCATGGAAGGTTTTGCATTGTATTGAGCAAAGTGGTCCGGTCTGCCGCAGCTTCCGATAAAATAAGTGTAGCTTCCTCCTCTAGTGCGGTGCAGAAGATCTTCAGACATGATGACGAGTCCTATTTTTTATAGCGTTTGTCTTCCTATCTCAGCTTCCGACTAAACAGCGATCTCGTCTGTTGTTTGTCCAAGATAAAATTCTACTCTAGGCCGCTACCGCAAGAAAAGCGAAGCGCAGAGATGGGTCAAATTCGTTAGGTGGGACAGTGTCCGACGCCCTCCGTATGTTTTTGCTCATTTTCATCCAATTTTCCGGCCCAAGGCGAAGATCCGACTTTTGAACTCGTTTACATTTATTTTTGTTCTGGATCCCGAATCATTCAAGACCTTTCGTCGCGTCCGCAATTCTGATTTGCAACTAAACAAACCCAAACAAAATCGCCATGTTTAGAGCAAGAGTACTCAGTGACCATTCATCGCAGCCCACTTCGCCTGAAGCAGGAGCAGCGAAAAGCGACGCGATGCCTTCGCTTGCAAACAAAAATGCCTCGGACGATGCCTGTCTCAGTCTCTTCTACCCATTTGTTCCGTACGCTGTGCAGCGACAGGCGTTTGCGCACATTGACAAGGCCCTGAACAGCAGCGACAGCCGGGGCGGCAAAAATGCTGCCAGCGCGGGGGACAGTGACGTCGACAGCAGCGCAGGCGCGGATGAAAACACAACTACCAAGAAAAGCGCCGGCGAGGTTGTTTTCTTGAAGCAGGGAACGGCGTAGCACATTTAAAAACGGCAGCGCCCCGAATTCGCGGCGCCCTCGAGAAAAAAGAACTGTAGCCGGCCCCCGTAGGGCAGCGCTTGCTATCCCATTTTCGCCCGGGCATTGCAGAAACAGAGGCCACAGCGATATTGAGTAAACGTGGGCGCGTTGTGCTTGTGGGCCCTGTGCTTGTGGACCGGTACTGGCGGATCGCGTGCGCCCTGTTGGGAGTGCGGGCGACCGATGTCGTGCACGCAGCCCCGCTGCCGCGTTCTAGCGGGCGGCCCGAGAGAGGGAGCCGGCCGAGCGCAGCCCCTGCCGGCCCTCTGCCCGGCGATTCGCTTCCTTTTATGGGGCCCCATTTCTCTTGGTCCCGTTTTATGTATGGTTTGCGGGCTGGAGATACAGTGCCCGCCGCTGATCCCATACTCGGTCTCCGGCACGCAGAGTCCGGAGCAAGGCATGCAGCCTCCCGGGCGCGACGGTCGGCCGGGTGGCAGCGCCGCGGGCGCGACCTGGGTGGGCGGAGCCAAGGTTCCGGCGCCCGCTCTGCGGCGCTTGCCAGAGCGGGGGCGGTGGTTGTTGCTCCGCCGGCGTTTTCTGCTTTTGCCTTTGGGAGATTTCCTGTCTTTGCTTGGGGTCGAGCATTTATTTTCGCGGGACTGTAGCGCGATACATCGCTTCGTCGCGCCCGCCTGACGCTGTGTGTGCGCTGCCGTTTTTTTATTGGATACTTCGGCGGGGAAGACAATCACGATGCTCGCCTGCTGCAAGGCCGACAGCACTCGGGGCCCGGCGGACCGTGTGGAAAATTTACCCAAAAGGCCCCGCCCCCCCCCGCCCCGCCCTCCCCCGCCCCCTTTTTTATTAATGCGACCGGAGGCTACAGCATTTTTATTTTTAAGCATGTGATATCTGTGCAGAACAGCTACAGCCCTACTTCTTGCCCGCTCGTCGCTCAAAAAATATACAATTTGCTCGCTGTTGCGTTCTCGATTGAAGTAATTGCATTTCGTAAACTTTTGACTGCAGCAGGAGTCTTTGATAACAGCAAAAGGGCGAGAAACTTCAGCGCCGTGCAAGAACGGCGACTGGAGCGGCCCCGGAGGAGCATCGCAAAACGCAAGCCATCGGCGGTTCCTCCCGGTTTTTTCCGGCGAACTACGGAGGTAGCCGAGGAGTGCAGCATGAACATCTTCTTTTTTTCACCAGCACGGCCCCCGAAGTCGCAGCTTCTATTTTCCGACGCCACAGATGAAGTGCTGATCGACTAGCCACACGGAGAGGAGGAAATCGTCCAGCATGACGTCGTATCAACTGGAAAAGTGTCTGGGTCTGGAAGAATCCAACTTGTCATGCTGATTTTGGATTCTAAAAAAATCTGTATTGCATCAGCAGCAAAGAGACTCCAAGTTTTGCTACACGGAAAGAACGTTTGTCATGCGGTAGGTGCATCAAGAAGCCCTCACAAAATCAGTGATGCTAGGGCATGCATCACAGACATCAGGAGTCAGGCAAAATGTGCATGACAAACCTGGCAATCTTCCAGACCCAGACACTTTTACACTTGATACGTCGTCGCAAGCGGCTGTGGCTGCACCGCGGGAGATCATTTTGCAGCTGCGGCTGCCGATGCGCGTGGACGCGGATCGTCGTCGACGTCCGTCGACTGCAGTGCTCCGAGTTCATCTCGGCAACCTGGAACCACGGGGAGTGAGTTTTCTAGGACCATGACGCGGTAGGACAATCTGTCGCGGAGGCACGAGGTCATCTTATGAGGGTGCACAAGTGCACGACGCATCTTCATCCTCCCCCTCATTTGTGTTGCATGAGCAGCAACACAAGCGCTGACAAAGATGCAGCTTTTGCATGACAAATTCCTAGAGGATTGCAGTGTCTCATTCAGGCTAGTTTTGACCTGCCACGGTAATTTGTTCTTTCACCTCTTCTTTCAAGTTTCTTACCCCCCTAGTTTGATGCAGCATCAAGAAGTCAACATGTTCTCTCCTCACGAGCGCAATCGGGATCCTCATTTCCACACCGATGGCCCGCTTCTTCCTTCATCTGTAGAAGACATCAACTCCGCGGCTTTACAGGTCAGGGCGGATTAGGCCTCCGTGGATGATGAATCCAATTCTTCTTGGTGGTCGATAGCTGAAATTTGGGCAGCCGTGCTACACGCGTTCAACCCGAAAATCAGGTGCTACACGCGTTCAACGCCTGAGCCGTGCTACACGCGTTCAGTTGCAGCAGCTTCCCGCCCTCCATAGAAGATGGAAGCACTTCCCCCGGAAGAACACTTCGCGAACGCGGACGCGGAGTGCAAAGCGAGGAACTTCAAAAAAGCCCAGCGCGAATTAGACTGGTATGTCTCTCGCCTCGAAGCGACGACCGGGAAGAATATTAGTTCGTTGAACAAGTCGGATAAGTTTTTCGAACTGGAGAAGAAGATCCGAAAGGGTTTGCAGTCCGCATGGGACGAACACGGAGAAAAAAACAGTAATGATACCGCCGGCGGGTTTCGCTCCTGTGGCAGTGTGTTATCACAGAGTGAGACTTTTGCCACGTCTGGAGGACAAGGTGCTTTGTGTTTCTCCTTTGCCAGCTCCTCGTCACAGGAGCAAGCAGTTGCGAGCAAGACCGACAGTGGCTGCGCCAAGATCGGAAATCAAAGCTCATCGTCATCTTCCACGCTCGTCGTGAGCGGGCAAGCGGGCGGCTTAGCCTTTCCTAGCGGGGAAAATAAGCCACAGTCCCGACGAGATCGGGCACAAGACATCATTGAGAGACTCAAGAAATACTACCACGAAAAAAAACTGGCGAGCCGAATTCTTCTTCCCGGTGGGGCCACAACAAAAGAAGAGCTGCTCGCCTTTTGGAAGAGCGTTTTCAAGGAAGCGACTTCTGCAGCACGTGAGATCGACTCCTTGTACGAGCAGGATGCTGATGAACATCACGTATCGGATGTTCGCCGCGCGGACTTGCAGCAGTCTGCCGGCCACGAGGTAGATAACCTTGGCGAAAAACCTGGCAGCTCGAACGATATTGCGTCAGCACCTACATCCTCTCCTCCTTTGTCACCTTGGACTCTGGAAGAAATGGACGCAGCTTTCGAGGAAATGAGGAAAGACACGGGGCCTCCACCGGTATACCTAATAGATGTAGATCACGTATCGGATGTTCGCCGCGCGGACTTGAGACGACAAGAGCAGTTCCAGTACACAGTGCCGGTTACCGCCGATGAAACACGCAGCACAGCTTGCACGACCGCGTCAGAACACGAAGAAGCAGAAAAAATCAACTCTAGAATAAATGAAGGGATACCCACTGAACGTGCAGGATCATTTCGTCGACAAATAGCAGTTTTCCTGACGACGGAAGTGATACAAGGCCCGTGGACAATTGAAATGTGCACTGCAGACGGCCGGGAGCTTGGAACACTATTTGACCATGGTGACGGTCAGCCTGTGGCACAGTCTGCCCCGCTTGCACCCAAATCAACAAAAAGATTGACTTGCCGGTCTTTCGTTTTTGCCTCTAGACCAATCGACTTCGAAGTAAGATTGGACTACGAGGACCGCCACACGGAAACGGTTGAAGAGACGATCACCCAAGTTGCTCAGCGTGATGCCGCACGTTTGGCACAGCGACTCGCGGAGGAACTCCAAAAAGCCCTCCGCTTGACGACCGGCGCCGTCCAACCTGTGACGCAGTCGCGGTCCTGCGGCCGTTGCCCGTACGTATTTGGACGTTTCATCGCTGCATCGAGACGGTTTGAGCTCTCGGTCTCGGCACTATTTGCGCTCCATCTTGTTGGAACAGCTGAGAGGCCATTGATCAAATGCGAAATAGAAATGGAGGAAACAAACAAAGTGAGCGGCGACTCAACGATCTACAAAGCGTACAGCGAGAGCTTCCCCGTCGTGTTCGTGGGCGCCCGCGAAGGCGACCGATCAGCGCTTGACGTCCAGCTCAAGTGGCGCCGCGGTGGTCTGCAGCCGGAGCCTTCACACCCTGTTCATTCTACTCGTCATTTTCATTACGAGTTGGAGTCGTATCTACTGATGCGAGGCAATTTAGGGACCGACTGTGTGTTTACACAAGATGACATCACGCGCACCGGGAACCAAATCGAATTGAGGATTCCAAATGTTGACGCATATTCTCAAACCCAGATTGAGACGTTGACCCAGGTTCTCTCTTTCGGTCCCGCGGTGCACTCCACAGTTGGTGACCAGCTAAAGCAGCTTCTCGCGGCTTCGCCCGTCAAAGGGCGCTTCTTGTCCGTGCGCTTTACATTCCCAATTGTGGCCTGGGCAGAGGAGTTCCTCGACCTTGTACGCGTCAAAAACGCGGGGACCGTTCGGCGCGAGGGAATTGGCATGGACGCTTCGTCTAGTAGTACGATTTCGGGATGCCTTCGAACCGTCGTGGAAAAGCAAATCAAAGACTGCATCGAAAACAGCCTGCCACCGCATCCATGGGTATATGCTCTCGCAACTTCGCCGGGATACCAGCTCTTTGAAACGCACACTGCAGTGGGCACGTCACCACAAATACTTTGGCGTGGAGCTGGAGGTCGTGCCAATCCGGATTCCAAATGGATCTCCTTACTCGCTACCATCCTCGTAGCGCGCGCTAATACGACTTCTGTTCGCGATCACGATAGCAACAACTCGACACCGAGCAACAATAACCGAGAAAACTCCTTCTCATCCCCCCATACCTCCGAGCATTTTCCTAGCAGCTCTCCAACGAAATCCGACCGTTCCGGTAGAGATGGAACAGAAGAGGAGGACAAGACGATTCGGCTTACACTGTATGCCAGCAGTCGGGAGGAAGAGGAAGAAGAGTAAAGACGATCTCTTTTGCGCTCTTGCAACGATTTCCTGAAACTGTAACACACTCAGAATCATGAAGTACAACATGATAAATATAGATGGGTGAACATTTAATGAACTTTTTCTGAACGAACATTGAAACCACGACGATTACCAGCTATCCTCCAAATATTGAGTAAGTAAACTGCATATACATTGCAAAGAGTTTATAGAAATATGTTTGACGCGCAAACATGCATACACAAAAGTTCAACTTGAAAGAGAAATGCGAAGGAATGTAGGCAAAGATAACGCTGAGATTGATGAAGCAAGTACTGAGTTTGCGTCAATCATGTAATTCGTGTACTCTAACTGTTGGGGGTGTCATACGACTAAGCTCTGCTCGCGTGAGTGTGTCAGTATGTAGGAAATCAATGACTCACAAAATGCAACGAAATATACCGCATGAGACTCCGAGAAGTTGTTAGTTCGATATACTGATACTGCAGCAGGTCTACTCTGTCAGTTCTCCGGTTGTATTCGTATTTCTATCAGTCTCGGTCAGCGGTCTTTCGCCTTCCGTATTCAAACCGTACGCCTGTGTGTATTCGGTACATTTCTTTCTTGTTTTCTTCCCGCACAAACAAACGCAGGAGGCAGGAGTAGTCCTTACTTGCCGAGATTGGTTTTTTAAGAAATCCTCGTTTTTATGAGAAAACGGATGCTGCGACAGCGGGGTTACAACTTGGTTTTTTTTATCGTGTCGGAGCATTTTTTTCTTCGAGAGGGAGCGGTATTCAACGCGCGCTGTGGATTCTACTCTAGTGTCTTTTTGATTTTGACAGGGTGTTTTTCGCTGAGTGTCCTCGTCCCAATCAAACTTTCTTCTGTACTCTTCTGCTAACAAATATTGATTTTATTTTCGTTCTGTCGACATTCAAATTAGATTTTTAAATGGCCACGTACTTGTTCTTTCATCTTCTCTTTCACAGTTAACATGAGGTTCTTAGTTTGATGCAGTGTCACGAGAAAGTTAACATGTTGACAATGTCTTCTCCTAGCGAGCGCGATCGGGAACATCACGACCATGCCGAGGTGGATGGCCCGCTTGTCCCTTCTGCAGAAGACAACACCTCCGCGGCTTTACACGCGAGTGTCGGTGAGAACCCCGTGGACGATGAATCGAATTCTTCTTGGCGGTCGATCGGTGAAATTTGGGCCGCCGTGCTGCACGCGTTGAACCCGAAGAACTGCTTTCAAAAAGAGCCCGATCTTCCCAATGCAACTGCAGCTACCAGCGACTTGACCTCGCCGCTGATTGTGAACTGCAGACAACCAGCTCCAACACAGGAACCAGTTCCCGTACCATCGAGCGCCAAGCTTCAGTTTGACGAGCCTGCTGCTGTCGGACAAGTACAAGCCGCGCAGAAGAAACAAGATTCTCATGCTCAGACGGAGAAATCGCTTCCGCACGATGATGTAGTTGAGGGCAGTGACAAGCAGGCCCTTCACAATACGATCGCTGCACAGTCCCTTGTTAGCGCACAGGTGCCATCCATTGCGAGCAAGACAGACAGTGCCAGTGGCTGCGACAAGATCGGAAATGAAAGCTCATCGTCATCTTCCACGCTCGCGGACGCCTTGACTTCTCCTAGCGGGGTGAATAAGACACAGTCCCGACGAGATCGAACAGAAGCCATCATCGAAAAACTCAAGAAAAACTACCACGAAACAAAACTCGCTAACCGCATTCTTCTTCCCGGTGCGTCCACAACAAAGGACGAGCTGCTTGCCTTCTGGAAGAATGTTTTTGACGAAGCGACTTCTGCAGCACGTGAAATCGAGAACTTGTACAAGGATGCGGAGGAAAGGTGGAAAGCATTATCGGAAGAACGCCGGGCGGACTTGCAGCGACAAGAGGAGTTCGACTACACAACGCCGGTTACCACCGATGTTGAAACAAATAGCACGGCTTGCACGACCGCATCCGAAAAAGATGAAGAAGCGGAGAAAATTAAGTCTAGCATCAATGACCGGCTTCTCACTGAACGCGCGGCATTTCGCCGGCAATTAGTAGTTTTTTTGACGACGGAAGTGACGCAAGGCCCGTGGACGATTGAAATGCGCACGGCAGACGGCAGAGAGTTAGGAACATTATTTGACCATGGTGACGGTCAACATAAATTCTTGCAGTCTGACCCGCTTGCACCCAAACCAAAAACAAAACTGACTTGCCGGTCTGTTTTTTTGCCTTCGTCTCGCGAGGTCAGGTTCAGCCTAGGTCTGGACTATGCGGACCGCCACACGGAAACGGTTGAAGAGACGATCGCCCGAGTTGCTGAGCGTGATGCCGCGCGTTTGGCGCAACGACTCGCGAAGGAACTCCAAAAAGCCCTCCTCTTGCCGACCAGTGTCGTCCAACCTGTATCGCTGTGCTCGTTCTCCGGGGTATTTGGTACCCCCGACGTATTTCGACGCTTCGACGGGGCCGACTTTTCATCGGGACTGTTTTCGCTCCGTCTTCCAGAGGGACTGTTTGCGCTCCGTCTCGGAACAGCTGAGAGCACATTGATGAAATGCGAACTAGAAATGGAGGAGACGAACAAAGTGAGCGGCGACGCAACGATCTACAAAGCGCACAGCCAGTGCTTCCCCGTCGTGGTCGTGGGTACCCGCGAAGGCGATCGATCAGCGATTCGCGTTCAGCTCGACTGGCACCGCGGTGTTCTGCAGCCGGAGCCTTCATCACACCTTGGTCCTGCAGAAGCTCAGTACGAGTTCGAGTGGAATCGACTGATACTAGGTAATGTAGGGACCGCCTGTGTGTTTACACAAGATGACATCACGCGCACCGGGAACCAAATCGAATTGAGGATTCCAGATAGTAACTCTACTTTCGGTCCCGCGGAGCACAACTGCAACTCCGATCTTGTTGACTACCTAAACGAGCTTGCCGCGGCTTTGCCCTTTAAACGACGCTTCTCGTCCCTGCGCTTTACATTCCCAACTGCGGCCTGGGCGGAAAACTTCCTCGATCTTCTCCCCGTGAAAAATGCGGAGACCGTCCGGGGCGATGGAATCGGCATGGACGCTTCGTCTAGTACAATTTCGGAATGCCTTCGAACCCTCGTAGAAGAGCAACTGTCCGGCTTGATCAAAGACTGCATCGAAAACAGGCTGCCACCACATCCATGGGTGTATGCTCACGCACAATCGCCAGGATACCTACTCTTTGAAACGGACACTGCAGCGGGCATGTCGCCACAGATACTTTGGTGCGGACAAAATCGGGGTTTTTACGAATGGCGCCTCTTACTTGCTGCCATCCTCGTTGCGCGCAATAAACATGCGACCTCTGTTCGCGATCACGATAGCAACAACTCGACACCGAGCAACAATAACCGAGAAAACTCCTCTTCATCCCCCCATACCTCCGAGCACTCTGCTGGCAGCTCTCCGACGAAATCCGACCGCTCCGGTAGAGATGGAACAGAAGAGGAGGACAAGACAATTCGGCTTACACTGTATGCCAACAATCCGGAGGAAGAGGAAGAAGAGTAAGGACGATCTCTTTTGCGCTCTTGCAACGATTTCCAGATATTGTAACACACCGGAAATCGTATAAGCATAGAAACTTTTTCTGAACGAACTCGAACATAAAAAGTGAAGTTAGTGCATATGCATAGCGTAAAGTTTCAAAATGTGCATAGAAATGGGTCTAACGAAGAAGCAAAAGAATATAGACAAACATTAAATATTGAGTTCACGTCAATCATGTAACCCCTGTACCATAGCTGTTGAATGTCTCATCCCCATGTGAAAATATAAATTATGGGCACACAGAAAAAACAAAATGCGAATGGCCGATGATAATTTTAAGGATGGACGAGAAGATACATGGACTTTGTGTTCCTCTGGTCCGTGATAGGAACATCGATGTCACCATCCATCCCGGATCATACGACATAATTATTCAGGGGGTTTCGGATATGATTCTCATTGATATCAAACATATCGAAATCCATTCATTCTGTGAGAAGAAGAACCAGAAAATGATGATAAATGAAATATTTTCGAATTTATTTCGATTTTCCTATTAATACCAAAAAAGAATCTGATTCTCAAAATTTCATATGATTTCATATGATATTGATTTATGAAAATGGAAAAAAATATTGGAAACATGATGGATCCAAGATTTTCGAAAAAATTGTAATTCTGATTTCCAAAAAATTTTCGAAAATGATTGATATACCCAAAATTTTTTGAATATTTATTTCAGATTCATGAAAGAATTCCATCATGGATATGATAATTTCGATCAAAAAAAAATGGGATAGAGAAAATGAAAAAATTCAATGTATCCCCATGGAATCGGAATCGATGGAATATAAATATATTAATCAAAATCATCCAGAATCATCCATCGACATAGTTGGGGTTCCGGGCGCTCCGCCATATTGTTGTGGGTGGGATTCTGTTGGCAACAGACGGAAGCTTTTCGCAGAAGACGAAGTGGGGCGCCGCGGCTACCGTGGTTATTTCCCTGCAACAAACCCGTTGCTGCGCGTACAGACGGGCGCGAACAAGTAGCGCGTACGCCATGGAGCGCATGGGATTCGAGCGGGGACTCACGGACCTGTTGCACTCCCGCTGGGGGGGCACCGAGCGCAAGCAAAAAGAGGTGCTCGTCCTCGTCGACAGCCTGGGTCTTGTGGAGCGCTTGGAAAAGCTCCTCAGTACAGTTTTAGATGGGGTGGGGCAGGATGTGCGCTTGGCGGAACTCGTAGGACAGGTCGCGAGCACCTACAAGAGCGTCACAATCGCTTACATACCGGCGCACTGCTCTAACGACGCCAACGAACTCGCGGATGCCATCTGCGGCGCAGCGGCAGAAGGCCTGCCACGGGAGGACGAACTGCAGCTGCTCGACCCTCCTTGCCACGAAGAAGTGAAGGAGGCAGTAGTGGCACAGCTCGAGGCGGAGGAGCGGGAGGCCATTGCCCGCCTCGCCCAGGAGGGGTCAAGGTCGGGGGAAATCATCCTCGACCTGAACCTCACGCGCAAAAAGGTGAGAGACATTTATAGGGCGGCCAGGGGGGAAGGGAGATGGTTACAAAAAACCCTTGGCGACATAGCAGGGGCCACAAGATTCAAGACATTGCAGGCGGGCGGGATTACGACCAAACTCTGCCCGAGGTGCAAAGATGATTGAAGTGGACTCATGGACCCACGTACGCCTATGCCACGAGTACAGGGACATCAACGGGATCGGCCCCCAGTAGTCAGAAAAGCAAAAAAATCACAAAAGCCGGAAAATTTTCGCGCTTTTAAGTTTTCGCAGGGTTTTCGCAGTTCTTGCAGCCGCTCGCTGGTGCGTTTTCTTTTTCTGGTTGTGTGTCTTGGGTTTGTGGGTTGGGCGGGAAACGCAGGCTTGGGCGCAAGGGATTGGAGTGGGTCCGGCAGAGGGAGCCCATGTTGCCGGTGTGTGTTTCGGGATGGGAGAGGGATTTTGGGTGGGAAAGTTTTGGGTGGGCGAGTGGCCAATTAATTCTTCGACAAAAAATCGCCTTTGTTGCGACAAAAAATCTGAAATAATTAAAAAAAATCGGCTTTCGGCCGTGGTTTTTTTTTTCTTAGGGATTTCAGGAAGAAGCCGAAAAATGTCGCACCCGTGTCGCACCGGTGTCGCACCCGTGTCGCACTCATGTCGCAAAGAAAGCAATTTTTTGGCGCAAATTTATTCGGTGTTTTTCTGTTTTTTCGGTGAAGTTGTGTTTGCCCGAACAAAAGTTGCGTGCTCGATTTCATGTGGCGCAGTTCTTCGAAAACCCCGGAGCCCACAGGTCCGCAGCCTGTTGACAAAGCCCCGGCGTTATTTTAGGGCCTACAGATTTCCTATCGAGCGAGCCCCGGCGGAGTGGTTTGGCACAATAGGGTGGCAGTGAAAAAATTTTTTTTTTCGTTTTTCTTTTGGGATTCATGATTTTTTTATTTCCGGGCCCATTGGGGTCCGATCCCGTTGAGGGACATCACCGGCCTCCAAGACGCGGAAGACATATTTGACTTCCTGCGAACGGTGAGGGACGCGGAGGTAGCAAGCGAGAATTCCGAGTCAGACCCGGGCATTTCGGGGTCAGAGGGCGAGGACGAAGAGGGACAAGCACCACAGCAGACACAAACATGAAGCAGAGCCCACGAGGGCCAACACGCGCCAGCCAGCCACGGAAACCGCCCGTGCAAATCGCGAAGCGAGGCGCGGCAGATCTGGGGTAACGGGGATCGACCGATCGGTAGCCGGTTTGCTTGGCGGTTTTGGCGCCATGCGCGACCGTTTTCTACCATACAGTCGGGGGAACGAAAGGGCCAAGTACTACCGTTAGTGTACTACTTTCTTGACTATGCGCCGGATACGAAAAACCACTATTCACACTGGCCACCTAACCAAGGTGCCTGGAGATCGCAAATGCCGCGCCATCCCACCCATAGGCCGGCCAAGGTGCCTTGATCCAGAGAGGCATCTTGAAAGACTCTACCAAGTTTTGTTTGCAAGGTCCGTATAAAAATAACGATCTCCGCGAAGGGGATGCCGACGGCGACAGGGGCGCAAGTGTTCTAAATGACGATCCTAACCCGCAGTGCATATCCATGCACAATAGATCCACAATCTCGTAGTTCGTCGTCGGAAGGTTCGTCCATTTACTTGTGCCTCGTGTGCATTCATTGTCGTTGCCCGATGTGGAGCTCGTCAAAACGCCGTACCAGCGGCGCAGGGGGTGCTGCGGCCACTCGCCGCGGAACCCCGGGAACCGCCGGCCGAAACCGCGGACCGGAGCCCACGACGGTAGGACAGGACACGGCACTACCGTGTCGTCCTGCACCCCCCCCCACAGAGTCAGGTCCCATACCGGTGATCCTGGGGTGGCAACTGGGGAAACACCTGCGGGTACGAGAGGACAGACGACAACCACACCACAGCTTCCCTTAACCTAGAGTAGTAGATCCATCGACATATATGCCGGAGAATTGAATCTTGTTCATTCTTCCTCTATTCATGAAAAAAAATGATATCCCTATGGATATGCATATGATAATTGGATTCGATATGATAATTAATTTTTCTTGAATCAAAAAAAAACCCAACTACATGAAACATCGATGAATCCCAAAAGCATACCTATAAATCCGAAGAATTCGATATTTTCTTTCTTTCTTTCTTGTCATGTCTGGGCATGACTCAAATTATCTCATAGGCCCGGTCCGAAATTATCTTTCTTCATTCTCATCTTCTCATCATTCTCTCAAAGATGGATTGATGAAGAAATGAAAAAATGATATTCGAAAAATAAAGATCATCAGGTTCTGGATCGAGAATCACAAATTCGATATTTTATTGCAACAATGGATTCACTCATATTTTTCCGAATCAAACAATTATTTTTTTGGATGGTTTTCACCTTTCGAGAGAATTGGATGATGATGAGATCGAAGACAGAATAAGAATTTCGGATTGGACCAAAACGACAATGAATTTGAATTATGCACAGACATGGAAAAAAAGATGATTTTCAAAATCTCATTTGAATTCAATGAAAATTTTTCCTCAAAAATTTTTCATTTCTTTCGTTCTTTCTCATCCTGTCTGGATATGATTGAAATTGTGAAATCGAGAATGAAATTTTCATGATCCTGCATTTTTGATACCTTTGACCTAAAAAAAAAATATTAAAACAAGAAAATCTCCATCCTCATGAATAGAATCATACTTCATCAAAAATTTAAGAGAATAGATGAAAAAAAATAGTTCGTGTGATAGGTTCAAGATTCTTTCTTTCTCTCGTGCCTGGGCATGTTGTCAAAGGTTCAAGGTCCGAATTGGTCCGTCACATTCTCTTGTTTCATATTCCTACGCTCAACATTCCATATAATTTGTTGTTCCAATTTCCAGATGTGTGTTATATCTCTCTGTTGATATCATCCAAACAATTGTTTCGTTTTCTTTCATCTTCCTCTTCTTGTTCTTGTGTTTTGATCCATGAAATCATACCAGAAAAATTCGTCCTGACATACCATGGGTATAGAGTACTTATTCAATTTCTTGTCGATTCATTCCACCGACCTCTCAGCGACCTTGAGTGTGTCAAGAATCTCGGCCCAGATTTGATCGTCCGGTTTCGCAGTTGTCGCGACGCCGAGGGATTTCAAGAAAAATCGTGGTTTCATGTTGGTGGTTTGCTTTTGTGGTTTGTCGCTTGCCAAACCCGGAAGCAATTTGCACAAAAGCACCACAACTTTTTTCCCCCGCGCCAAAATTTCCGCCCTCTCTTGCGCCTGGTCGCGTGCCGTCCAGGCCCGGTGTACCACGTCCAGAAATTGAAACAGAATACTCCGCTCCGCATAGCGCTGCCTCGTTTCCTCAAAATCATTCACGGCCTTTGTAGATTTTCTCTCATCCTTGAGCCGCATCTCGGCGCCGGGAATGGTGCCGTCGCAGAACCCCAGCGGATCGTGAAACCAGTACGGCAGAAATGGTGCTTTGAGTAGTTTCTCCTTGTCCGTGTGAGGTAGATTTTTTGTAGTTTCGATTTCCGCATTGCGCGCGAATTCGAGCAGGTCATGCGCCACCAGAAACCACTCCCTTTCCAACAGCAGGTCCAGCAGAGATTGTTCGACAACCACAGGTCGTGATCTTGACCCTGAAGCCTTTTCTTCCTGTGCTTTTTTGTTCCGGTTTTTCTCGTTCCCCAAAGTAGCCGCGGTGCTTTTTCTACCATCGACACTTGTTGCATTTTTCTCTCTTTGTTCTGCATGCAGTACTTCGTTCGTCACGAAGCGGGCGGAGCCGAAGTCCTCGGCCTGAACCAATGCCTTCGTAAGGAATTCCTTTCGCAGCAGTGCCCGTGCTCTTCCCTCGTTGTCCGCTGGAATCCGTTATCAAAATGAAAAATCCCCCCTCCCCATATCAAAACGGAAATTTGTGATGCTGATTTGTGGCCACAAATCAGCTTTGTATTGCAGAGAGGCACTGCGGCCAGATCCCCAGGCTAGGCAGGGGCGTATGGGTCTCTAGTAGGCCAGCATGGCAAACGACCCCCCTTTAGGCCCAACAGCATGAAAAACCGCTTCCATAATGGGGCGGAAGCTTCTGCCCTTGTCTTCTTGCAAGACGCAACGCAAGTTTTTGAATATATACCTTTTCAATATGGGGAGGGGGGATTTTTCCTCTCAATATCCTTCGCAACTGCGCTAAAGCTGCTCGCCGGTCGCAACCGGCATGCTTACCGGCTTGGTTCAAACCTTTACAGAGGGCTTTATAACAGAGAATGCGTTTCGGCTCGTCCTTCCTTGCTGCGAGTCCAAGCCCGAAGCAGAGGTCATCCGGTATTTCATCAGACAGACCAGACGTCTGGTGCGCAGCGTGAGTATCCCTACCCTGTGCGACGAGTTTTTGCTTTGATAAATCCTCTTCCATTGTAGCAGTAGTTCCTGAAGAAGATGTTGGCTCTGGAAGTACCTTGCGGTCCGAAGACGTTGACAGGCGGGAAACCCTGTGGAGGTCGCCGACAGGATTCTCTTTTTCCACCCCGGCGTCTCGTCTGTCCTTTCCCACAACCAGCCCCGCAAGAATTGCGGATGTGAGCGCCTTCGTACGCCTCGCGGTCAGAATCTTGTGTCGCTTGCGGATGGCGGCGTGCAAGGTCTGCAACGCGGTGTCGTTGCGGCACCGCAACAACTTCGGCCTGCACTTTGTCGTGTCTCCGGGCCGCACGGGAATCAACACATATGGGTCCTTATCAATTGCAAAAGTGTCTGGGGGTGGAAGATTCTGACACTTGTCATGCACGGTTTGCATGAGCCCTGATGTCTGTGATGCATGCCCTAGCATCGCAGATTTTTTGAGAGCTTCTTGATGCCTATCCCGCATGACAAATGCCCTCTCCATGTAGCAAAAATTAAATTCCTTTTGGTACTCATGCAATACAGATTCTTCTGGAATCCAAATGCAGCATCACAAGTTGCATTCTTCCAGACCCAGACATTTTTACATTTGATAGTCCTCGACGGCGCAGGAGTGGTGGGAATCGCCTCCGATGGTGGACTATCAAATGCAAAAATGTCTGGGTCTGGAAGAGTCCGAGTTTGTCATGCACATTTTGCATGACCCGTGAGGTCTGTGATGCAGGTCCTAGCATCACAGAGTCTTTGAGGGCTTCTTGATGCTTATCACGCATGAGAAATGCCCTCTCCGCGTGCCAAGAACTGGACTCCTCTTGCTGCTCATGCAACACAGATACTTTTAGAATCCGTAGACAGCATTACAAGTTCCACCCTTCCAGACCCAGACATATTTGCATTGGATATGGACAGCCCGCCCTGGTGCACGGAAAAGTGCTGCACAGATGTTTGCGTGGACTCCTGGCAGCGGCAGTTCCAGAACGCGAAAAAGTTGTACTCCAGCTCTAGCAAAGATGCGTCCAACAGCTCCCGGCTCGAGAAAACCTCGTCCGGGTCGAGCGGCAGATCAACTTCGTCGGAGCAGGCCAGACTTGTCTGCGTGTGACCACCGACCGCGTTCGTTTTCGCAGTGGCTGTGCTCGACGTCAATTTGTTCCTGGCCGCCGAGGTCGTGCACGACGTCGAAGAAGAACTAGAACTAGCTGTACCCATGCGGTCGTACAACGAGGTTGCCTCGCTGCTGTTCATCTCCAGAGCGTCAGCGTCAACTTCGATCTGCAAACTGTCCTGTGCGTGCAACAGGCTTAACGAGGATCCAACTGACGCTGCACTCCCATTATGCGGCGCAGGCAGTGACGTGGAGAAAGACATGCGGCCGTCTGCAGCGCCGAGGACGTTGTCACTGGAGGTCCTCAACTCTGGCGAAGAATTCGACTGGAGATTTCGTGCAGAATGGCCCGCTTTATTCGGCAGGACGAGATCTTCATGATCCGTTGAACACATGGATCGCTTGTCGCCGTAGGCGACATAGACTCGATTCAAGAACTGCACCGCTTTGCAGTAGTGCTTGTCCGCCATGCTTAACTCGCGCCAGGCCCATTTTTCGCCGATCCGCGCGCACGTCAGGGCGTGTTCCCGTTGCACGTTCGGCACCAGACCGCGGAGCTGCAAGTAGCTGATGACAATGAGCGTGTAGGCGTAGCTGGACAGCAGCCCGTTTTCGCAGTTCAACACTAAGCTGTTGCGCTTCGCCCAGGCCTTCACCCGGCGGACCAGCCCGAGACACAACGGGCTGGTCGCGTACTGGGCAAGCAGCAAGCTGTTCTGCACGCCGCACACGTTGTTCAGCGTGATGTCCACCGACACGGTGGTTTGTCGCTGCGTGCGCGCACACTTGCGCACCTCGTTGCACTTCAGCAGCGGCACGCGGGCCTGGTCAACGACCTCAATGTTCTCGTACTTGATCTGTAGTTGCGGTTGTTTCAGACACGACATCTTCGATACAGATAAGGAATTCGAGTTGTCTTTTTGTTTTTCCAGATTCGCTTCCGCGAGCCGCTTCGCGCAAGCTTGCAGGAAGGAAACCGTTTTTGTGTGGTCGAAGCTGCTGCTCAGGGTTTCGAAGACGCAGTCCGGCATGATTTCGTCGCGCAGATAGGTGAGGTCCAGGTCGAAGCCCACGCCCGCGTCGGCCGGCAGTGAAAACCCGGTTTTCTGAGAACCGAACACCGAACTGGTGTGTCCGATGATGTAGTCCACGCGGCGTTTCGTGCCGAGGATGTCGCTGTTCAGATCCACTTCCTGCGATGACAGCTGATGATCCGTTTGCTCGTGTATCAACGGGGGGCACTGCTTCGACGGTGTACCTACAGACACGACCCTGTGCGACAGTTTTCTAGTCGTGCAGCCGGGTGGGGGGCCATCCGCCGACGATTCTAGTTCGGGTGTGATTGGCGCCGAGGAACCTCTCGCGCTCTCTGTTCCGAAGCTGGTCGCGGTCGCTGTCGTTGTAGAAGAGCTAGTGTGTGAAGACGAGTGCGAGGCATTACAGGAGTGCTGCATATTTTTACCGGGCCGCAGCACTGGTTCTCCCTCGTGGTCTAAATTGTCTGCAGTGCGGCGACCCTTTGTTTGCTGGCTCGTGAAACCATCTTCAACTAGCAAATCCTCAATTGGTAAAATTGCGATCCACACCGGCGTCTTGGAACGTAGTACCAAAGTACCTGCATCAACGTCGGCACCATAGCCCTGTCGCTTCGTCCTCGTCTTTGTGCTGAACTCGTTTTCTATGAGCTGAATGTGCACCGACGGGCGGGTCGTGTCTTCTTTTTGCAGGCTCGTGTGACACGCGCCCAACTCGTACGTGTAGTGAAGGTGGTCCGGAAATGGGTCATGGGAGGTGATTTTGTCAGTACGGCTGGCACCGTAAAGACGCCCACCGTCCTCGCCCTCGATGTCCATGTGGACAGCGGTGGCGCAGACTTGGTAAGATGAACCACTTCCACTGTACTGGTAGCTGGTGCTCATCGTAGACGACGACCCTGACGCAGCCGTGGTGCTTGTGGTGGTCGTGGAGTCACCGCTTGTCGCAGGATCCAAATTGTAGGTCATTTTTGTACTCGAATGTTGACTAGGAAAATGTTCATGATCTTGACCCATGTAATTAGACGTAGACGAATCGTGAAAAAGATCTCTGGTGTCGTGCCGTCTAATACTGTAGTTTTCGGTGCGGTCGCCACTTGCTTGTGCCGCTTGTGCCCGTCGCTGCGCAGCCCCGGAGTGATGATTTTCGTCGTATAATGAAGAAGCACCGGCGCCCTGTGGTCGTTGATTTAACGATGAAGCGAAGTCAGGATCGTCGCTGCCATTTTTGCCGCCGTTGGTGTCGACCCAGAAACACGAGTGCAGCAGCCGGGCTGCGAGCGTTTGCATGAATTCCGCCGTCGTCAATGAGTCAGATATCCTTGCTTGTGCAGTGCCCAAAAATGCGTCCCACTGCTCACGCGACAAGAGGTACCGAAGCTGCAACACGTTCTCTTTTGTGCTGTACGGCACTTCGTCTTGCTGTCTTCGACGATGAAGATCCTGCTTCCTGTTTAGACATTCTGTGCGTCCCGCTCCGTCCATCGGCTCACTTCCGACTCCAACGAGGTCTGAAAAAATCGCATCGATGCGCTGCTGCCGCTTCGTAATTGCGTAGAAGGACCCGGTGCTGTGTCGAGACGCGGTCCCTCTGCTTTTCGCGAGCGCAGCACAAGTAGGCTGTGATGCGGTCGAATTATTTCGGTAGTACCCCGGTTCGTCGTTACCAAAGCATTTTCCTGATGATGAAGAACCACGTGCGCGGTTCTCGTGCACAGCCAGAAAGGTTGTAGGCGGCCGAGTTTGAGAGCGATCATGTTCCGCCACCTGTTGGCAGTTGCTGCAAGCCGGGTCATCTTGCACGACGGAGTGCCAGTCTGTTCCGCTGCTCTCGCGCCCAGGGTAGTTTTCTGGCCTGAACCCGTTTTTTTTCTCAGTTTCGTTTTCTAGTACCGGTTTCTGTCTGCTGGAGAAATTGGGCTCCCAAGAAGAACCAGCTGGGTCTTCGTGCTCGTCATACTTGTGGTTCACGACCTTCTTTGCCCTCGCTTGCCTGGTGGTACTCGTATTTTGCGAGCCAGTGGGAACAAAATGACCCGTCGGTTTTTTGTCATCAGCATGAGCATCTTTATACTCAAGTCCCTCGCCGCCCCTTTTTGGCTTCCGCAAAGTTCGCTCAAAGCCCAGGGCGCGCACTAGTTCCTTCGCTTTCTTTGCAAATTCGGTCGTGGACGGCTCTGGCGGCTTTGATTTGTTGTACCAAGATGGCCGCGGGTTGTACAGATTTTCGCACACGTCACCGGGGTACCCCGCATAACCGTCATGGTAGTTGCTCGTTAGTGCTTTTTTCTTGTTCTTCTGGTTGCGTGCTTTCTTCGGCTGTTTGGCTAGCGGGGGTTTCGTACTACCTTCATCCGTTTTACTTCTCGTTTCGCCGTTTTGGGGAGAGTAGTCCATTCCGGGCGGGTAGAAGTCGTTGCCGTCGCCGGAACCGGAAGGAGGGGCACGGTGCTGCGCACGATACGCATAGTTTGAAGGCATCCTGGGCCACCGATTATGCGATTGCTTCTTGTCTTGCAGGTATGGACATAGAGAATAAGAAATACGCCCTACTCTTGATGCCTGAGGTTGAGGTTCGTGCTGCTCGTGATCGTTTGTTATTCGTTTCTTGGTTTTTCCCGATGGCCCCGTGTTTCCCAACGGAGCGTTTTGTTGCTTTTCTTTTAGATAAAAGATTAATGGATGTTGACGTCGCACCAGAAGGACCCCCGCCTAATCTGCAGGACTGATACTAGGTTGAGCGAGACTAGATGAGAACTGCAGTGGGAAAATGTAGAAGCTGGATTCCGTATCTCCGAACGGACCAAAGCAGCTGTCTTCGTAGTATCCGTATCTAATCGATATATCACTGGGCCGCTTCTCTTTCAAAAGGTAAAGGATTGCTGTTGCTACAACTCTTCTTCAGAGACTCTTTCGTTGTCTATGTCTTTATTCTCTACTACTAACTTTCTGTCATCCGATTTTTCACTTCTGCGGCGCAACTGCAACAAGCACTTTTTTATTTTTTCTTCTGTTGCTTCTTCTTACTTTGGTTGGGAGGCCTGGTACCTATCGGCTGCAACGTGTTTGCACTCCACGACGAAGCCGCAATGCTGGCACCTCAATGCTCGTGGTTGAAGGACTCAATTGGACGTGATCCACTGGTTTACCGAAAGTAGAGTTTCATACGAGGCGTCGCAGCAGCGGCGCTCTGCTTTCGCGCAGCTCCCCAGGTGTCGCAAGTCGAGTACGAAGTATCACGCAGCTGGATATTTGCGTTGTATTATTCGCATCAAGTCATGCAATTCTTATCGGCCCGATTTTCAGTCGTGGATTTCGATCACTTCAATCTAAGTACCTCCATATTTATTGCCGCCTGCAATTATTTGCAGCTTCATTCAAAAATCGTCACGACACAGATAGACGAGACGGGTGTGCGGTAGCACGCGCTCACTAAAGTCATATGTTTTAGTTGCAGTAAAGTGGCGCGTTTCTTGAAACAAAAGTCGGCACTGCTGTCGCTGTGGTGGTGTAGAATTGTAGACTGCGCAATAGAATTTTTGTTTTTAGATTCTATCTTGTTCTTACAGCAGTTGCCTCGATAAATGCAAATTCGGACTTTATTGCTTGTGGTTAGTACGTTTCTGATACTTTTTTCTCATACATTCATCCTGGGACAACAAAAAAATATCTTGAATCACAATCAGGATCTGGTCGCCTACACGAGAGAAACATAAAAGTTCATGCTCATCGCATATGATCCGCATCATCTTCCGCAAACGTGCACGATCGCATTCCTGAAAAGAAGCGGACCGGCGTACGATGAAAGTACTCAATTCATGGACATTGAGACTCGAGAAAACGCATCGCAAATAGAACATGTGACTGCATGGGTGCAAGTAAGACCTTCTGCGGTGACAAGAACCAGTGCTCTCGGCTCACTGCCGATCTTTTTTTGTTCTACCTAGCCTTTTTCCCCCCGCATTTGCCTGCTCAGTTTCTGACTGTTTCGCATGTCTTGTTTTCACGGCGCGGTCAACGCGCGTTTTCTGTCAAAACAAAATATCTCCACCTCTGCAGAAGCAGAGTGTCGTGCTTGCTGTTCAGGAAAAAAACATTTTGACAGACTATACGCGAGCGAGCATTCCAATGCAAGGTGTCTACGAGAAAAAAAAGCTATGTATGGATGCGTGATGTAGAGAAGGAGCAGCCAGGCCCTGATTCTTGGAAAACCAAAATGATATGTACAACGCATGTGTAAATGAACCAAAAAATAAGTACAAGGTATGTTTATGAATGTTTCTTTGTCGACTTCTTGTTGCCAATAGCTGCTAATAGAGTCAGATGATATGTTTGATGTTGATGGTCTGTACAACTGTCATAATGAAAAAAAAACGCGAGTCAAAAATGTCAAACGCTTACGAAAACGACTACAACCTCTGGAAATGGAATAAAAAAAAAACAGATGAAGACAATCTTTGAAACTTTTTTCCCTCTACTTGTCCGATCTACGACGTTTTCATCTTCTCCTAGGAAAGCGTTCCCAGCACGGGTGGTCCCTTCGCGAGCTCCCGGTCCAAGCAGGTTTTCGTCGGATCGTAGACGGAATCCGGGATCAGAGACTCGCCGACTTCCGTGCTAGACCAGAGGGTGGTGTTCATCACGGACTTCTTGGGTGTTCCTCTTTTGGCGAGCACCAGTCCCTCGGGCCGCATCACGTACCCGGACTCGCTGCTAGGACCGTAGGCCTTGCGCATCTTCATGTCGCGCGGCGTGGCCACCTTCTGACCGAGCTGGCCCTTGAGGGGCACCGTCGGCAGACTCATGGTGCTGACGCCGATCTTTTTGCCGCCGCGGCCCCGCGCGGCGGAACTCGAGCTCATCGGCGGCTGCTGCCCCTCTTGCTTGGGCAACATGGTTTTGGATCCCGGGTACTGGATCGCGAGCTTCGTGGATGCCGGTGGAGCGGGCTCCAGTTGCAGCGAGTTTTGCAACTTTTGCAGCAACAGATCCGTGACGGCATCCAGAGCAATGGGCTTGTTGTGCCCTTTGTTGTTTCCAACAGCATCTTCCGCAGCGTTCTGCAAGAGCGCCGAGGCTGCGTGTCTCTCCGCTTCGGACACGACCACCACTTCGCCGGAGACCGGGGACACGATCTGACGGGTACGCGCGGCCATCTCGAGCAGGGCGTGCAGCGAGGGGCCGAACCGTCGGTCGAGCAGCTTGTCCCGCGCGTCCGCCGCGTCGTTCATGTCTCCCACCAGCATATCCGCCTCGTCGGCGTTCGCCAGCTCCTTTTCTTTCGCCACGACATACGCCCGGTCACGGGGCTCCAGGTCAAGTGGCTGTTGCTGTGGTCTTTCGTCGTCGACGGGCGAGAGTGCTCCTCCGTCCACCGGACTTGCTGGCGCACTGATCTGCGCACCTCCGGTGGCCTTGACGTACTTGCGTTTGATCGGCGTGGTGCTGTGCTTTGGCGCGGCGGTGTGTGGGTCGTTCTGCACGACCTGGAGGTCCTCGCCCCGGCTCAGCGTCGTGGTCGACAGCGTCGTGTCACCGAGGGACTTATTCGTGCCGGAGAAGCGATTCCATTCCCTGGCGCGTTTGATCTCCTTCCGCGGTCCGCGGAGCTTGGGCAAGGGGTGGCGCGGACCCCCGACGCCGAGGGCGAAGTGGTACTCCCCGTGATTCAGGTACTGACTGACCATCAGCTCCTGTACGCTGGCGTTCTTGTTCTTCATCAGCAACCGCTGCGCGGCCCGACCGACTTCGGCCACGCGCGCGGCGTGCTTCTCGCGGAGCAAGGGGTTGCTGATCTCGTTCGTGTCCACCTGGCCGTCCTTCGGATCAGGAAGTACTCTTTGTAGCGACAAGGTCTCCCCGGCCAGGGCTTTCTTCTTCGTCTCGCTGTCCGACTTGGCCGCTTTCGTCAGTGCCAGCGTCCGCGTGAAATCCGACAATGCCTCCGGGCCGGTTGGCGTCGCAAGAACTTTGTCCTTGCTCAGAACCGTGCTGCCGCTGCTCTCGCTCGTTGCCATCACGCTCTGGTCCAGTTGCGTACTGAGCTCGTTCAGCTCCTGCGCGGACAGCAGCTCCTGCTTTTGCTTCAGCGTCAGCTCGGTTTCGCGCAGCGCCTGCACCAGCCAGTGGGCGTAGGAGAACATGCCGTGCTGGATCTCGGGGAAGTTCTTCAGGCCTGGGAAGTTGTTGTCGCGCACCCGCGGGTAGAGCGACACCTGATCGCCAAACTCATCCAGCAGCGCGTCTTTCCGGTCCTGGGACAAAATCCTAACAGCCTTTTCCATTTGCTGGTTCAGATCCTTGTCCAGCAGAAACTTGTTGTAGTGCCACGATCGCAGGTTCCGCCTTTGTGCCCGCAGGTACTTCCGCACCAGCTCCTCCGCCGCGCGCTGCTTGCGCTCCAGTTGCAGCTCCTTGTCGTCGTCGACTGGGAGTGGGAAGTGGATCAACGGGGAATACTCCGGTTTGCGCGTGCAGGCGTGCCGCAAGGAGTCGTAGTCCGTCCAATTCGTGAGCACCTCCTGCAAGCAGTGGAACACGTCGTGCGGCGCGAGGTTTTTCAGGAAGCGGCAGAATTCGCTGTTGTGGTCTTCCAGCACCTCCTTACAGTTGTGCAGCATGGTCCGGGCCTGGTCGTTGTAGTGTGCCTGGATCACTTCCTTCTCGAATTCCCGGACGTTCCCGTCGTTTTTGTCGTGCAGACTTTCCGCGTCGAAGGGCGCGACGAACCGGGTGTTGCGTCCCATTTCTTCCGCCGCCTCCGCCGACCCGAGCAAGTCGTACAAATTGTGCTCCATATTCTCCCGCTCCTTCTCCATCCACCACCGAGCTCGGTTCTCCATGCCGCGCTCGGTAACCAGGCGGAAAAACGCGTCTTCGCGCAGGTCCGTGGCCTCCATGGCGTTCAGTTTTTTGCCCTGCTCCACCTGCGCCGCTTCGCTGGTGTCGCCGTCGTGCAGCGTCTCGTCGTCCGCCGTGTCTTTGCTGCGAGCGGATTCTTTCTTCGCGAGCTGGAAAAAAGACGGCTTTAATGCGGTCGGAGACTGCTCCTCCTCCTTCTTGTTCGCGTCGCCCTTGTACACGACGAAGGCCTCCGGCTCGCGCCCGGACAGGCCTTTCAAAACGCGCTCGGAGTCCACCTCGGTCAAGCCCTCGGTAGCGTAGAAGGCCGTTCCGATCTGCACCAACAAGCGGGACACGATTTGCTCCCGTAATTCCTCCTTCCGCCGCTTCTCCTCCTCGTCCTCCTCCTCCTCCTCGTCTTTGTTCTTTTCTTTCTCGGCGTCCTCCTCTTCGGACGACTCCAGCTCGCTCGCCGGCAGGATCTTCATGGACTCCAGCAGTGTGGACAGCAGGATGCACTCGACCTTGTAGTCGACCACGCCCGCCTTCGCGAGCGCCTTCTTGCACTCCCGTTCGAACTCGACACTGCCGGTGACGTCCACGCGGGGCAAAAATTCCTTTCCGTACTTCAAAACCAGCTCTCGCACGACGGCGGTTGGCACATCCTCTTCCGGGTTGATGGCGTTGCCGGCCTTGTTCTGCTTGCCAAAGAGCGTCTGCAAGGACGGCGGCATCCCCATCTGCACCCGCTTCAGCTGGTGGTCCAGGTACCACTGCCGCACCTGCTCGTAAATCTTGCTCTTCTTCGGGGCAGAGTGCTTGTGCTTCTTCGGAGATAAAGCTGCATGGGCTGGCTCGATCGTGGTGGACCCCTGTCGTGAGTGCGCAACACTGCTGTGCTCGCCGTCCTCCGAGAGCGCAGGCACAAAATCTCCTCCGATTTCGTCTCCGTGTTCTGCTAAAAATTCTGCGCGCTCCTCGGCCAAGCGCTGTTCTTCCTCCGCGGCTCGCGCAGCCTCTTCCGCCTCTTTCGCGAGTTGCGCGTCCTTTTCGGCGCAAACTAGGTTATAGGCTTCCTTGACCGCCGCAACCCGCTTCTTCTCGAACTCTTTCAGAGCCAGCGTCAATTCCGTCGGCTTCTCCACTTGGTCCAGCGGAAACGGCGGCTTCTTCGACTCGTCCAGGTCCCGCGGCGAAAACACCTGGCGCATCTTGTCCGCGGGGAACACACCCTTCACACTCGGCTCCTGCTGCCACAAGTGCGCCTCCGTGGCGTCCACGCCGAACAGACCGAAGCGGGCGCCGCGCGAGCCCTGCAGCTCGGAAACCAGCCGCTCCTTCTTCATCTGCTTCAGCGTCTTCTTCGTTTCTGCCGGGTCGACCACGTCCACTGGCGTGTCGATTGCCGCGCGCGAAAAGATGCCCATCCCCGTGGTCTTGCCTGCGGACTGCAGCTTGCTCAGCGGGATGCCGACCAGGTTGGACAGCGCGACCATTTTTTCCAATTCCCCGTCCTCCTCCTGCTTCCGCGTCTCCAGACGGGTCCGGTACTCGTTGAACCACTCGGTTTTCACGTCGCTCCCGACCGTGAACTCGGACAAGGACCGCTGGACGATCTTCTCGGTCACGCCCAGGCCCTGCAGAATCCCGGTCTCCTGATCCTCCTCGGAGGCGGAGATGACGATGTCGTGCGCGAAGGAGTAGGAGCTCTGCAGACGGCCCGACATCCGGCGGGCGGGCGCCTTGGCCAGAATCGTCAGGACCCCGTCGTTGTCGAACATGCCGTGGCGGTGGCCGTCGTGATCCGGGCTGGGCGGGCCCTGCCTTTGGAGGTCCTGTGAGTTGTCCGTCAGCGTGGCCTGCTCGTGCGACCCCACCTGGAGGTGCCCGTAGAACTCCTTGCCGGACGAGAGCAGCCGCCGCCGCATGTCGTCCGTCGCTGGATCCATGCGGTTCTGCGTCTTCTTCATGTGGCGCCGCAGCGACTTCTGCTCCCGCCGGCGGGACTTCACGGAGGGATCTTCGGCGTCTAGCTGCGTCGTGGACTCGGGCGTCGACTCGCGGAGCTCGGGAATCGCTTGGTCAACCTCGTGCTTGTAGAAGTGGAACACACTGCTCTCGTGCTCCATACTAGTGTTGCACTGGCTGGGGGTGCTGTCGTCCTTGGATAGCACATCAGCACGATTTTGATTCATTTCCTGCGCTACAATTTTTGTTTCGTCAACACGACTCCCCGTCTTGCTCTCCAGCGCATGATCCTCTTCGCGCACGCTGACGCTCGGCTCGCTTCGGAGGCGCTTGGAGGAGGTAAAGAAGCTGGCACCGCGAGAAATCAGTTCTTCGTCCGTCGAGGGCTGCAAAGGGATGTACTGCACGTCTTCGGATGAGGATCCACCACAGGAGGACGAGGCTAAGCTAGTGAGGTTCGCAGCACGCTCGTGATCACCTTCCAGTGCGATAGGACTTTCAGTTGCTTCGTTTTGCTGTTCGTCGTTAGGAGAGACATTTTCTGCTTCATTTTCTCCAGCAGGCACCTCCACTTCCACAGTCGCTCCTGGTTGTAGTTCTACTGGTGCATCATCAACAACATCCGGCGTGCCTTCTTCCGCCTGATCTAAATCCTGCATGTTTGCGACCAGTGCGTGCGCCACAATCGTCGCACCGACATCGTCGTCGCTCGGCTCCGAGTTGCGCATGAAACTGCGCGCAGGCCGGTCGGTGTCCGCACTGTGCACCGACATCGCCATCTCGCGCTCCACGTCAGACGGCAAGTCATCCGCGTCGACCACGTAGCCCGGAACGACCATGCTGTCGGAAGCGATCTGCTGGACGAGAGCTTCGTCACCCTCCTGTGCGTCGGCGCCGAGAATGTCCTGCTGCAACTGGTCCTCGCCCGCACTGGAGCTGGAGGAGCCCAGAGCGCCAAACAGGCGGTCCTCGCGGGAGATCTGCTGCGCTTGCTCCGCAAAGGGAGCTAATCCACTTGGCGTTTCCGGGCGCGAGCCGCCACCGACCAAGGCGCCGACATCCAACAGCTCCTCATCTACCGTGTAGTCTTTCTCCGCGGTCGCGCGCGCGCGGCGACTCTGCGGCGTCTGTTCGACCGAGAAGTCGATCTTCGCACCGGACCCGGCGTTCAGCAGTTGCGTCGGAAGTCGCAGCAGCGCGCTGCCGCGCGGCCGGGCCTTCGCCGGCTGCTTCGGCGAGGAAAAACCGCTGCGCTGGCCATCAGACGCGCCGGAGCCCTGGGGGGAGAAGTGAACGTGTTTGTCGTGGTCGACGTGGTCTGCGCCGCTTTCCCGACTCAGAATGCTGGCTCTCGGGGAGGAGTGTTCCGCACAGGGGGAGGAGGCCACCGTGCTTCCCGGCTGTGTCGACGCCGTACTGGGCGGTGCGAGGAATTTTGCCACCTTCGCAAATTTCGCGTGCGACCAAGATTGCGTCTGCTCCAGCCAGTCCGGCAGCGGCGCAACGTCGGGCTCGAGCTTGTCCAGCCGCTCCACGTTTGCGGCAAAGATGGTCTCCTTGATCGCGAACGGCTCGCACCCCTTCACCACGTAGTGCCCTCCGTGCTGCAAATCTTTAAACACCTTCACTCGCTTTCGCGTGAACGCGTCGAACAGCGCGTGTACCCGTCCCGTGCTCGGCGGCGCGTACTTCTGGACCAGGGTCAAAACCAGTTGCAGACTCTTCACGCTCTTGCTGCCCTTGATCAGCAACGGCACCGGGCCGTCCTTGGTCTTGTGGTTCTGGTGCAAAAAAAGCAGCATTTGCTTTGGATAATCCCTCCGCCCCATCTCGAGGAAAATGCTTTCACTGCCGTGCGCGCCCGGCGTGGCCTGGTGGCCCTGGCGGGTGAACAGACTGGCGACGTTTTCCGTCTCATCCGAGAACAGATCGATTTTTTTCGCCGCGTTCTTGTCCACGCGCGAGGCAAAGTAGCCGCCCGTGGACGTCTGCGAAGAGTCTTGCTTCGAGGAATCCATTTCACTGTCGTCGCCCCTGGATGACGGTCGCTCCGCCTGAATGCGCTGATCCAGCGACACCAAAGCTTTCTTCGCTTTCTTGTTCTTCACGTCGTCACTGTGCTGCTCCTCCGCGGCCTTCAGCTGCTCCGGGGTCAGCGGCCGGGAAAACTGCCGCTGCAGCTCCTCGCGCGTGGGCTTGTCGTTGACGAGGGGCTGCAACTTACTCAAGTTCGTGCCCGTGTTGTTCTGAATGTGGATCACCATGTCCTGGAAGTATGGCATCAGCGAGTAAAGGTCTTCAAACGTGATGAAGCCCTTGTGCGCCTCATCGAGCAGAGAGTAGAGCAGTGTCGCCTCGAGCCGCACGTTGTCCCACAGGAATTTTATGAACCTCCGCTTGGACACTTTGCCTTTCTCGCTCGACTCTTCGCCTTGCATCGCCTCGAACACCTTGCGCAAGCTGCCGTACCCGTCAATGACAAACGTCAAAAACCGCTCGACATCCAAAGAACCGGAGGCGCTCTGATCGATCTTTTCTTGCAGCGTCAAGTGGTCCGGATTCCGGACGTGGTCCACGTCCTTCTTCTGCGCGCCCTCCGCCATCATCAACAACATGTTTGCGCCGAGCACATTCCCCCACAGCTGCATCGACTGCCGCAATTGCGTCTGCGTTTGCAGCGTTTGCACCTGGCCCTTCTCGGTTTGCAGCCGCTTCAGTGCGCCGAACTGGTGGACGCCGGGCGGCTTTTCCGACCCATACAGGGCCACGTTGATCCGATCCAACTCCGGCTTCATGGGGATTATCTTCGGCCGCGCATCTATCGGCGCGCCCGCTTGTTGCTCCGCAGAAGCGTCGGGCTGCTTGCTCTGCTCCTTTTCCGCCTCCTGGGCTTTGTTATACGCCTCGCGTTCCACGCGGTCCGCAACCGCGACCATGCGCGGGCCGTGCCAGAACATCAGCTCCTGTGTGTCCTCCTTCCGGTAGTAGTACTTGACGTGACGGGACTTGTCTTGCAGCGAAACGGCCATGCGTCGGCGGTCCTTGTCGGCGGTGTAGGGAATGAACCCCATGGACCGCCACCGGATCATCGGATCCAGCATTACTTCCTTGAATTCGCGAAACAGCTGCGCGTCCTCCCCAATCTGCTTGAAGCACTTCTCAGCGACGGCGAACCAAGATTTGCGTCCGCGGCGGGCCTGGGGTTGGATTTTTGAAAATTTCCGCGACGAGAGTAACTACTTCAAGCATCAATCTATCATCGCTAGAAGAACGCAGAACCTCAAAAAAGGAGCTTAAAAAAAGTGCACGGTTTCTATTTTTCATTTATACTCAAAAGTACCTTCGCAAGTTTCCTCGCCACCCTCGCGTCCAACGAGGAAGCCTGTTTCGTTTTCTCGATCGACGCTTTTGCCAAGCCCGACTGCATGTCGAAGAATTCTTGAAAGGCTTGCGAGATCGACACGCGCTTCTCTTTCACCTTGGACTCGGGGTCCTTCGGCTCGCGCTTTTTCACCTCCCGGGTCTCCGCCGCGTCGGCCTGCGCCTTTGCCAAAAACAGCCGCGTTTGCGACAGACTCTTCGCCACGTCGGCGAAGGATTTCCGCGGTTTGGCCGCCATCTCCGGGTCCTCCAGTGGGTTCGCGACCGTCCGGTCCAGCGCCTTTTTCTCTTCCTCCGCCTGCTCCGCGACCTGTTTCCGCTTGAAGTGCAAAAACTCGTCGATCAACTGCTTGGTCCGCACCAGCATCGGAAATTTTCGTCGGCGCTGCGAGAACCCAATGATGGTGGTCGAGTCGTTCAGGTGTTTCGGCGGGCCCTTTTTCACCTCCTTCTTCGGGTACTGCTGTTTCACGAACTGCGTCATGCTCAGCATCGGCGCCAGTGCGTCCAGCAGTTTCTTCTTGCCGGAGCCGGAAGTGGGCTGCACATGCCCGAGCACGGCCCCAAACGCGGTGGACCCGGGCGCGGACGTCGTGGCCGCCACGTCGGTGGTGGGCTCGGCCTCCGGGAGAAGATCCATCTCCTCGTCGGAACTCGCCATTGTGACTGTGGATGTAAATGAGGAAAAAAAAACACAATCCAACGCCAAGTCCACGGCCCTCCCTTACTCGTACTGAAGTGCAGCAATAAAGTTCAAAAATGCGAAAAATTATGGGTTTGGTACCACTTATACACGTACGAATCAGAGGGAAGACACCACAAATTGAAATCCAAATCTGTCCATGTGTGTTGGTACGACGCTGTGTCAATTACGTAAAACCACGACGACGACAATTGCAAGAGAAAACGGCATAGAAAGTGCTTCAGACGTTGCTTGTTTGATTCAGCACGAAAAATTTTGTACGAACGTTTTGTACGAACGTATCAGATTGATTCGTTGCACGACAGACATCAAACACGACGGGACGAAGGTAGGTAGTCGTAACAGTCAGGTCACGCACTTTAATGAGTAGATGTCAAACTTGCGAAGCCAGCACGTACGAAGATACTACGAATACCGGATTCAACACTTCTTGTTCCTGATTAGATTTCGCTGAGACTGACTTTGCAGCACGGCGGAGACTGACTTTAGGAAAGTTTTCTTTTCCTCAAGCAACAGCCTCGCTATTCGCCAAGGTTTGTTTTCTTCCGATCAATATGCACCTGTAGTGTTAGAGTGAGGGAACGACTGAAGGTCTTGCGAAATCCCGTTGTACAACGAACACGCATTAAAGATTACGCCCTCTCCAAAGCAAGAAACAAACTTGATGATCGTCCGAATCCTGCCCAAAATCGGGAGCTAGTAGGCAAATTGGCAGCGCTGGAACACGACGTTCTCGGCCTCGTGGGTGCGCCTCGTCCCAGTCCTCCGCTTCAGTAATACTCATCTTCAGATCGTCTTCAGCGAAGAGCAGGCGCGCGACGCCCTGCACGTGGTCGGCCAGCAGCGGCCCCCCTAGCATTTCGTGCAAGTCCCGCGCGAATAGTGGAGGAAGGTCTCCGTTTGGCAACCGAGGAGCTCCATTCCATTCTTCCTCCGTCAAAACGTACTCTGGCGAACCGGCCGCAAAAGCTTTCGTCGCTTGAGCCATGATGTACTCGCACGCACGAAAGCACCCAGCATTTATCGCATCAACTAGTACTTTTTTTGGCCCGGACAACATCATGCTCGGTTCGGGAAGTGACTCCTTGTCCAGCGAGTTAAATCGCCGCATTTGGTCCATCCGGAAAATTTCGCGAGTACTATAGAACCGCTCGCCCATCCCCTCCCACTCTATCTTGAATGGTAATTTTCGGTGCCCGGCCACAAAGATGAACTCGACCCGCTTTCCCCGAGTACTCAGCGGCGCAGCGGCCAAAACTTCTGCCGTGACGCTAAGAAAACCCTCGCCCCGCCGCGCCGCCTCCATGCACAGTGCCTCATAGTAGGCGCATGCCCGCAGCCGGTCGCTGGCCCGGACTTCTGCAAGCACTTTCTTGACGCCTCGGCACCTGCTTCGATGGGCTGGGCTGACCCGGGTGGCCCGAGAAACACGCGAATCTTCTGGCGCAATTCCTCCGGAAAGCTTGATGCGGGTAAAACCTCTCCCTTGGCGCGGATTCGGTTGACCGCCCGGACGACAAAAGTGCTTATCTGAGCCAAGAAGTTTTGATTTTCTCATTGGAGCGCACCATGATGTTGAGGCTTGAGCATAGCTTGCACGCTTAGCATCACGCGGCTAACTTCACGCGTCCCATTGACTGACTACGGATACAACAAGGACCGCCACTACGACTGCCTCCAACACGAGCCTACTACTTCGTTATCGTTGGTTAGCGTCTGCAAAAGTAACATCAAATTTACCGCACGTCGTTACCTGCGCGTTCTTTATCGCCTTGTCAATGCGGTCCGGCTTCATATTACCTCCCCCTGCTTTTTCCAAAGTGGACGCCCAGTCTTTGAACTCTCCAGAGTAGTTGGCCAGAATTTCGTCGAACGGCTGCGGTCGTAGAGCTGCCGTGCCAGCCACAGGTACTGACGTCGCAGCATCGACAGAGGACGCAGAGGCAAAACCAACCGCCTCCGCCGCCATCACCATCTCTTCCTTTTACAAGAAAAAGAACTTTATCCCTTTGGATGGAAGTACCTACTTAAGTATAAGTACGTGACCGAATCGAAGATAAAGACCTCGCAAATCTGTCGGAAAATCGATCAACTTTTCAGAACCCCTTCTTCGTGCTTTCGTCTCGTAGCGCAACTTCTTTCCAGCAGAGCAAATCCACAAGAACAACAGCCGTACCAGAAAAGAAAGAGTCGCCTGCCCTTATGTTTTGAGGCTTCTCGCATTTTTGTTCAGTTTTCGAAATTGCCAGCAAAGCGGAAGGGATTGCCAATTATCATCATTGACTCTTGCACTCTACGGCGACATGGAGACGGGCCTTTGAGAGGTCCCAACCTCCTCCAGACTCTGCCCCTGGCGCATAATGGAGCCGGAGGCCGCGGTGCCCGAAGTGCTGCAGAAGAGTGGCGCTCGGGATGCTCAATTGCCCGATCAGGTACTTCTCCCGCCCGCCAAAGAAGGCTTTCAGTACCGCGTTCGGTTTTCCCTCGTAGAACAGCTGAAGGTAGAAGTACACGTCCTCGCTGTGCGTAACGTCGTCAGCCACCAGCTTCAAAACTTCATTGAACTCAGGCCTTCGGGAATTCAGGTTCGCCTTCCCGGAGGAACGAGCTTTTGCTGCACGGGTTTTGGCGGAAAACAGCATAGTTGCCGGCTTCACCGTCTTGTACAGCGTGCAGTCGTCTAGCTCGGCATCCGTCAGGCAGTGCCGTGGGTCTCCGCCCTTGCATAAACGCGCTTCGGCGAAGAGCTTGACGGGTTCCCGCACGTTTTCTAATGGGAACGGCGGAAAGTGCGACGGCAGCACGGCTTTCAGCAACCGCACTTGTACGCCGAGCTCCTTATCCGCTTCATATTCCACCTTCTCAAACTTCAGAAAAAACTCCCCCTCGGTCGTCGCAGGCCGGTCGCCATTTTCATGATCTCCTTCCATTCTTGCGCTAGTTGCCCCGCGACTTACACCGCCACCGAGCAGACCGCCTTCTAAAGATTCATCGTCCTGCCGCTGACCCGAGGCGAAAAGCTTCAGTTTGCGCGACCGCACGCCGCGGAGCTGAAAGATTTCGTGCACGCCGATGCTGCAGCGGCCCAGAAGGTCATGCGCGAGGAGCATCGAGGAATCGAAAACTTCGACATGGACAAACAGGTTCCTCTCCTCAGAAGACAAAGGCCCCAGCGCCAGCCGCTGCTTGAAGTTGACCGACGTGCCCGCTCGGGTGTGGGTGGTTTTCTGCTCAAGTACCGCACTGGCATCCTCATCATCTTTGAGCGGATTTCCCCGAGTCAAGTTCACCCGCGCGAAGGGGTAGCAGCCCTTGCCACCGAACATTTTCGTCCGCGTCTGCGGTAGGCCTCGCGCGTGCGTCACGTTCACGGCAAGGAGGACTTTTTTGGGCGGTTCCGGCAATTGATCGGTCTCATGATCAGTTCCGATCCCCGCCAGGTATGAACTGTTCCGAGTGCCAACCTCTTCTAATGAACCCGCAGGCGCTAACCGCACGACTAGTCCGGCTTTCGCCTTGCTGCGCCTCATGCGCGCATGCACTACGTCTATCGCCTGCGGGAGGATTGAACCGCTGGTCAGACTGCCGAAGAGACGAAGGACGGTCGATGAGTCCGCGTGTCGTTGAAATTCTGATTGTTCTTGTGAACTTTCCTCCACCCGCTGTGCGGGTCTTCTGGTTCCGTCCAGAGTAGAGGCAACTTTACCATTTTGATTTTCGTCAGAGAAATTTCCGTCCGAGCTGCTCGTGTCGCCGCTCGCGTCGTCTACGCTGGCGCTCCGAGCACAGTGCAGGCGAACAGGTTGCAGGCCGTGATACTGCAGCAGGTTGGAGAAGGGGATCTTAAAGTGGCACAACGGCTGCCAGTCGCGCGCGAACAAGTAGCTGGTCGACTCTTCCTGCCCCCACACAACGACGTGAAACATCGAAAAGAGCTGGTCGGCGACGTCGTGCAGGTCCCAGCTTTCATACAGTGCGTCGCTCTGGTTCTCTGGTGGCCGGAACAACTTTCCCGTTAGAGCCTCCAAATCGAAACTGAGCTCGGAATCGAACGCAAAAACAGCTCCCGGCTGCGCTGACACCTTGTCCGTTTCCTGCGAAGCCGCGGTCATCGCGGCCAAGTCCTTCCCACAGCGCGCCTCGAGATTCTTCTTCGCGCGCACCTCCTGCCGCGACGGCCGCTTAATCTTTTCGAACAGCTCGCGCTTCCGCTCGTAGTCTGCTGCGCGCTCCTCGGGAAAAAAAAAGTACTCGTCTTCTTCAGGATCGTAAGAATCCTGCTCGTCTCGCAGCAGCAATCGCATTTCCACCTTCACCTTTGCCCGAGAAAAAAGGTCCCGCCTCCCCAAGTTTCGCACTGCGCCCACCTTCCACACCACTTGCTCCGTGTTCAGTGTGGTCAGTCCCAAATCAATCTCCGCGGCACTGACATCCACTGCCTGCGTAAGTCGCAACGGCTGCTGAAAGTCGGAGTTGTTCGGCTGCCTTTGCGCGGCGCTCCCGGAGCGAGAAATTCGCTCAGCAATATGTCGCGGCACAGCGACGCGCACGAAATTCTTCCAGGGTCGCAGTCCCGCGGACTCAAATACTCCACGAAGCGGCATCTCGCCCTGCACGATCTCCTCGAACAAGTTTTGCTGCGTTCGTGAGTCCACACGGAAGTGAAGCACGCGAAGGCCCAGCGAGAGTGTTTCGTCGTGGAGCGGCACGGTGTCGAGAACGAGCTCCTCCTCTCCCCAGCCGTAGAAGGCAGGAAACTGCTTTCCGTTATTCAGTTCCGTCGTGGCAGGTTCTAGGGCTAGGAATTTCCCCACGCCACTGTCTTGCAAAAGACACACTTCCACGAACAACGCCCCGTCCACGACAGTGCCTTTCATTCGGCTGGTTTCCTTCACAAGCACCTTCCCAGTGGCCGACAGTGCGAGGTCGGATCTGGACCGCCACGGACGAGGCAGATTGCGAGCATAATCGACGCGGATACGCACCGGCAGGAGCTGCTCCCCGCCTGCCCGCAGCGCGGCAGCGTCCAAAATGTTCGGCACCACCTCCGTCCTCGTGCGCGTTCGCTCGTCAGGTTCGATAGCATTGTCGTAGTCGGGTAGCGGTTCCTCCATGACGCCGCTGGCCAGGAAACTGCACCAGATCCCAGCGTTGGCGACCAGCGGAAACTTCGGCCGCGACAGTGCGGGTTCGAACACGGGCTGGAGCTTGATAGGGCGCTGGCCCGAGTACCGCAGTAGCTTGTATAGGTTGATGGACCAGTGCCCTAGCGCGTTCTCGAGGCTCACCTGGCTAGACCGGTACAACACGAGCGACACAAAGATGTCGTTCGCAGGAACCGTAGAAACCGAGAGCTCCGTGTTCCACTCGCAACTGCGGTGCTCGCAGAACTTGGAGGCCGTCCGACTCGACGCCAGCGCACCCTCGGCGTCACAAGGCTTTTTGCGGGGGTCTCCGCGGACGCAGCGAAGCTCCACGAACGCCTTCAGTTGAAAGGAAGACACGCCCAGCACGTGACCCACAAAGCAGGTGACGGTGATACGGCCGGACTTGTCGGGCGCCACTTTGCCGAATCGCGCACGCAGCCGCAAAATGCGGAAGTTGGTGGAAAAGTGCCGTTTCCGGTGCACGTTCATCTGCACCATGTTCCCCGCACCGCGGCTCGGCGCGTCGTCTGCGTCCGAACCGCCCGCGCTGGTCGCTTCGTCGTTTGCCGAGCTGTCCGTGGTCGGCAAGCTGCCCTCCGACATGACTGACGGGTTTTCGCTTTCTGCATCTCCGACAGCGCGGTCACCGGCGGAGTTTGATCTTTTCATGCCTTTTTCCCGCTTGTTGTTGGCTGCGGGCGTATTTGATGATGAAGAAGTTGCCTTCATGACGCCCGTGTCGCCGTCCTCGTCCATTTTCGCCGCCCCACTTCTTCGACGCTCACTCATTCGCCTGTCCTTGCGCAGCAGCTTGTCAGCACTTTTCCTCCCCATCGCTCCGCGTCTTGCACCCCCACCCCGACGGCCGGTAACCAGGGGTCGGATGCGTAGATACTTGACGCCGCGCACCTCAAGCAGATCTGCGAAGGGCACAGTGCAGTGCGCGAATTTCTGATCAAGTACGTAGTCGGCGTCCCAACACTCAATGTACACGAACATATCCTCTCCGTCCCACGGCTGCACGATGTGGTTGCCTACGTCGAGGTCCACCAGCGTGTCCCAAACCGGCTCCTGCGATCCGCTGACGAAGTCGGTGCGGCTAACGGGCGTTTGCACCTCGTACCGGGGAACCCGCTGCAGCGGTTCCCCCTTCACCAATGAGACGCACACATAGGGATCGCACCGCCCCACCGTGCCCGCGGAATGTTCCCAGGCCGTGTCCGTTGCGGGGAGCCCGCGCGCGTGATGCACCAACACCTGCATCGCCACAAAATACGGGTCCGTTTCATCGTCAAAAGGCACCAGCGCAGCCCCCAGCTGCGATCCCAGTTGAGACAGCCAGTCCCCCGCGGCTGCCCTACGCGGCTCCACCTCGAGCACTGGTTTCTTCACCGACGCCGCTCCTACCAGCCGCGCTTCCTGTAGGCTCATTTCCGCAGTGCCTACGCCGTCCAGCTTGTTTGCCGAACTGGTAGCAGTGGACGACTTGTCCATACCAACAGACAAGCCCTTAGTGTCGCCAGTGGGACTCTGGCTCTTGTTCCCTTCTTGCTCAGAGACTGGAGCACTGGATCCCTCTTTCCCTGCCCGGCCAAGGTGCTTCTTTAGCTGTGCCTGCGCCCGAGCCACCATCATGCGCGTATTGGCAGTCTTCTCAAGATCGGCCGTGGCGCGGTGCTGCGCTTCTTGCTCGGATCGAAGCCGCTTCATTTCTGCCGCCAGCGCTGCTTCCTCGGCGGCCGCCTGGCGCTTGCGCTCCTGCTGCTCTCGCTCGGCGTCTTCCTTAGCCTCGGCCTCCAAGCGCAAGCGCTTTCGTTCCTCCCACAAATTTACAGCCCCAAAAAAGTGCTGCTGATTTGATAATACCACTTGCTGGCGACTTTCCTCAGAAATGACGGTGTTTGGTAGTTGGGATCCTGTTGCGGCATGGTAGGTGTCACCGAAGAATGTCCCCTCTGCAGACCCTGCTGCCGCACCCGTGACAGCAGAACTCTCCAATGGCTCTGTCAGCGAGTTTGCGGGGCCCGCCGAAATAACGGAGCGCGTCGCAGCTTGTCCATGTCGAGGAGTTTGGAGAAGGCTCGCCGGGTCATATTCCTCGGGAAAAAAAGTACTCAGATGTTGGTATTTCCTGTGTTTGCGATCGACTGGTTGCGCGGTTGGCTGTTGCTGGGAAACCACTTTTACAGCTCTGCTTTTCGCTGCAGAGTGCGGGGTCCTAGTCTGCGGCAAAAAATTCGCTTGCAGTCCTGTCGCATTTTCCCTTTGGTGAGCACCACCACCATGGTGGTACTGATATCCCCGAAGATCAAGCGAACGACGCTGAGATGCGCTACTGGAGTCCAGCTCTGGTTGCCTTGGCTGGAGAACCGGAGGCCGCTGCGTGAGCAGCTCTGACCAGGCCGTCTGACCATATCGCTGTCCTTCGCAACCAAGCATTGTGGTGCCACAAGTTGGATTCGGATTGGTAGGCTCAGATGCGATGCGAATGCCCGTGCTAGTTGAGAACTAATTTCGGGTGGAAATGGTGATGTTGCGCGGTTACAATTACCGTCCGATCGCTGCCCCAAGGGCTATTACCTTCAAGAATTCGCCGACACCGTAGGCCGGATCAGCCAAGAAGTGGTCGCGCAGCTAAGTCAAAAGCGTCTGGCTCGGTTGCGCGCGCTTCCTCGGGATGATGCACGAAGGTCAGACGTCGCGCTTTCATTCTTAGCCTCAAAGAAGTGATTTAGCTCTTACTCTGTTGCATTTGAGGTCTTGAGGTGATGGGCCAGTAATAGCACCAAAAACGCCGTCGTCATTTTTTAGCAATCCCGGCATGCAAGTCTGAGAAGTTCTTGAAACTTTATGTTAGAGAACAAAAAACGGAGGAAAACACAAAAGCGAAACCGCCCATTTCATATCTATAGCGGCAAGCATAAATATCTTCACAAATTGGCACACCTAAAGGTACTCCGTGATACCACAGCACTGACGACAATCATGCGAAACACCCACGACCGAGTCCAAGACGGTTCTGCTGTGCAACATATCGAAATATTTATCCTCGAGAGACGATTTCCAATGAATCTTTGTTCGATCATATTTACAACCACTCGAAAGGCTACAACAATTTATTATACAACAATGGGACGACTATGGTTAGTTTGAGCGCACCTCGTCCGCCTCCAATCTAGCGACGACTTGATCGACGACGTAATCACGACGAGCGACGCGACTCAAACAGAGCTAGGAACGACCTTCACACTTGAGTTCGGGGGCTCCGGACGAAGGAAAAGGTTACTACTTTTTCACCGATGTGGAATCGAATTCAAGGGACCTGGTCTACACTAATGGAAACAGCCGAATGCAAGCGGTGTTATGGTCGCTTCAGGCTCTTCGTGTTTTCGTGCCCCCTTCGATTTTGATTAGCCAAGCAGCTAATCCAGCGGTACAGAGATTGATTGATAGATTCATTTAGAATTAGAATTAGATATAATAAAATTACAAAATCTTTCGTTGTCATTTTTGCAGCAGAGCGCGACCATGCTGTTGTGGACTCATTATGTATTGAAACACAAACGATAGAAATTGTCCAAGTTCATTTTTTTACAACTACTGTGGTCCCTGTGACCTTAGACCCTCCCGCTGCCTGCGAATAAATCTCCGGTCGTCTGCAGTGCAGGTGACGCTGGCGGCATGCTACTTGATCGCTTTTTACCCTCCTTGCTAGCGGTATCACTATCGTCCGTCTTCGCCAAAAACTCCCTGTACAAGACCTTGATCTCGTCGCGATACGCGTGCAGGAAGAATCCGACGATTGGCCCCATCGCCGTGCTCCACCCGATCAGTTCCAGCCATCCAGACTTCGGCGGTCGCAGGAACACATCCGTGATGAAAAGAGCGAGTAGCAGGCCTCCAGTCAACACCGGACCGACATAACGAATGCACACGGCGAGTATTCTCCGATTGTTCAAAAGAAACGTCTCCAACTTCGGTGGAAATAAGGAGCCCTGTTGTTCTGCTTCTAAAGTTCGCTCGGCTGCTGGAACTACATTCTCCGGACCGGTCCCACCTGCGTTTGGCGACGTTGCATTGCTAAAACTCGATAACCGGTTCTGCTGACTTGCTTCGTTCCGGCAGCACGCATCTACGATGAGGCAGTGCGTCTTTTCTACGCCCACCACGTAGCCGAAGAGAATGAACTCTAGAAAAGCAGAGAAGAGCAAGCAGTACGTTGGCGCAAAGTGGTCTACCGTTTCCAGCATGTACACGCCATTTCGACTCGCGTAGACCAAACTTGTGAGCCCCAAGAAGAGGCAAATCAAGCCGGTGACGCGCTCGCGGAGGTGACTGGCAGAAGTGGATCGTGTTTCCTCGTCGAGCGCATCTGCATTGCTGCGATTTGTGTTGTTCCGGGCACTGCTTCCGAAGCGATGGACTATGCTTTTCCACATACTTTGCGGATTGCTACCCGCATTTCTCGAAGTCGAGTCAAGGCCGACATTCGGTGCTTGTTCTACTGACGCGCTGTTTGCAGAAATCCCTCCCTCTTCCCGCAAGGAGGACAGCGCCTTCTTTATCCTCGTTTCGCTCGCGGTTGCAAAATGGTCCATGGCATAGGTAACCAAAGTCTGCACCCATGCGAAACTGCTGTCCAGCCCGAGCAGCACCAAAGTGAAGAAAAAGAACCAGGAAAAGATCGTGGGCATCTGCGCTAATGCCCGTGGAAACACGACGAAGGTCAGGCCCGCGCCCTCCTGCGCCACGGCTTCCACGGTCGTATTCTCGGCGAACGCCAGGTTGCCGCACACGGAAAACACGACAAAGCCGGCGAAAATGGAGAACCCGGAGTTACTAACGGTGATCAGCAACGCATCGGACAGCAAGTGCGAGTAGTTCGGCGGGTTGTAGCTCGCGAGGGCGATCGCCGCGCCGGTGGCGGGGGACAGCGAGAAGAGAATTTGTCCGCACGCTGCGGACCACGTGTCGAGACGAAAGATGTACTCGAGCTTCGGTTTCAGATAGTACGCGATTCCGTTGCCCGCACCCTCGAGCGACGCGGCCTTGATCAGCAGAATCGTGATCAAAACGAAGGGCATGATGACGGTGAAGTACGCGACCTTCCCCGCACTGTGGATCCCCTTCACGAGGCACAGATACGTGATTACCCAGACGCCAATCACGGCGAACAGCAAGTGCGCCGGCGCCTGCCAATTGTAGGCCTTGTAGGCGTCAAAGGAGTCCGCCTTCTGCAACACGTCGTCCTCAAAGTAGTCCTTCGTGTCTGCGTCTGACCAGGGAACCTCGGACGCCCTGTCATTGTAATTCACAAATTGATATTTAGATGTTCGTTTATTTTTCATATCCACAGTGCAGAATTTTGAATTTGAAGAGTGCGCGCCCCGCCCTTGCAGCTCGCACTTCTGATGGTGAGACACCGCAAAGAACGGCCAATGCTGAATCGAAGAACAAGATAGAAGCTGCTTCCTTCAGTTATCTTCTACGCTGCAAGTTTATTGTGAATCAGAATTTCTATTTTCAAGGCACCAACAGCTCCTACCATCCGAAGCTCCGGCAGAAGAAAACCAACGCCCAGGCGATGACCATCTGGTAGTATCCCAATATCCACACGTTCATCCAGGCGGCGATGTAGGCGACACCCTCAAACCTCTTGTTCAGCGCCCGGAAACACTGGACCGGGCCCGTCTGATAGATTTGCCCGATCACCAGTTCCAGGAAGAAAAGCGGAAACGCGCAGAGACACAAGCAGACCAAGTACACAACCACAAAAGCGCCGCCGCCGTGCTTCCCGCACAGAAAGGGGAACCGCCACAGGTTGCCGATGCCGATCGCGTAGCCCATCAGCACCATGAGGAAATCCCCGCGGTTGCGCCATTGGGGCCGGTCGAGCGTTTGGCTTTCGTTAGCAGAAGACGCAGGCGTTTGCGCTTCTAGGTTTTCAACTACTAGAGCGTCCGCAGGAATGGTGCCGATTGCCTCCGTTGCAGCGTCCGGCCGCTTCGTTGCACTCGTGCGACCGATCACGGTTGCCGAGCCTTTGGTGTCGACGGAGGTATCCATGGCGCTGGCGTCGGTCCTACCGGGGGAACGACCAAAAAGCGCCGGCATCTTCGTACGTTCTTAGAAGACAGACTGGTGCACTACCGTGGGTTGTGGCTAACTACATGTAAACCAAGGGGGCAAATCAATGACTCAGTCAGACGCAGATCTTCAGACGAACATTGCATTTTTTTACATGTCCATCATAGATGTGTTATTGAATCACGTTGTTCTCGCTCATCGTCCGTCCAAACGTGAAGTCGGGGCGTCTCCAACGCTCTCAAATTACATGACGTCTGCATGTACTCGTCGAGAACGAGGAGGAGACTCGCAAAAGCACACAGCCGGCATTCCCGACAGGAAATTTCATATTCGTAGTATACTAGCCATGCATACTTGCGTCCAAAGTAGTACTCTCTTTCTTTCCAGTACATGCGTTGACCAAAATGTCGTGTACAGGTAAATTGTGGCAACAGCACACGACGTTGCACTTCTGTTCAAGTCGCGCTTTTACGATCTATTTTACATAGACCGCAAGGAATGACAAGGAAAACGAGATTAGGAGCATATGCAACGGAAACGGAAACTTGAAGCACAACGACTTTCAATCGAATTTGTCATGAATTTTGATTTTCACAATTTGAGTAGATCTTTCAATGGGTATAGAAGAATAAAAGCACTGGTTGGAAATAACCTGCGGGGTTAAGGAGCGGAAATGCTGTCTATCTACACAGCCAAGCGCCGAACTCGCCGCTCTCAAAAGCCCGGTGCATGTGCGTGATCAGTAGTCGGAGCCTCTCAAACTGTTCGGGAAGATGCATGGCTCGCTGGAGCGGCGAGTCATATGGGGGGACCGTACAGGTGCGATCAAGAGACGCTCGTGCCCGCAGAAGCATTTGGACTACATCAAGCGTGCCAGCTGCCACCGGATTCCGCAGAACCGCCAACAATGGGGTGACACCGTCCGACTCGATGGTTGAGTCTACTGGTAAGTCATCAAGAAGTTGCTCGACCAAGGCGACGTCTCCACTCAGGCAGGCTGTGTGTAAATCTCCTGGTGTTGCGATTCGTGCGGCTTGCGCCTGATGATATGATTTTCTCAATCGCATACACGTACAAAAAAACAGAAACAGAGAGAAGATGCAAAAATGGTGTTGAGAACGAAATCGCGACTTTTTTGTACCTTGTCGCCGTCAGCCGTAGAAGCCACAACGTCGTCGCACACAACCACATCCTTCTTTCTCGAGGAACGCTCCCTACTTGTTTTCTTCTGCGAAGAAAAGCAAGAAAATTTCTTGCTTTTCTTCGCAGTTGACACAGATACGGACGAACATGTCGTAGAGTTGCTCGCACTACTTTTTTTGTCCACTTTCTCAACCTGCTGAATCATCGCCAGCGCTTTACCGAGTGCGGCTTTCTCGTCTGGAGCTTTTGTGTCTCCGGGCACTGCTGATACCGCCGCCGGTGTCCAGGGACGGTGCGAGGCGATCTGAGACGCGATCTTCGCATTCCGCTCGACGTGGTCCTCTGTTGTACCACTTTCCTCCACAATGACATCGTGTTCGACCGCTGCTACGCCAGCAGCGTGTCTCAAGGGGGAAACACTCGACGGCGAGCTTGCGTTTGTGTTCGTCCCCGGCGTAGTTCCTGCACCGCGCCGGCGCCGGTGTGTTTTTCCGGGCATGGGCGGCGGACTTGACGTTGCGGAGAGCGTGTTACTCGTCAGTGCCGCTGCCGACATGGTTTTCTGCAAGCGGTTGCGCGGATGTTTATTTCGCACAGAAGGGGACACAGATACCGACGCATGTTCCGCAGCTTCGAGTATGTTCTCGCGGCGAATCGACAGAGGATTGTGATCCGCAGTACAGCCAGAAGCTGGAATAGGAGGAGCTCCTGCTGAACAGGTAGTGTCTTGGTCTTCCTTCACAGCTGCTGCAGGCAACGCAGACTTGTTTGTTGTGCCCACCAGGCGGCTCAGGCTTGGGCTTTTGGCGCAGCTGGTTAGCTGCGGCCCTGGTACTGTCGTCGTGGAAGTGCCCGTACTTGTACCGGTTGCGTTGCTGCTCTTTTTTTTCGCAGCCGCCGCTAGCATGTCTGGGAATTTGATGTCGGTGACCACGGAGTTTGAGTTCGCAGCAAACGAAAAGCCCTGCTCTTTCTCTTTCTTGTCTCTCACCGGGGAAGGAGACGACAGCGCGTCGGAATATGCATCGAAGTCCTCAATTACCGGAATAGTTTCCAAAGACGGCATGGTCAATTTTACGCGCTCCACCGGCGGGGAGTCCACACTCATCGGTAGCCACCCATTGGGCCGCAACAGCTTCTCCGGCGTTTGTCCGCTGGCCGCCAGCGCGCACGCGTTCCGCAGCCGGTCGGGGGAGGACAGATGCGGTTGGGCGACGACCGCGGTGTTCGTGCGGTTCCGGGTTTTGTTGCGACTGCATGGCGTCGTGGTGCCACTGCTCAACTGCACTGGGCTTCCGAAGGTGTTTGGGTTGAACCCCGGATAGTGGTTGGGTTTTTGAATCGTGGGAGAACTCGTTTCCAGCAGCGTTGGACCACCGGCTCGGGACTGCGGGACGGAGCACACGGGAGAGAGCGCGGTAGAGGAAGAGGAGGCGTTCACCAAGTGCCATGCCTTGGTGGCGCGAGCAGGAGATGATGTCGATGCACTTCCTTGATTACTATGTGCGGCAAAAGTGCCCCCCGCCTGATTCGGCGGACTCAAACTCGGACTACTCGCAGAAGTAGTTCCGACGTTCCCCAGTGTTGGCTGCGGAATTATATGGTTGCCAACCGTGGGTGAGCCTCCCGTGGGGGAAGATGCAGCTCCGTTGTTAAATGTGTTCCATGTGACCTGCTTCTGGTTCGCACTGGCTCCAAACTCTGCGTGCACGTAGCCACCTCGCCGGTGGCGCCACGCCATCGGGCTTCTGCAAGACGGACTCTTCTTCAATCGCGCAATGTCTTCCTCGAAAAGCACCACTTGATCCTCCTGAGTCTCCCCTGGGCTGCGCAGGTCAGATGGTTTGATGAAGTTGTCCTGAAGCTCTGTTTTATTTTCCAGCAGCTGCTCCATCGTCGGACTGGAGCCGTTGATCCCGGTTCCGCCCTGCGTGGCTGCACGAGGAGGACTTGCTCCCTCGGATTTGCACGGAGACAACGAGGTCGGCGTGCTGGGGGCGCAGTCCTGATAGGAGTTGGAATCTTTTGCATTTCCCCAAAAACTGATTTAAAGCTGTCACATCCGACTGAGTAGGAAGAAGTCCAAGTACCAAATATAGCCGCCGGGGCGGGGGTAGTGAGGTCGTGGGCGTTTTCTTGCCGGCCGTCGCCTTGGCCGCGGCTTTGCTTTTTCTGGGCTCGCCATACCGCCGTGAGTAACGTTAAGCCGCACGGTATGGCGGCCGCTTGATAAACGCCGCAAATTTTGGCAAATTCCCGATATTCCTTTCCGACAGCCAGCCCCCATGCTATGGGGTCGATCCGGGTACCACGGGGGGCGCCCAAAAAGCGAAGAAAAATCGGGCTCATAGCATGCGGATTGGCTTTGCGCGTCTGGCGCGCTTTTGCTTTTTTGCGTTTTTATTTTTCTAGCCGGCGCCTTTTGCAAAGCTTCCCAGGCTCTGAAACCGGCGAAAATGCGGCCACTTTCGCGGCCGCCAAAAATGCTCCGAAACCGCGACCGTGCCGCGCTGTTTTGCTGTTCTGATTTTGGGCGCGTTTTTTGCGCTCCCCTTTTTGGGCGCCTCAAATCGCCAGAAACCAAGGCGGTGGGCGCCTCAGAAAGGCGCCCCCTTTGCCGGCTCCCCTGCGCCGTTTTATCAAGCGGGAATCGATAGAATCCGCCCGGGCTATTTTGCCGCTAAAGCCCCGGCCGCTTGATAATTGAAAATCTTTTTTGTCAAAAAACACTTTCGCCCACTTTGAAACTGCCGGTCGTTTTGCTGTCTGGCTGGCAAAAAAACTCCCTGGTTAGAACCGTTCGGTGACCTCACTACATACTACATGCAGAAAACCTCACCTTCAGCAGCGGTCGTTGAAACGCCGAGTACAGATCCGACACCGGAGTCTCCAGGTTGCGCACTACGTTTGACGACAATGTTTCGAGCTGCTTACGGCTCATGCGCTGCGGCATGAAGGGAAGACTGCCGCCGGTAACCTGCTTGTGCCGGTGCTGTTTCAGCATTCTGCTGTTATTCTCGATGATGCTGTGCCCGCGCGAAGCGAGCGGGCTCGACATCTTGAATGAGTTCCCTACTGGGTTCCTGGGCAGAATGGTTTAGTGCTCAGTTTTGGTTTTATGATAAGGTTGATTCTGTCCTCCGCTTTCGAAATAAAAACTCCCTCCGTTGTTCCAATCTGCCTTTCACAAATCTGTCAAACTCAAATTGTTCTCACTCTCAGCGCGCAAACAATAAAGAAACGGAACTCATGCCAAGATTCTGGCCGCACCTATCCACGTGCGAAAAAAATGTATGAAGGAAAATGATCCTCTGAGTGTTGTTGCAACTGCTGCAACTACTGGTACTGCACCTGCTAGGTATAAAAATCGACGTGCCGAGTCCTTGCAATTATTCATTTCTTCGCTGATTTTCTTGACGTTTTGTTTTTCTGCCTGGTTTCCTTCCTCAACTTTTCTAGGTCCCAAACCCGCGTTTCGTCCCTTTTCGAAAATTCCGGCAGCCGCTCCCGCGTGACCCGTATTCCCATGCCGCGACACGTGCCGAGCACCGCCAGGACCACGGACTTCAGAGGCACCCCGATCCACTGCGGGTCGCGGCTTTTCGCTACCGCCACGTGATACAGCTCCTTGAGCGTGATGTTGCCCACGTCCACCGGTGCGGCGAGCGGGAGGCGCGCGACGCGGTGCAGAAACCACTTGGTACTGGGCGAGCGGATGAGGTACTTGAAGGTTTTGTCCGTCTTCGGGAACAGGGTCACCTGCAGCGGAACCTCCGGTCGCACCTGCGACGTCCGGCTGTTGAAGTCCTTGCAAAACGCCATCATGTTGATGCCCAGAGGCCCCAACGCCTGCCCCACCGCGGGACTGGGCTTGGCCGTCGCGGCCGGAACGAAAAGCCGAAAGTTACCGATCACGGACATTTTCGGGTTGATCTTACTGTACTGGCTGTCTACATGACGACGTCGAGATCAGGAATCAACGTAGACGGAGGGGATCGACCTGTATGAGAAAGTCTTCAAACGACCTTCTTGCGCTCTGATGAAGAGGCCGAGGAGAAGGAGATCGCGACCAATGCATCCATTCCACAAGGAAGAAACGACGCCTTGATCTTCTTCTATCTTAGCACGACGTAGAGGTGAACACCCAGCTGCTCTTCACACTCTCCACAAAGTGTGAAGTGTGGTCGCGACTTCGCATTTCTTCTGGTGTTGCGTGTTCATGACGGTATTTTCCGCATGGCTTCGCGCATGCCTTCTTGGCGCAGCTTCGCCTTGGTTGGGCGTGACGTGATGGAACTGCTGTCTGCGCGCCCCACGGGTACCCAAATTGGGCTGCGAACCCGCACGCGAGTTGCCGCAGGGGAAGACGGTGATCGGACTCGCGAGCCATTGCTGTCGGCGCTGCGAACCTGCAATCTTGTTGCGCTTGAGCTGCGCTCGCCTGAGCGTGTTCTTCCCGGCGACCGTAGGCGAGACGCCATCGTGGTGGACAGGCTACTCTGCAAGGAGGGTGGGGTCAAACCGCGGCGAGACGACGTGGATCGTTGGCGATCGAAGGCGTGGCGGGACGTCGGCGAATCGATATCCATGTCTGCTTCCCGGTATCGGACCTCTCTCCTCAAATCGTTCCGGTAGTCGCCTTCCCGCGACAAAAACTGGGCCGCGATGCGCTCCTCCAAGTAGGTGCGGTTTCGCTTAAGCTTCTCGATCTGCTTCGCTTGCTTTTCCAGGACCTTGTGGCGGTCATTTCGATTTCATTTTTCGAAAATCGTTGCGCCCATGCATTGGGTGGCCGGCCGAAGGCAAGCGGCGCTTTGTTTTTGGCCGCCACTGCCGCACGCGCAGCGGGGCAAAACGGCCACAAGCTTTGGCTCTGCGCCCGTGTGGGGCCGGAAAATACAATAATGAGGTCATATAGGTGCAGGCACCCCCTCTAGAGGCTACAAAGACGCTTCCCTTGCTTCCTTCGTAATCCCGACTGCGGGGCCTCCGGGGCGATTTTAATTGTATATAACATATAACATATGAACCCCCAGCGGTAAGCTACTCACATCTCCTTTTTGGCAGAGAACGAGAAGCCATTTCCGACAAGCGGCACCACTTTCAATTTCTAGGTCGCCGAAGGGCCGTGCACGCATTCAAACAACTTTTTGCCGTCTCTCGCCTGCACGGCGCACTTTTCGCGTTTTCTCAGTTTTCGGTCCTTCAAAAGCCGGGACAGAAGGTCTCGGCATGGTTCTCTTTCAACTTTCCAGTGTGCCACGCCACAATTTTTGAAAAGCTTCTTCAGCACGCGAGGCTGCGACGTTTTGTTTTTTTTTACTGTCACTCCCCCCACAGCGTCTACGCCGGCAGGTCGTAGACGCTGTGGCCCCCCACAGTGTCTACAAAAGCAGGTCGTAGACGCTGTGCCCCCC